AACTCTCCATCCAAGTCACAATTTGTAAAAGTAAACCATTATACCATCAAAGTACGGCCTTCAACACGGAGCCTTGGCTCACACCGAACAGCAAGCTATAAAGGGCCCCAAAAATGACATGTAAAACCATTCAAACAGGAAAACCAACAGTCTAATCTATTTAAAAAACAAGAAATGAGAAACACTTATGAACCACAGCAACAAACGACAACCACTGAACAACAGGTTCCTGACTTGAGAAAGGTGCAAACAAATGCAGCGGGTTTAAACGTTTGGATAGGCGCCAACCTTCACCCTACCTGAAACAATAGTGTAACATCACAACATAGAAAGACACACTATAAAATATGCATTGAAATTGCAAAAATATTCACATTTACAGTAACGATGAATCAGATAGGTAGGTTCTGCAGAGTAATTTGTATGAAACAGAGGATAGGAATTTTTGACTGCCATTTAACAAAATTTAGGGTAAGCTGGGTAAGGCTAAAATTTACCCTGGCAGTGGATCTGTTGCGTGCAAAGAGGACAGCACTCTCCCAACAAGAGGCATTGAATTTACATCCACATGCTTACAGGATGAGAGTAAGCTTTATGCAACCCATACAGCCAAATGGACACCTTCTCAGTATGAGGCTAACTGCTGGACTGAAGAAGCTCTAGATGACCATCTATAAACCTCAGTCAACCCTTTGTTGTCAGAGATAGAGTGTAAAGGAACCCTAAGAGAGAGGAACAGAAAGAGAGAGAGTTGTAGAAAAGAGGAAGAAAAGCTAAAGCAAGTTTGCAATTCTTTAGTATTTACTAAACTAGTGTATTTTTCAGACATTGATTCGAATACAGATGTTTTCTGTAGAGGGTTTGAATGATTTTAATTAAAAAGACAAAGTCAGGGTGGAACAACAAAAAGATTTTAAATTTGTGCCTATGAATTACTGCAAAGGAAGCCAAACTTTTGACCCACATTATATTGCGACTTTTTAAGGCCCATTTTCTTCCTTCCCTTAGCCTATATCACCCTGATCAGTCGCTCTGTAACTCTTTTATCACAGCTTTGATCCATGAGTAGACATTAGAAGTGACATCACAATGTTTGAGGAGAAGTTATCAGTGGCATCACAATTTGTGAGATGTTATCAAGCTAACTTTTCTCAAGAGTAAACCTGTCTGATGAAAGGGGGAAGACAAGCAATAGAACGACAAATAGATTATCAAGTTTTCTACACAATGATTTCATAAAATATCAGCCACTCAACACAATGGGAAGTTATACTGCCTGTTCTCTGAGCTCGCTCGCCATAAAAAGGTTCACATTATTGGCTTGTGGCTGATATTTTACTATATCAGTGTGTAGAAAACCTGATAATCTACTATCTATTTAAATCAACAGTTGCTGAAAGAAAATATTTCCCTTTACAAGTATCATATTGAGAATTTTTTTTTTATAAATTCTGGGATGTTATATGATATATGCATGATAATTAACTTGTATTGTCTAAATATGAAGATGAGATTTGTTACAGAAGGAAATACAGTCTCCCCATTACTATTCCTTAAAACATACTGTCAAGTAATATTGATTTATTTCAATATTTAAGTTTTCTGGTGGAATCAAATACCTTTGTGGATTATTTGACAGTTAATAATTGACAAAGATAATATTATTATACTGTGACCTTGATATTTAAAGGTATTTATATACATGTATTTTCATACCTTAAAAATATATACATGACAGTTAGAAATGTTCTTATATGTCCTATTTATCATTAATATTTGAAGCAATTTGGAGATATAAATGTCCTTGTCATAAAAGTTGAATGGAGACTAGGTTTCACTATACAAATTTAATAATTTCATTATATCTGCCCACGTAAATATAAGGAAGTACATAATCGACACACACCTATGTTACCTGACAGATTTCTACCTGTCCGCCTTTGATCTATCTATTGTAGAAAAATATTTTATTCATACCTTGTGAACTTGAAAAAAATATTTTGAAATAATGTTGTTAAAAATTGGGTATTGATTCAATAGGATGTGAACAAAAAAGTTATATCATTTTATGTTGTTGTTTTTAGGATTTATATTCACATATATGATCCTTAAAAGTTCGACTATATGTCAAGAACATCCTATTGCCTGATTGATAAAGATTTAAATTTTTAAAATAGGATCAGAAGAAAAATTGCTGAGCCAGATATAATCATTTCAACTGAGGTTCAAATGGGGACAGAATTGTTCATTATATCATCTGTAACCTTATACATGTATTAGGATTTCAAAATTAGGATCAATACATGATATTTATTTTTTGCTTCAGTAAATTTAAAATTTTTTTTATACATTTTTATTTCATTATGAAAGGGACCAACAGTTGCAAACCTTCACACTGATGATAAACAAGGATAGGTGAAAAGATTTTTTTTTGGGGTCATAGGGTTAATTGCTCCCTTTTTTCACAAAAGAACAACCTTAATCCTGCCACATTCCATTTGTGCCTGTCCAAAGTCAGGTGGTTGTTGCAGGTTGCTGTCTATAATATTTCTTTTCTGTTCATTGTTTCGTTAGTTTCCTAGACTTTTAGAATTGTTGACATTTTGTTATGTCAGGGCCTTCTAAGTTTTATAGCTTGCTATGGGGTATGGGTTTTGGTCATTGCTGAAGACTGAACTGTGACCTATACATCTACGTCATTTGGTCTCTGGTAGATAGTTGGCTTTGGCACCTATACAACCCGGCAGTGATGGCAAACGGTGTAAACTAATTGTATAAAGCTTTATATTTTAGAAGGTAGAAGACCTGGATGCTTATTACCTTGTATACAGATACCTTAGGTTACGAAGTTTCTGTCTGTCATATGTCCATTGCCTTTGACCTCATTTTCATGGCTCAGTGACTGCTTGAAAAAAAATTAGTTTTTTTGTCAAGTGAAATACTCACTTATTATGAGTAATAGGATAACTATATTTGGTATATGGGTTCCATGCAATGTCTACATGTCCATCAGGTAAGGTTAACCTGACCTCAACCTCATTTGAAGAATCAGTAATCAAGGTTAAAGTTACGTGGTCAAGTCCACATCTCTGATACTCTAAGCTTTAGGTCAACTATGTTTGGTGTATGGAATGTTTGTAAGATGTACATGTCTGACTGGCAGGTTTCATCTGACCTTGACCTCAATTTCATGGTTCATTGGACAATGTTTATTTTTTGTGGTTTGGTCTATTTATCAGATACTATAAGCAATAGGTCAGCTATATTTGGTGTATGGAATGATTGTAAAGCTGAAGCCCGCCTCCGGGTGCGGGATTTTCTCGCTGTGTTGAAGACCCATTGGTGGCCTTTGGCTGTTTTCTGCTCTTTGGTCGGGTTGTTGTCTCTTTGGCACATTCCCCATTTCCATTCTCAATTTTATGTCTATCTGGCAGGGTTCATATAACCTTGACCTCATTTCATGGTTCATTGGTTAATGTTAAGATTTTGTTGTTTGATCTGTTTCTGAGGTACTATTAGATAGGACCCCTATATTTGGTGTATGGAATGATTGTAAAGACATATAGAAATAAGATGTGGTATGATTGCCAATGAGACAACTCTCCACAAGAGACCAAACATGTCTGTCTGGCATGGTTCAACTGAACGTGACCTCATAGAACATTGATAATGTTAAGTTTATGTGATACTTGCAGTAAAACCTTCATATTACAAACTTTCAACATTAATTCAAGATAAGTAAAACAGACGAGATATTTCAGCATGTGCACTCTTGTTTCTCAAGCTTCTCCATTTTTTCCAGAGTCTCCACTTAATGTTACTATAGATATATTTTTATTCTTCATCTCTCCTAATCCATACTTTTTAGTGTTCCACTGTTAAAAAAGGATATCATAAACATTCTTTCAATTTGCTTACTAAAGGAAATATACAATGTACAGATTGACAGAATCTCTTATATTTTTTTTTATTATATTAATTATTTGTAGTAGATACTGTACAATTATATCTAAATAGGATGAAAGACTCTTCTTTTGATGCTCCCTCTGTTGACAGAACTATTTGTATTCTATAAGTTATTGCTCAATAATTTTACCCAGGCTCAATAAGAAATGTGATAAAAATTCCATACATGTGCATGACACTAAGAAGAATATAAATGGAACTGAAAACAAGTCAAGCTGTATGGGATAACCAGATGCAGCTTGATGATTTAAATTAAAAAGGTTTGACTTTATGAAAAATGTAACAGGAATATGTAACAGATGGACCAGCTGAGAGAGGTAAACCAGTATACTTCTCCTTTTGTGGTGGGTTTGAACCCACCCCTACTGAAAAATTGTCATTTTCAGTCTATTTTTCGATTTTAATACGACCTTGAGAGGTGAACATTGACCAAACTGTGTTTCTTTGTCATTCAGGTATTACCTTATAGTTACAGCAGTCCATCCATACTGACTGGAAGTAAATGTGACTTGAGTGTCTTGCTGGGGAATTATTATTGGCAAGCCAGGTCTGCCTAAATGTTCGTTTTTACAGATTTCTGTCAAAACGGTGACCTAGATTTTACAGACCAGATTTCTTTTGGTCATATTATACCTCCTTGTGTTCCTGTACCACCTATGCATGTATTTATGATAATAGTTTATACCTACAGCCCATACCAGTGACGAAGTGGCCATCAAAAGACTCCCACCCCCACCTGACTTTGGCTACTTTTTACGTTTTTCCGTTTTTGAACTCTAAAAAGGCCATTAAAGTTGTCATATTTTCATAAACACACATCTGAGAGTTTATGGACTATGAATTGCATGGTTGAAGTCCCTGCTGTCAAGACAGTTCAGCTGGGGTAGTTCTAAAAAAGTATGGGCCATCAAAGAATGGTAGTCGCCATCATGACTACAGGCGGGATTGGGGGCGAAGGGGTTAACACTGGTATAAAATTAAAATTTTCAAAATATACATGTTCTGTATTAAAAGAATTTGTTTTTATCTTTCAGACATTTGATTTTGACTTAAAAGGTCAAACCTTGGGCGGTAGTGATGAACTATCGGTAGAAATCAAAGACTGGGAAAGAGTAGGAAGAAACAGGTTTGTATTAGTATATGAATGAAATTGTAGCAGGGAGTAATATTTTTGTAGTGTTAATCATGTCTGTCCTTCAGTCATTTTAAAATCACTGTTGTCCATGCTATGTTTTATTTTCGTTATGCCAACATTATATTGATCTGGTTTTTGGTACAAAAGTGTATGATGATGACTTACAGATCAAGCTAGTGTTTTTATACGCCCGTTTACGTAGTCCGTCCGTCTGTCGTCAACATGTCGGACATTAACTCAAAAATGCTTTAACCAATTTGCTTAAAACTTTGGTGAATTGTTTATATCTATTGACGTGAGCTCCCTTTCGTTTTTTATAAATTTTAGATTTTACGTTTCCGAGTTATGGGGTTTTATTCATCAAAAAAAGGGGGATTTGCCCGTTTTCGGACAATAACTCAAGAATGCTTTCACCAACTTGGAAGAAATTTTGGTTAATTGTTTATATCTATTGACATGAGCTCCCTTTGGATTTTTATAAATTTTAGATTTTACGTTTCCAAGTTATGGGGTTTTATTCATTAAAAAAAGGGGGATTTTCCAGTTTTCGGACAATAACTCAAAAATGCTTTCAGCAGTTCTCATGAAACTTTGATGAATTGTTGATATCTATTGATGTAAGCTCCCTTTAAAATTTTATAAATTTTAGATTTTACATTTCCGAATTATGGGGTTTATTCATTAAAAAAGGGGGGATTTTCCAGTTTTCAGACAAAAACTCAAAAATGCTTTCAGCAATTCGTATGAAACTTTGGTAAACTGTTTATATCTAATGATGTAAGCTCCCTTTAGGATTTTATAAATTTTATTTGTATATAGTCTGACAACAGATTTACTAAGTATTGCGCAACAGCACAGTGTATTGCACAACAGCAAGAAATCTTTAATTGAATATAAATTCAATTCATATAACCAACTTCAAGTTCTTTGACTACATTTATTCAGAAACCTATAATAGATGTATGTCAAATATTTAATTACAATCCAAATTCAGACCTGTATCAAGCTTGAATATTGTGTCCATTTTTGCCCCAACTGTTCAGGGTTAGACCTCTGCGGGCGTATCCAGCTGCGCTCAGCAGAGCAGTTTATTTCAGGTTAACTGACTTTTGTCATACTTTTATCCCTTAGACATAGAAAATTTCATGAAAATAGTACTGGACTGGACTTTTTTTTAGTAAATGAATATTTTAAGTTGTCTTACAGATCTAGTTTGTGCTCCATTTAGATTAACCAACTCATCATGATAAAACTGCAGTGGGTTGGGGTTTACGTGTTGATCTTATTCATCTGGTTTTAAAATCCTTTACTTATAGATGGGAAATGTTCAATCTCTAACATAGTTTGTACTAATGATTTTAGCGATGGAAAATGAACAAGAGGTAAAAATTGATACATTGATTTTGTAAGACATATTCTTATGAATAGAAAGTATTGATCAAATTATATTTTTAATTTCAGATTACTAGCAAAATGCAAAGTACCTTTAAGGAATTTACTGAAAGGTGGAGCTCAATCGGAAAATTTGAATCTGACCATGCAGGATGGCAACGGGAGGCCAACACAGGTATAGTTTAAAAGTTCTATACAAAGTTTGATAAGACACAGTTACAGCTGAACACTTAACTTTCAAGGAAAAATTTTCAATGGTTAATTGGAAATTAAAGTGTTTTCATGATCATTTGACTATATAGGATTGAATTCTAACATTAACTACATGTATAACATTTTCAGTTATCAGTTTTTACTGTACTTTGGTTCTTTTTTTTAGTTTTTTATACCCCATTTTCACAGTTAGATATATTCCCTTGTCTTAATATTGCATGTTTTATAAAAAAAAATCTCAAAATAGCAAAAATTGAAACACTATTTAAGTGACTATTTTTTCAGTAATGTAAAACTTGATAAGATAAGATACATATATCACTAAGAGAATTGAACAAAGGAGTTTCATATGACAAGTCTCTAGATTTTTCTTGCATTCAATGATAGGGAAATTTTTGTTACATTTAAAACAAGTATTTTGGACATACAGGTTCTACTAGTTATGCAATGAATAGTGCCTTTATAATTGAATTTGTTCAAAATCGGTGCAAAACTATTTTACTGAATAAAGATTAACGATAAGACTGACATTTTAAAACTCTTTAGCCATTTTCTCCAAAAATCTTATGACTGTCCTTAACAGTGAAAATTAAGTAGAACTTAAAGAAAAAAAATTTTGTGAAAAAGGCTACTGATCTAGTAAAAATGTTTTAAAATAAGGTTCTCTTAGTTTATATAATGATTTATATCGTATAGCCAGGAAAGGCAGCTGTATGTATCATAGACCCATACAATAAGCATAGATTTTATAGATTTTATAACAAATTCCTTTTGATTTTATGAATGAAATTATCTCTACATAAGACATTGTCTTTTTTGGACATTATTATTATTATTACTACAATACATATTATATGAATGAAAGTGTTATCTATAATATATTGAGTGGCAACAGAAATGCAACACTTACATGCATTTTTCCTTAAATAAATTTAAATTAACAGATTCTCTTTGAAACTTGACCAACTGTCGTTATTTTATAGATTTTTTAGGTTATGCATGCAGATATTTTTTTGGCAAAAAAGGTTATTTGCAGATCTTTCCAATTTAAAGATCCTAACATTTATCAACTCCATATTTTTACCCCCAAAAAATCTGAAATTTCAGTTGGCAAATTTAAATCTCAAAAAAGGTGCAGCTCAATCTTTGTCCTTCAAATTAAGCATAGTCCAATTACACTAAGGAAAAAAACATGTTGGTTTTGATCCTGACCACTATAAGCTGGTTCAGTAATATTAATGCAAGTATTTGATGAATGCCTTAAAGTACTGTTTTGTATTATTATCCAGTTACGACTTGATGATGATGATGATGAACGGGTGCTGAACGTCCAGCGTCAAATTAATTTGCATATTTAGGACGAGAACATGTGAAAGTAATATGAATATTAACCCTGCTTTGTACTAGACCGACACGCTGAGCCGGTTTTTTTAACCTGCTAGTTCACAAGGTAGTCAGCAGGAAGACATGTCACCTTACCTGGACACATTATCCTGACTCCGAGCTGACCAGTCTTTGCTCTTAATCCTAAATGCTGCGTGCTTAGTGGATAAGCAGCAAATACCAATTTTTAAGTTTTTGGTTTGACCCAGCGGGGGTTCGAACCCACGACCTCCCGCACTCCAGTTGCGACTTTACTTAATATTTATGATATGTAGTGTATTATTGTTACATAAATTTAAAATCTTTTCTATAAAATAATACTTCAAGTGATACTTAAAAACTTTTTTAATTTGCAAATTTTAGAACCTTCACATATAAGGGTATAGATGAGTAGGCATTATTATTGTCCTATTTCGAATTATCTGTTCCATTTTGTTAAATTTGTAAAGAAGAAAAGTTTGCCCTAATTTCGAACTAACTTATAACATGGATAAAGAATATGAGCTTTAAAAAAAACATAAATAATTAAGAATTGGGATCTACATGTATTAATTGGAGATTCATGGCCATCTGGCTTTTGACAGTTTAGTGTCATATTGTAATTTTAATCTTTTATCAGGAACTCTCTTGTACACAACACATATTTTTGAAAAAAAAAAAACTTGTCAGAAATTAATAGATGCATAGATAATCACAACTCCCTGACAACTATCAAGTGTGAGAAGATTGATGTGGTTTTAAACAATGTCACTTTTAGAACATAATTGTTTTTATCACTTACAATGTCCTGTTACATCTTTGCATGAATTAAAAAAATAGTTATTACAGACCTTTGTAGAACAATATTTGGTAATTGATACTTAGATGATTCTTATTTCATTTCTGTTAAAAAGAAAACCAATATTTGAAAACTTTAGTCTGGGGACCTCTTTATTTAAAAAGTTTGTTAGAGGCCAAAGAATTTGTAACTTTGTGAATTTATATGTCTCAAAATGTAAATTTTTATGATACACTAACAATCTTATCTAAAATAAAAGGAAAGAATTAAGATTTAAAATATATCAAACCTAATATTACCGATCCTCAAATCTTTAATTTTTTATCGGAAACACAACTATCAATTATGTTGTAATGCCTACAGTAGGAAAGGATAACAGCAATTATGATATGTATCCTGAAGGAGATAATTTTGTTATGAAGTGACAATTGATTTTCATAATTTTGCTTTCGATTAATAAAGAAAATAGATATTAATTATAGATAATTTAGGCATACAATGAATAATTATATTTAATATATCCATATATGTGTAGTACATTTTATTTTATATAAAATTTCACTGATGTAGAATTAGTCGTATATATTGCATATCATATGAAAATAAATTTCAACATATGGCTATACACGTATTATAAAATCATTATCATTGTTCAAAGTCAGTCTAAATGTTCTAATTTATAGTATAAATATTAAAAAGGTTCATAGGAAAAATCAATTGATTGCTTACAAATAAAGGTTTGAATTGAAGACTCTGCACAATAAGAACCCTTGCAACAACTCTTTGAGGGGTCCGTAGGTGGCCTGTTGTAAGGATAAAATTCTTTCCCTATCCAATATACCCTCATTTTTGTCGTGGCAGTCCAAATTTACCAGACCTGCAACCCAGTTGATCTCTTTTACCGGACCTGCCTGCTGTGTTTATTGTTAATTTGTTCTCATCCTGAACATGCATAAAATATTTGCCACTGGACATTAAGCAACCAACAATCAATCAATTAATCAATTGAATTGAAGAATAATTCTTGTCCAGCTGGTTTTGACATAGATATCTCTAAAAAAAACACAAACCTATTCAAATTATTGTAAAATTCAAATGAGGTTTCTTATGCAGTATATTTGATACTATGCACTATGTAGTAAGCCTAAACATTTTTAAAGAAACATGCATTTCTAATAAATACAGATAAGAATGCTAGTTTGTCAAAATAATGTATTTTGAATATTAATATTTTTATGATTAAGTGATTTGAAACTTTCTATTTTGGAAAACAATTTAGACAGACTGCTATTTTCAGAAATTCTTATCATGTAAAAAAACTAGGGATATCAATTAGTACTCAAGTACCGCCCCTCTAGTACACATACATGTGTATCACTTGATACATTCAATTATTATTTGGTAGTAAATAGAACAGGATAAGACAAATTTCTTGAGATAATTAAAAACCTCATCTTTACAATGAACTAATCGATAAATCATTCCTTAATTAAATTTCACCCATTGCTTTTTAGAAGGAATTTGCAGGTTGTAACTGAAAAAAAAAGGTTTTCCTAAAGTCTATTCCTAGTTTTTTCAAAGAACTTCTATAACATGTATAATGTGGAATTGGATACTCAAGTATTGCTCGGAATTTTTCGGTATTGCTGTATTGGATTTTTTCCTAATACATAATACAGGAAACATAATTAATGTTTTACCAATTTGATAGGCCCTTTGGAAAATTTCAGCATACAGTCCTATATTTAATACACTGACACAACTATGTAAGCTTTTTGGTCTGCCTGTCATAGATTATTAAGTGTTTGGTACATGAGTGTTCTTGTATTTTTCATGATATTATGTGGATTCATTTATTTTTTGTGGATAAAGGAAAAGTTGCATTTTCAGGGATATTTGATTTCGTGGTTTCACAAAAGTCGGCATAAAATCCTATAGAAAATTTGTATTTCGTTGAACATTTAACTTCGTGTACCCACGAAATCCATGAAAATTGATATCAAACGAATTAAAGGTTCATTGAAGTACAAATTTTCTATAGGCTTGTATGCAAAATTGGGCAAAACCATGAAATCAAATATCCTGGAAAATATAATATTTCCTTAATCTATGAAAATTGATATCCATGAAAATAAATTAATCCACAGAAACCTAGTTCTTTATAGAATTATACGATATGTATAATATTTTTCTATATTCAACAGGCTATTATTTGAACTTGGAATTATTTTTAATTATGGAATTTGCATAATTTCTTGTGCTTGAGATTTTTAATAAATTTTATGTTTATTCTGTATTTTAATGTTCTGTGCGGCGCACAACACTTTTTATTACAAAGAATATAGCACATTTTCAATAGAATGTGTTGTGCCGCGCACAACACTATCTATACAGAATACATTGTATGGAAAGTGTTATGCACCACTCAAAACATTATAATACAAAATAAACATGGAATTCATTAAAAATTTCAAGCACAAGAAATTATGCAAATTCCATAATTAAAAATAATTCCAAGTTCAAATAATAGCCTGTTATTCGCTGTTTTTGTGAGTTTTCCTAATCTACTCAAGTGAATAATGTACAACAGTATTGTGTAAACATGCTTTCATTTTCATTTAGTGTCAACTGAATATTAAAGTAAACTACAAACCACCGCCGTCTGCTCAACCAGCAGCTCCATCTGGTGGTGCCTCAGGACAGATGGATCAAGAAGGAGGTTAGTCCATTTTTTCTGCTAGACCAAACTGGTTTAGTAAATTCTCTATTACCAAACTGGCAGCTTTGCTCAGCATATAAAGCCATATTCAGGATGACCTTTGCTGATACAGATTGAAAATGCTTAGAATTTGAATGTAACTATTTCAACAACAAAATAAGAACCTAAGTGCAATAATTCTATTATGGAAAACACTTTAACAGTCTATTGGTGGGAATAATGATTACGATTGATGTCTAAATTCCATTTTGTGGCTCAGTCTCAGTACATTTATCAGGAATCTAACTATTCTTTCAAATAAATTTTCATTCATGTTGTTTATTGATGGTAATTTTAGCATAATTTGCTGACTGCTATTTTTCCCCTTAAGAATTTTCCTTTAACAGTTCATGTGGATCACAAGCTATGTATTATCCTAGGGTTGTTTGTGCATTTTTAAGACCTGATTCAATTCATGTAGTGTCAGTTTAGTCAGGGAAAATATAACATGTGTTGCGTTGAAATTTTTGTACATGCATATAGGATATGTAGGAATATATTTTGAACAAATTACGAAAATTCTAAAGTTTGGAAAAATTTGCAGTGTAAAATTTCTCAGCTTAAAATGGATATGATAAAAAAAATTAAATCCAAAAAGGGGGAGAAGAAACCAGACTACATACTGGCTGGTATGTTAATTATTTAGTGAACAGTGAATATTTTTTTTTTTTTTTATCGTCATACATGTAGTATGAAGATTTTATTTCTAAGTACAACAAGTAATCATTTGCACACTGTACAATATATATCACTCCAGTTATACACCATAAAACAAAATATTTCTTTTGATGAACACATTAAAGACTTGTATTCGCATAGCATTGAAATACAATAAGCATATTAATAAATTAATGGTTACTTTAAAAAATAAAACTAGTTGGAATAGACAACCTGTGACCAAGAGACTGTATTATTCATGTAAGTGAGTAAAATGATTCTGTTTAAATTTTAATTTTTATTTACAAGATAACAAAATATTTTAAGCCAAAAAAGGAAAGGGAATTATATAAAACCAGGATAACTTGGGTTATACTGGATATTATGATATTCATCTTGACAAAAGGATTTTGTATAATTATAATATTGGATGTTGTACCCTTTACATGAATTAAGCCATTGTAAAATTTTCAATAAACCAGGATCAACACAAACAAACAAGTTTAGTTTGTGTTACCGGGTAACCACAAACAAAATGTCTTAGTGCTGGTAGAAATCAGGTTTTCCTCATGGCTGTGGTAGCACGCTAGCCTCAAGTGAGTGGGATTGTTGGTTTATTTCCTCATGGCTGTGGTAGCACCCTGACCTCAAGTGAGTGGGATTGATAGTTTTTTTCCTCATGGCTGTGGTAGCACCCTGACCTCAAGTGAGTGGGATTGATTGTTTTATTCTCAATTTTAAAATTTGACTCAGCATGTTGGTTCTAGCACAAAGCAGGTTAGATTCATCTATCATTAACATATTATTGTCCTGAATATACATGTAATATTTCCTTCTGGATGTTAAGCAGCCTTCAATCAATCAATTGATCCTCAATTTTATCCATCAGACACACAGAAGATATGAGTTTTAACTTCTGTAAAGTGTATGTGTTGAAATCTTTATAAACTGCTGTCTGCCATTAAATCATTTCTTAACTTGAATATACATTTGTTAACATAGGCAAGTCTGCAGTCTCTCATTAAAATTTTGTTTTTATTTTACAGGGGATGTTGTTGGAGGAAATATGATGGACATGGCAGATGGAGAGGAAGAAGAAGAGGAAGAAACTGGACCTCCACAAATTGACCCTACCACTGGACAACCTGTTCCTAGACCTAAGAAAAGGAGGCGAGCAAGGGGCGCCATGGCAAGAAGAATGTTGGGAAATCTGTCCACAAAGGCTACAGATTTTCAGGTAAAGGTTATGATTTATCAGCACACATTCTAACAACAATATCCTATTTTTTGTCGAGCCTGCGACTTTTGTCGCAGAAAGCTCGACATAGGAATAGTGATCCAGCGGCGGCTGAGGCGGCAGCGGCAATAGCTAACTTTTTAAAAGCTTTATATTTTAGAAAGTGGAAGACCTGGATGCTTCATACTTTGTATATAGATGCCTCATGTTACGAAGTTTCCGTCAGTCACATGTCCAATGTCCTTGACCTCATTTTCATGGTTCAGTGACTACTTGAAAAAAAAGTTAAGATTTTTTGTAACGTTAAATTCTCTCTTATTATAAGTAATAGGATAACTATATTTGGTATGTGCGTACCTTACAAGGTCCTCATGCCCATCAGACAGTTTTCACTTGACCTCGACCTCATTTCATGGATCAGTGAACAAGGTTAAGTTTTGGTGGTCAAGTCCATATCTCAGATACTATAAGCAATAGGTCTAGTATATTCGGTGTATGGAAGGACTGTAAGGTGTACATGTCCAACTGGCAGGTGTCATCTGACCTTGACCTCATTTTCATGGTTCAGTGGTTATTGTTAAATTTTTGTGTTTTGGTCTGTTTTTCTAATACTGTATGCAATAGGGAAATTTTTGTGTTTTGGCCTGTTTTTCTTATACTGTATGCAATAGGTCTACTATATTTGGTGTATGGAATGATTGTAAGGTGTACATGTCTAGCTGGCAGGTTTCATCTGAACTTGACCTCATTTTCATGGTTCAGTGGTCAAAGTTAAGTTTTTGAGTTTTGGTCTTTTTTTCTAATGCTATATGCAATAGGTCAACTATATTTGGTATATGGAAATATTTTATGATCTATATGTTGGTCGCACAGGTTTTATTTGACCTTGACCTCATTTTCACGGTTCATTGCTCAGTGTTAAGTTTTTGTGTTATGGTGTGTTTTTCTTAAACTATAAGCAATAGGTCAACTATATGTGTTGTATGGAAGAATTGTTAGTTGTACATGTCTGCCTGCACATGGTTCATCTGACCTTGACCTCATTTTCATGGTTCATTGGTTAATGTTTAGTTTTTTGGTTTATGTTAAGTTTATGTGACAGTTGTAATAAAGCTTTATATTTAGGACTATCAACATAATATCAATGATTAATAAAGAAGGCGAGACATTTCAGTGTGTGCACTCTTGTTGAAGAAAAAAAACACAAAAAATATGCACAGCTGCTATATTTGACACAAAAAAATTAAATATAGAATCTTCTACTTGTAAAAATAACCCTAAAACAAAGCAATAAATATTTAAGATAAATCTGTAAATTGAAATTCGAAGGTAACAAATTATGACTTGGCCTTTTGATGGCTTTGGTCAGATTAGATTCAAGATTAAAGCTATTACTGAAGATAGATATTCTGGGTCGGAACTTAATTTTAACAACAAATTTGATGCAATTTATTCTGATGATAACATCAAGTCTCAAAACTAGTTTTTGAAACAAAGTTCCAAATATTATTTGATATTTAAAGATTTATCCCAAACTTAAGTTGAATACTATTTCCATATATAGTTAATAAAAGCAAAATATTGTGGTTGATTTAGTTCTTGACATTTTGTATAGATACCTGTCTTGTGTTGATGACTGTATCATGCCCTTTAGATATTTTTGCTAAAAAAAAATTGACTGTTTCTGCAGTAATTGACAAAACTGAAAAAAAAATATGGGCCTTTATTTTCAGATAAGAGTGAAGATCATTGAAGCTCGCCAGTTACAGGGAGACAACATACAACCATGTGCCAAAGTAACAGTTGCTAATCAAACAAAAACAACCAGAGTGAAAAAATCAACAAACAGTCCTTATTGGAATGAACCTTTCTTTTTTAATTTCCATATATCACCATTAGAACTATTTGAAGACTATATAGAATTTAAGGTAAGATTTTACAAAAAATATATACAGGAGGATCATATTTCTTGACTTTGTCAGCAGCAACAATAACATAAAATTGATATTGAACAGACATCCAGTCCCTGTGCAAGCCAGTTTCTTGTCACTAAAATTTTATCTAATTTTTCACTGAAATTTGTACTTTCTATTTAAGATTTCTAGTGATATCTATATTAATGTTATGAAAAAATAAAAAATGAAAAAATGTGTTCATATGATCCATGTAGTAGAGTAATCAATTAGGACATCACAGAAACTACATTTCTAAGTGATTTCATATAAATTCTATGATTTTGGTCTATTTTCAATCTTTTTTTAATTAACAGACAACAAGCACTTAATTATAAACTAAACATGGTGCCTGTCTAAGTGTAAGGCCATATAATTTCACAGAATATACTCTGATAACAAATCTAAGTCAATTTTGTATGACATGTGGCAAATTTAACATTCAAAGGACCAAAGGATCGGAAATCAGATTAAGAAATATGGGGCTGCCAAAAAAAGAACTAACTCTTAATGAATTTGCCATTATAGAATCTCATGTGTTCTGGGTATTATTTTCAAAAGTATACACCAAATCATTGAGATTGGCTATCAAGGTTATATACAAGGGGAGTGCAACCAGAATTTTGACATTATTTTAATTTCTCAAGTGAGCAAATTGACCACTACATAGAAAGTTGGTTAAGACATTTAAGGTTTTATTGTCTCGCCTGCAACGTAAGAAGCAGAATGCGAGACATAATGATAACAATCCTGTGGTATCTGCGGCTGTGTAAACTATTTCTACTTAGCTTTATATTTCAGAGGGTAGAAAACCAGGTGGCTTCATACCTTGTTTACATGTTTATGATATGAAGTTTCCATCTGTCATGTGTCCATAGTCTTTGACCTCATTTTTATAGTTCAGCAACTGCAAGAAAATGGGTTAAGACATGGATGATTTTAATTATAATTGTACTAATTTGGGGATTAAATTTAATTCAGTATCTTGTAAGTATATGAAACTATATGAATCGACATACACATGCTAATTAAATGTTTCATGTCAATGCAGAAAAGATGCACAGAATAAGTCTGAAGAATGAATGTCTCAAACTCATATCGTAGTGGTGTCTTCTTAAAAAGTTACAATAACTACAATTATATAATTGTCACTCTATTTCCTTATCAATTTGTATTTCAGGTGTTTAATGCCAAAACATTTAGATCTGATTCAATGATTGGATCATTCAAGGTTGGTACAGACTGTAGTAAAAGTTAATCTCAGATATATTTTGAAATTTAAATTTTCTGCCGTATGAGCACTTTTGCATAATGATAAAAGTTCACTATTTTATGTACCCATATATATGTTTATTTAATGATGTATTTATATCTATTGTAAATTTTTTATTGAAAAAAATGTTTCATCATGCAACAAATAAAATTAGCAAAACTTGTATAGAATCTACTCTTTATCTGTTTGAATAATATCTAAGTTGTTTGTCATAAACATGGAAATTAGTTAAAAATATCTACTTTTTTTATTGTTTTTCAATATTCGTATTTTAAATTTATGCAAAAACCACTCTTACTGTTAAATTTAAAAAAAAAAATTGTTGAAAAAGTTTACACTTTGATAATGTCATGACAGTTATTTAAAAATTGTAGTTTAGACATTGCTTCAACACTGTAGAATGTTTTTAATGCTTGCCACTATTTATCAACAGATGGAAATAGGTCAGGTATATTTAGAAAACCGACATGCTTACATGAACAAATGGCTGCTACTTAGTGATGAAGAAGCAGAAATGGCTGGGGCCAAAGGTTACCTTAAGATGTGTGTTTGTATTGTAGGACCAGGAGATGATGCTCCGGTATGCTCATTTTATTAAACAGTATTTATAATATGTAATCTGCATTACACAAAATCAGATATCTGCTGTTAATCTCCTTATTCTTAGAAGGGTTGTGCAAAAAAATAAAATAAAAAAATAAAATAAAATAAATGAATGTAGTGTCTTCCTCATAAATATTGCTATCTTCAATTTATAATATATATTTATCGCTATTTTTTCAAATTTTCCATTTGTTCTTTTTTGATGATAACATAGCACGCTTCTTGACCGATATTGGTTTTTCTCAGTCAAGTAGAATGTGTGATGTCATAAGCCTACGTCATTGATGTTACCTAGGAAAACAGCAATAAACAGATTATGAGTTGTCTTTTAAACTTGAGTATGTTTCTCGGCTACATCTCATCTCAGGGCAATTGTAGATGAGAAACATCCTCTCGTTGGAAAAACCGTCGATAATCGAAAAGTAGAATTTTCAATAAGTTTTCTTAACCTTTTCTTCATGCATAAGATTTTATAAGATCTCATGCTCAAAATCCCTAGTAGCTTGATATATTCCATAGAGGGGATGTGAAGTGATTTACATTTCCAATATAAATTTTGATTTAAACTGTATGGTCAGATTTTTAAACCCCCTTTCTATGAGTGATACCTATATTTCAATCACTTTGTCCAACAAATATTTTCTTTACACTTTTCTGTGAAACTACTGAACAGAACCTCTTTCATATTTGGTCATAGCAGCTTGACAGTGATGCGTTGTAATGTGTGAGCACTTTACAGATCTACTTCCTGTTTGAGGATACTTTGAAATTTTCAATATATGTCAAATGAACTTAAATTTTTTTTAACATAAACATCTTTCATTGTATGATTTATAACCTAAAGACATGATTTTCATTCAACTTACATCCAGCAGTTAATGTTATTAGGTAATTACAGCAATGATTTATTGTTTAGACTGTAGTTTTAAGCATGGACTCTCTTCCACATAATAATTTATTGTGTTTTAATTGCACTAATTTTTATCTGATTTTTTATTTAGTAGGGTAAATAAGATAGTATATAGTACTGTAAATTCAGAAATTATTGCAAGGTTTTTATTAATGCGAATAATGCGACTGATTGAGTATCGCAATAATATTAACTCGTATTCTGATAACTGAAACATAGACCTGTAAGCAGATGAGTTTGACATCGCAATAATTAAACTTGCATTTTTGTCCATTCTTGAAAAATCGCAATAATAAATGCACGCAGTAATTTCTGAATTTACAGTATGTAAGTATACAAGTATATATAAAAAACTATATAATAGTGTTAGAATAATTTTATTTTAGAGTTTTAAAAGTTTACCAGCAGAAGGGGAGGATGATATTGAAAGGTATGTTTTGTTAACTGCTAAAATCATTGAACTTTCTAGCGTTATGTTTTTTAGTTTTTCTTTAAATTATTTTTGATAATGACAAATTTTAAATGGCTCTTGATTTTATCTGTATGATAAAAATTCATATTTTCATAGCTGAGAAAGAACATATTTTTGAATTGGTTTTCAAGAAGTGCAAAGGTTTCATAAAGTTTAATGCATAGTCTATGAAATAGACAGTTCTAAATTAAGGGATTAAATTGCCCCTTCTACACCACCACTCACATTTGTAGAAAATTATTGAAGATTACTTAAAATTAACTTATTTATTTGACCCATAACCTTTTCTTGCAGTCATCTGATGGGATGATTAGAATTCCAGTAATTTAAGAGACATATCATATTTTTCTTTACAGTAATCTACTGAGACCAGCAGGTGTCCAGTTACAACCTGCCACATTTACAGTGAATCTGTTTAGGGCAGAAGATATACCAAGAAGTAAGTGGCATCAGAATTATAAAAAGCAGTCAGCAAAGAATTAGAGCAATTATTCCACAATTAAATTACTGTTTACATATTTAGTTGCAAGTTGTGTCCAGTCTATATCTTAAATTCCTCTTGAAATAGATTATTGATATTTGTTTAAGCGTTTAACTCTGCCTGATGTTGTGTCACACAAAATATTTGAATATCTGGCTTACAAGTCAAGGTTACTAATGTATTTGATAGTTGCCCACCTAGCACATTGTGTCCACTTTTAACTTTTAACTGTAAATCAACTATTTATACTATAAATCTAGAGTAATTCGAATTTGGAATATATGAATACAATTTTTTTTTAATTATAAAACTTAATTGTTGCAAAGTTGGTTGTAAAGGGGTAAACTAAAAAAAAATAATTCAGGAATAAGTATGTTGGTTTAAAGAGTTGAAAGGAACCAAAAGGGGAATTAAAACTCATAAGTTGAAGAGAGACAGACAAAGTCATGGCAAGAAAACAAAAAATGATGAAAAGACTTACCACAATTATATTAGTACCCATTGGGTTAATTGATAAAGCTTGGTATCATAAAGATGATGGACGGATGTTTAACACAACCTCCCACACTCCAGGCAAACAGGCATTCACCAGACCATCAACATGGTTAAATATATTCATTAATATTGTGTGTTTTCTATCTTCATAACCTGATGGAGTTAATTGATGACATTTGTTATGGAGATTCACCACTATCTGAATGTGTGGTCTCTCAAATTTCTTTGGTTTCTTAGGTTTTGAAAATTATACAGAACAATGCATTATGTGTACCCCTCCCTAAAAAAGTCTCCTCCCTCCCGGGTAAAAAATGTATATAAATGATCGTGGAAATGATCGTAGAATTTTTATTTGAAAGCATCTTACAATAAATTGAAAGTATTAACAGCAAATAATAACATACATATTTATTTTCAGTGGACTCTAACTTCCTTCAAGGAGTAAAGAAATTGTTTGGTTCAGATGACAATAAGGAGTTAGTTGATCCTTATTTTGTGTTGACATTTGCTGGAAAGCAGGTTTGTAATTTTTTGGTTCTGAATGATTGTTCATCTACATCCTGTTAGATTGAACTTTATCAACATTCAATACAGTTAAACATTTAAATTTTAAAATATGAGGTTTTGACAAACCTTTTTGAATGTTTTGAAATTTAATGATTGATTGATTGTTGGTGTTTATAATGCCACTTTCAGCACACTTAGTTATATCATGACTGCCATTTATACAGGTGGAGGAAGCCAATGTACATGGAAATAGAAAAGTAACTGTCATGAAATAGATAATTGAACTGTTTATGATTTAATGTGGTTTAAGCAAAATAGTTTTTTGGACCCCAAAAATGACATTGTGAATTCAACAAAAACAACTTGAATATAAGGTAAAAATGCACCATCACAGAATTTTTCTATGAGACTATATACATGTTTTTTGTTGTTATTTTTATTACAGGCACAATCAAAGATTATGTATAACAATGACCACCCTGATTGGAATCAAGCCTTAAGTCTTGGAATACAGGTAAACTGATTATGTCTTTTAAATGAAAATAAATGCAAGTAGGTCGGAAATAAACTTTTAAATATCATAGGGATAGCCCTGACATATTTATTACTTTACCCATGTAACAAAGAAGAGGGCTAAGGAGGGTGGGGATGTTTACTTTTTCTCATGAACTACAAACCAGAGCTTTTTTTAAATACGGTAGCAAGCTTCATGTGGCTATGTTATACTATGTGTTCATTGCTAATCATCTTCCAAATACTTATATGGTCTTACATATAATGGCCTTGTATGAAATTTTCCTGGCAATTTTCTCAGGAATTGTTAAACAGAGCTTCCTGAAATTTGGTAATTAGCTTTATGTGAGCATGCTAAACCATGTGATGTGTTTTCACATCTATTGGCTCATCCACTACTTCTATACCAAAACATTTTAGCAGGGGGTATCGATCATTGGAGAGTAATAGCTCATCGTTCAACTTGCATTTCTTTTAGAGTTGATATAGAATTGACCAAGAAAATTGGTTAACACATGATGAGTTTTTCCTGTAAATAAAATTAAGGTCAATAAAATTGAGTATGGAAATGGGGAATCTGTCAAAGAGACAACAACCAGACCAAAGAGCAGAAAACAATGTATGTGTTGAAAAAATCCTTGATTAATTAATAGTTTTTTTGGTACTTCATTATATTAAATTTATTAATTGTAGTTTTCTTTCTACATTTCTAATTCCCTTCCATTTGTGAAATGATAAAGTTAATTTTAGAAGATGATCTCTTTCTATTTTTCTAGTTCCCATCCATGTGTGATAAAATCAAGTTCATTATAAAAGATTGGTAAGTTGAAAAAACTTAAAATCATTGATATGTTTAAACAATTTTCAAAATCTTAAGGCCATGCAACGTTGATGAAAGTGCAGTTTTTAAAGATGAATTTTCACTTTAATATGTATTACACTAATAAGATAGTTTAAGAAACATTGTTTGATTCATAACATACACATATGTTGCAATAGTGTAAAATATTTTGGTTAAAAGCAATATCTATTTTACATTTAGGTAGAAAGTATTTTGTCAATGATTACATGAAATAGTCCATGAACTATGTATTCCAGTTATGTGTGCCTTTAGTCTATAGTCTGTTCTGAAAACTTGAATTGACTCAAAAATTATAATTTTATAAAAGTTGTTATCAATCCATAAAATTAGCACTGGTTTGATGCAGTGAGGAGCAACAAGGAGAAGCAGATATTTCTTGTTACATAATCTTCATGTAATATTTAATTTATATAAATTACTCAACTACATTTTATATTTAACATATTTATAGGTGTATTTACTTTCAACATAATTTTGACCAATCTCAATCATACAGCTGTAAATACATGTATGTGTATGTTGAAGTAACACAAAAATCTATCTACTTCTTACTGTTGGCTCTTTATTGTAGGGAACCAGTTCTATATGTACTTCCCAGGATTGGAAATAACTTGTTAAATTTTGATTTTAGAGTAATTTTATTGTTAATTCACTTGATATTGTCAAAAGTTGTAGTTTGATACAAAGCCTTATTTGAGATAATTTATTAGTTATAAATCTTTTTTAAGAAAATAAATTTTCATGTAAAATTTTTGTCATAAAATTTGTATCAAGCTTCAACAAATCACTGATTGATCATAGATTTATAAACAAAAATTTCCCATTTATTCCATATAAAGACAGATATCTTAAAAAACTTTATTTTTTGAATGAGCTTGTAAAACTAAAATTTCAAAAGTTCATGACATAGATTGTACATAATTTTAAATCCAGTACATAAAATTTTAATTATTCAAGAAATATCATCAGGATGATATATGATTGATTGACAGTTGTTTGGTTAACGTCCAGTGGAAAGTATTTCATACATATTCAGGACGAGAATCAATCATACAAGAAATCAATTAGATACTTGTGAAAAGTGGATAGTCCTATAATATATGATTGATTGATTGTTTGTTGCTTAATGTCCAGTGTATAATATATGAAAAATAGAAGGCATATTATGAATTTATAGAACATATTATTGATATTTGTTTATTATATGATCAAGCTAATTACAATTTATAGTTGAGTAGTTACTGTGGATGCATTTATTTTCGTGGGTACCAATATTCGTGGATTGAGGAAAACTTTTTTTAGTGGATATTTGATTTCGTGGTTTTGCCAAAGTCTGCATACAAGCTAATAGAAAATTTGTAATTCGTTGAACATTTAAATTCATGGTTCACCTGTATACTTGAAATCCAGGAAAATTGGTATCCCACGAGTAATATTGAATCCATAGTAATATGTTTTAAGGATCATTAATTCACATTGCTGCACAGATTGTGACATTTTCTCATAATGTTCTTGTTAACACTGTACAACAATTAGATATTAAATAAGAGTTCATATACTTGTTTAAATTCTCTTTAACTATGCAATTATGTAATCATAATGAAAATACGATTCATTCAACATAAACATTGCACAATTAGTCAAAAAATATTTGCACAATATTTAGAAAATTCATAGTTGAAATTTTAACCCCAAAATATACTTGAATTATATATGCCACATATGAAATCTGATTTCCTCCATATAAATGAAATAAACATGTGATGTTATCCTATATTATTGCTTTATTATTTGTCCCTGAGGTAGGTTTGTTAAAATTCTGTAAACAAGATATTATGAAATTTTGAATTACTTTTAAAATCATGTCAATAACTTTGGATTTGCACAAGCAGATAGATAGCCTGAACAGTTGAACAAAAAGTTCATTTATTTTCGTGAAATTTTCTTTTAAATTTTGCACAAGGGTTGTATCAGGGAGAGAGAAACATAGTAAACTTATATTATATTTAACATAACACCCTATTATTTTGTACATAAATTAGGTCATTAGTTTTCTCTTTAGAATTGTTTTACATTTGTCATTTCGGGGCGCTTTTTGTAGATGACTATGTGGTATGGGTTTTGCTCATTGTTGAAGGCCGTACGGTGACCTAAAGTTGTTAATTTCTGTGTCATTTGGTCTCTTGTGGAGAGTTGTCTCATTGGCAATCATACCACATCTTCTTATTTTTATACTAATAAACTTTTAAAAATTTGTGGTACTGGCCACGATGCTCATGTAAATAATGATTTTGATAAGTGATATGCCATATACTTTGAATGTTCTACATCTTTAAGTCCTTTTTTAATGAAAATATATACTGTAAAAAAATTCTACCTTATTCAAGTGAAAGAAACTTTTTGATTTAGACGTACATTTTTATTCCTTTCAATATTCAGAAAGATAAGGAAAATGGTATTACACTGTATTTAAATGATGTTGTCCAGTGTCATTTTCTTTGCTTGGAAATTATTATATAGATGCAATACAGTTTTAAGTTTTGCTATGTAGTTTAAGATTATGAAAAAAACGGAAAATTGTATTATTTTTAAATAATGTTATCCAGTGTCATTTTCTTTGCTTGGTCTTTATTCTTATAGAAACCATACAGTTTAAGTTTAGCTATGTAGTTCAAGATTATGATCCTTTAGATTTTTAGCAGTTTATGATTTTTTGTTTTTCATCAGCTTTTATTTAGAAATTTAAAAATCCTTTTCTTTTTTTTTCTCTTTTTTTTTTAACGATCACTTTTAAGCTATATAAATTGTAACAATGTGAATTTACATAGATTCTACCACTGGTTGTTATACAATGCTTCTTTGCTTGAAAAAAATAAAATTTTCTAAATTAAAATGCAAGATATGCCAAACATTTTAAATATTTGAAATTTAAATGTTAGGATGGAAAAATATATATCTCATGAGATTTATCATACGATATGGATGCAATTTTTATCTTTCTTTTTCAAAGATCTGTAAAAAACCTATTTTCTTTCTGTGAAATATCATCAGACATTTTCATCTTTTTTACCTGAAATCAGTGTCACAAAATCAGAGAAAGGCAAGAAAAATTGGTGGCATAATTGAATTTTGAACAATTTTGAACATCCAAACCACAAATAAATTGACAAAATGGCAATTGTCAGAAAAAGTAACAAAAATATTTCATTTAATTAAAAAGTTCAGTTTGTAGCTGACTGTTTGCTGATATAAGGTTTTTTTGTACACTTTCGTCGGATTTCTTTTCTACATAATTTTCCTATATCTATAACAGCTGCTGCTAAGGTGCTTTTGTCATTTTGAATGAAGTAATGTCTATCACAGCATTTAACTGTGAGTAATCAGCTGGCTTTTATTTTTCATTGATGTCTTAAAATGAAATTACGTAAGGTTTTTTGTAAACTGATTTAGTCGGTTAAAATGAATTTTAGTAGAAGCATCAAACAACTACAGCCTGCTTGAACTTTTACATTTTAAATATCAATACAACTGTTGTAATTTATCATGAAGTGGATACACATTATTTTCATGTTTTCTTACAAATAAATACATGTATCAGAATCTGCAGTTCAACATCTGCCAATGCATGCATTTATTTATAGTTAGACTATTTTCAACAGTTTTTCTTGTTTTGAAAGCTTTATTGTCAAGAACTCTTCCCTAAAACCTGATATTTTTGGTAGTTAAAACTTTTGCCGATTTGCTTTAGGGATCGTGTTAGTGAGGATGACCCTATATCATCTGCCAGACTTGAGATACCAACGTTATCTGTTGCTGGGGAAACTGGTTGGTTTTATCACTTATAATTCATGCATGTTCTCTGCTGTTTATTTTTGATTATTTTCTGTTCAGTTTCTTAGATCCAAAGGGGAGACAGCAATACATGAAAAAGTATATTTGAATTTTAAACAAGGTCTCTGTAAGCTTCAATGTTTAGTAAGAAATAAATATCATATATTTTCATATTTTTTAAGAATTTTGTAGTAAGAAATTCACAACTCTGTTGCCACACAAAATTTCAGATAGTTTAAATACTTAAAAATGATAAATAATTAATTAGTAAGTGTTTCAAACTTTTGGATCTAAAATATTTTAATGGTTATTGCTGTAGTCCACACGCTTCTGCACACCTGATAACACTTACTTTTATCCAGACAACAATTATACAATCCATATCATTATAACACAACAGGTAGGTCTAGCATCATAATGTTGTTTACAAAGCAACTTGATTTTGGCTTGTATTTTTAAAAAGAAATGTGGCTTAGGTATATTTACTTATAGTTTCAACTGATATTGAAAACTTGTTAAGTGGAAAAGATTTTGATGAAATTTGAAAAATTTGTTTCTATTGATCCTTTCAATGTATTAGAACCATTAACCTCTCAAAATACATGACCATGTAGTTGTCTTGTAAACAATACTTGTGATCTGTAAATTTAATATTTTATCAACAGTTATGAATTAATGTATAGTTATTTATATGTATTAATATTATATTTGAATTAAAATTTCTGCAGGGATCGTGTGACGGAGGATGATATCATCGGAACCTATATGTTACCATTATCACTTCTCTCTTCACCGGGTGGCGAGGGTACCAAGTTTTTTTTTAGTTTCTCTTATTAGAATGTTTCACTATTAATCTGTGCACTGGTATTTTGCTACTTGAATGCTTATCAATGACAAATTTCTATAATGAAGTCTTACTTAGCAATTTCATTTAGCTAAAATTTAATGGGCTTTTGTGAAACATCAAAGGTTTTAAACATGTATACCTATTTCAAATTGAAATTATCTGATAATTTACCTCCTTTGTGGGTCATAGGCTTCTAATAACTTAAAGTTTATTTAATTTTTTTCTGCCAAATATATCTTCCCTAATAATGCCTCTATATCACAAACAAGTGAATTCATATTGTAATTTTTTTATATTTTATATAATCTGCGATTACTTAAATAAATAATGCTGTAAGATTTTCATCTCTTAGTTTACTTATATTCTGCTTTTTATGTATTTTGTAATTGTGCTTGTCTTCTTCATAATTAGAAGTGTAGTATGTAAGCATTTTTTATACATATATGTTCCTTGTTTTCATAATTCCGACAGGTTTTTTTTTAAAGCCTTGTCTCTCTATATTGTATGTTTCATTTCTGAAATGTATGATTTTAGTACAATAGAAAAATTTTCAGCAAAGATTTTGGACTGTAACTTGAATAGAGTTTACAATCGCCAAACGAGTTGAGATTTGAGAAATATATTGAAAATTGATATGTAAAAAATGACTGTACATGTTCATGTTGCATTTAAATTTCTACCATTAAGGAATCTAACTCCTATTGAAATTGAATTATGAAAACAGGAATAAGTTGAATGTTAAAATATGCCGAAATGAAAAAGTCTTAGGAACTTGTGCAAGGTGGTTATTATATGCATACTTGCAAGCCAAAATAGCCTATCATATATATGGAACATAGCTTCTTTAAGCCCCCGCCATAGAGGAGGGGGCATTAAGTTTTATCCTTGTCCGTCTGTACGTACGTCCCAAAAATGGTTTCTGTTCTCTAACTTGAGTTTGCCTCAACCAAATGTTATGAAACTTATACACAATGCTTATTACCACAAAACACTGATCAAGTTTGAATTTTTTTGGCGTCACTTTAACCGTTCTAGAGTTATGCCCCTTTATAAATGGAAAAATTGCAAAAATTTTAGTTTCTTTTCTCTTACTTAAGTTGCCTCAACCAAATGTTATGAAACTTATACACAATGCTTATTACCAAAAAACACAGATCAAGTTTGAATTTTGGTGGCCCCCTTTATAAATGGAAAAAATGCAAAAATTTTAGTTCCCATTCTCTAACTTAAGATTGCCTCAACCAAATGTTATGAAACTTATACACAATGCTTATTACCACAAAATACAGATCAAGTTTGAATTTTGGTGGGGTCACTTTAACCATTCTCGAGTTATGCCCTTTATAAATGGAAAAAAAAATGCAAAATTTTTAGTTTCCTTTCTCTTACTTAAGTTGCCTCAACCAAATGTTATGAAACTTATACACAATGCTTATTACCACAAAACACAGATCAAGTTAAATTTTGGTGGTGTCACTATAACCATTATTGAGTTATGCCCCTTTATAAATCGAAAAATTGCAAAATTTTTAGTTTCCATTCTGTAACTTAAGTTTGCCCCAACCAAACATTATGAAACCTATACATAATACACTTTTATTGTTCTTGAGTTATATCCCTTTATAATGTTGTATGCAAGCGGGGGCATCATCTGTGTCCCCATGAACGCATTCTCCATTTATTATAATCTTGCTAAAACGCATGAATATGTAACTGAGTTTGATATATCATTAAAGAAATTAGACTGAAAGTAGAAATTTAATTTTGGTATGGGTATTTCAGTTAATATAACATTTATCATGGTTTAAATTGTCCCTTTTTATTATAAAGGTTATTTTATATTTTTAGTATGATATTGCCTATATGGACTATGTTTTTATTAATTTGCAACAAGGCTAGTTTTACATAGAAAATACCTATTTACGAGGTTCAATTTAATCAAAAAGTATTGTTTACTATTTCAAATATAGAATATTATTTCAAAATATTAGGATTTTGTCATTGATTTAGTATATTGAAAATTTGGTGTGGAAGTTGGGCTAAGGTTTGAAAAGTTTTTAATATCACAGATTACACATATGTTTTTGTGTTGTTTACTTTATTAATTCCCCAAAACTAGTGTGGTGTTTCTTTATACTAACCCTATAAAAATATATGAATCACTCTCCTAATCCGTCTTGATATTAGATATCCTTTTTAAGTGACATATCTTATCAGGTCTATGTGATATAATCAGATTAATCCTTTATTTTTTATCCATCAGATTGAAAAATTTGCATTGAAAGGTTAGGGTAGTCTTAGACTATGAAATTGAGTTTGATTTTAATGGTGCTAAATAATTCATGTATTGAGTTAATTTTTTATTAAGTGCAATGTCCCTCATGATGCTACAGCCTTATTGAGTGCTCAGATTTCTTTGGTCTGCACTTTAAAAAAAAATGCACTGATTTTTTAAATTTTTTTCTTGTCAAAAAGAGGCATTTAAGACAGAGGTCTTCAGCAAATATATTGATGTTTAAAAATTCATAGAACTGGAGAACCTTTCTACTGCAGTATTTAAGTTTAGGAATTGTTTTCAGCATACAATGTACATACTTGATGATCTGTTCTCTTATATTGAATCTTATATTGAATAATATAGGCATATTTTTTGCCTGGAATTTATCCTATCATATACATTTATAACTATGCTGCATGGCTAACAAAGTCCTGTCCCATGTAAATCATAGTTAGATTTAACGTTTGAATAAAATTAAATAAATAAGTTACAAGATTGATAGAAAACAAGCTTATTTTAGTTGAAGGTATATGACTTAAGATTCATTTATCAATGATATTTCTAATACATTTTTGTAATATTTTGAATAAAGGACACCTGTTAAATGGTAATCATTTATGACAAAGGTTTTTTTGAGTTTTTTCGTTTAAATCAGATGACTTTATGAATTCAGCCTATCAGAGTTGATTTCAACAATGAAAAAGTTTTAAATGGCATTTGATAATATTAATGTAGACCATTTGCAAGAAAATTTGCTAAACATGTTAATAGTTTTTGGTATCATTCTAAATATAGCACCTCTCCTCCCTAAACTATTTCCACAACCCCAAAAAAGACAATTTTTTAGTTTTTCCTTGATTGTTGTCTTTATGGCCTTTTCCGTTCAGGTTTAAGACTATTTTAAAGAAAGTAGATTATGATGTCATCTTTATTTTCAGTCGTTCTTAAGTTGGATATCACTATTTTGTGTTTTATTATCACACCTTCCCCTCTTTTATTGAGCATAAACACGATGGCATGGCTTAAGTGAACAGGGAAGATGGAAACATGATTTTGATAGGCACATCTGTAATAACTGTATCTGTTGTAGTTACTAACAAATATATATGTGGTACTAAGTTACTCCGTATAGGATAAAATACAATACTTAATATATTCTTGACAAAACTATAAGACCAGAAGTGTAATGTCAACTTCAACTTTTAGAGCTTAAGATTAACAATTGTGTATTTGGAATATAAAGTATTTCTTCAACAAAATATCAGTATTTAATCTTTTTTAATTGTAATTTGTTATGAATATAAAAAATGAATAGAGAGTTGAATTTCAAAATGATATACAAAGAACAAAAACAGTTGAATTTCAACTTGACATTATATACCAAAAAGTTTAAAATATCCTGTGTATCTTTAGGCTTCTTACCAACATTTGGACCATGTTATGTTAATTTCTATGGATCAACCAGAGAATTCTCAGAACTTCCCAATGACTATGAAGATCTTAACTTAGGAAAGGTTTGTGAAAAACTTTTATTTTTATACCTAAGCCACTGAGTTGCTTATTTTTATAAATATGCCTCTTAGTGGCACAGACATATTTAAATATACAATCATAATTTCTGATATAACTTATCAAAAATTTTATGAAAACCGGAATCTGAGTATTGTTTTTTAACAGAATTAAATCCAGAATGCCATTTTTAGACAAAGTTTCATACATAGTTTTACCTACATTTCATTGCTGTTGTTAAGATACTGATATTTGTTAGAATCGAGCATACCCATGAAAGTTTTTTAATAACATCTTCTTTTTTTCCAGGGAGAAGGTGTGGCATACCGAGGAAGGGCTTTAGTAGAACTGAAAACCACATTGGGTCAGATGCCAGATCAAAATGTAACAGATATAGAAAGTGACAATGTGTTAAGAGTACAGAAATTCATGAGGAGAAGGAAATTTAAATTACATGCTGCCTTCCTTAATGCTACTATGGTATCAGCTGTTGATGCTCCTGTCGAGTTTGAACTTAGCATAGGTAGGACCAAATAAAAGACAAAAGTTCATGCTACTTGTACAACAGCTATCCATGGTCCTGTCACAGAAGCGAGCAACCCAATTTCTTTTCAAATCCTAAATTATTTTAATCATTTGTCTTATCGTTATAATTACTGATAAATATTCAAATCCAAAATTTACTGAGTGAAAAAGGGTATGCAATTTATACATTAATAGTGATCCAAAATTTACTGAGTGAAAAAGTGTATGCAATTTATACATTAATAGTGATGAACTTTTTACAGTAAGATGTAAACAGTGTCTCAGTGTTGAAGGCCTTACAGTTGCTTACATCCATACCACATCTTCTTATTTTCATATCACAATGAATTATTTTTAAATTATTTTACAAGTAAAATATAGTTATTCTATTGCATATATGATATTTTATAGATTTTAAAATATTAGAATCATTTTGATAAATAAACTCATAACATTAAACCAGGACTCAACAATATAAAAAATCCCCAAAAATATTTTGGTTTGTTTTTCTGAATATCTATTTATTTTGACAGGTAACTATGGCAACAAACTTGACGATAATGTACCACCATGTTCTTCTACAACTCAGCCAACAAATGCAGTATTTGATGGATGCCATTATTATTATCTGCCATGGGGAGGAACAAAGCCATGTGTTGTGGTTGACTGCTCATGGGAAGATATTAGTTTCCGATTGGAAACTTTGAACTTGCTTCTCACCATTGTTGATAATCTGGTATGATTTGAAGATTTTGTTCTATGCTTCAGATATGAATTTGAGAAATAAAAAGATAACTGGTACCAATTTCAGTGCCCACAGAACATTTTTATAGAATTAACTGCATCAAGTACTGTCAAGATCAAACATTTTGGAGGCAACTGTTTTGTAAACAATTCTATATGTCCCTATAATCATTTAATTCACCCCCCGAATTGCAGAGTAGGTGGTATTTAATACTGCAATCACCTTGTCTGTCCATCTTACTTTTGTTACATATTACTCTGCCTCTGGGTTATGGAACTAATTGATATTTGGTCTGATATTTTATAATGTTGACTTGTACCATGTAAGTAATTTTCAGATATGCTGGGCAGTAACTTCCTGCTTGATGATACATTGAATTTTTTTTTATAACCACTTAACATTTAATTTTTCGTCAATGAAGCCAGTGGTGCTTTACATTGCACAACATTGCATGCAACTTTTTGTTGGGGTAATGATTGAGAATTTGGTCACAAAAGGGACTTTTTATATATCTACTGAGAAATGACAACTTGATGTGAAACAGGACTTAAAAATAATCTAAAAAGGTTGTGTGTTAACAGAATATATGATAGATCATTTTTGCAATACAATATGTTTGTTTTATTTTAGGAAGGAAATATTGAACAAGTGAAAATAGGAACCAAAGCCAAATTACCAACACCAGAACTAGCCCAGTTGTTAATGTCCTTGTTAGAACAACTAGTCAATGACTGCAGGTTTGTAACTAAATACCAAGTAATGTTGCTACTTTCATTAGTACCGCAAAATCTTTAAATTTGGTAGGTTAAAATTTTTATAGTTTAGCTGAATGGTACTTAAATTTTTATGGCATGTCGTCTTAATACCAGATTAATTGGAAAATGTAATAAAAAATAACCTGCCAAATTTATTGTGATTAAGTATGGAATACTTTGAACTCAGAAATAACTTTTACTGGTTATATTTACAAGAATGTGTACAAGAAATGCAGTGATTTTGTTTGTGATTCATCAATAAAAACACAAGCTATAATCAAAATCTGTCGAAAAACGAGCTTGTTAAAATTATTATGTTCTGTTTTTGATAGGAAGCAAGTGGCTTTACCACAACAAGGTCGACATGTGGAAAATAATCTAGACAAATTGTTACGTTCTTATCGTAAAGAGGAGTTACAGTATATTATAGAAGAGGCAAGCAATCTGAGAGAAAATGCAACAGACATCAATGAAGCCATATCGGAAGTGGAAGGAATATTGCAGCGTCTCAAGAACTTAGCACAAGAGGTAGGAGATTTTGTGAATGCATTTTACAATATCAATTATATTTGAAGAATTGATTTCTTTAAGAGAGTTGAATACCTTATGCATTGTGCAGTTTACAAATAAAAAATTTAGGAAACATTGGATGACTACTAAATTATAGGTAAAAAAAAAAATCAGCTTTAAAAGTTCATGACTTCCAGTAAAGTTTACTATTTCATACAACAACTGACTGATACAAATGCTCACTTACTAATGTTTCTTAAGAGACTTATGTGTAGGTTTTAATTTTATTGCATTTGCTACAATACTTGTTTAAATTTCAGCCTCAAAACAGCATGCCAGATGTGATATTATGGATGATTAGTGGTGAAAAGAGGATAGCTTACTATAGAATACCTGCCAATGAAGTCTTATATTCCTCACATCCAGATTATATTGGTAGAAAATGTGGCAAAATACAGTCAATTCAAATGAAGGTAGAATACATACATTGTTGTGCTATAAAAATTGATATACTGATCTTGGTAAATACAACAGGAAATTGAGAAAAGAGAGTGCTAACATATATGATATTATTATGTCTCTTGGTTTTGGAATGATCTTCTGTTTTGGGATAGGAGGGTAATATTGATAAAATATGTTTAATCTTATAGAAATTAAATGCAGGTCATTATATATTTTGCAAATATTTTGTTTCTGCAAAGATTTAGAGTCTTTCATTTATTTTTTTTCTCTTTGAATTTAAGTATCCTGGACGTCTGGGTGATGAAAACAAGAAACCTGAAGTTCCTGCTCTTGTCCGATGTAAGATCTGGCTCGGTCTAGTCAATGAAGAGCAAGAATGGCACAAAATGCAAACAGAAGGAGAACTAGCAGTATATGCTGAAACTGTAAGTAATAAGTAAGATTAGAGATTGGAATCCTGCAAAATTTATCCCATGCCATTGTGCTTTTTCTTATTTTGAAATCAAAGAATTTTATAGTATAGAAATTTTAATGATTTTATGTCGCATTCATGTAAGAAAAATAGTCTTAGTACTTAGATTTCATACCTATAGGACACTTGTATTTGGACTTTTTAATTCTCAATATTTACTACAAAAATAGCATTGAATGGTTGCTTTATGTGTTGTGAAGTTAAAAGATTTATTTAAGAGAGTTATCTGATGTTTTTATAGCAGAGTAATATTATTTGACATTATTTTATTGCCAAGGAAATTTGTTCGACCTCTTTGTTCCTCTTTACTTATATTACCTTTTCATTTCTGGACTCTTTAAAAAAATCTAAATTATGTATGAAGACTTACCACAAATCACCAATTAGAAATGACATTGAGTTGGTCGTATGGCAGACATGTGAAGATAAAGAAGAATATTATAAGAAAGGAACTTTTTTTTTACTTTTTTGATTTTTTTTTGTGTTGAGTTTGAGGTTTGTGGATAAAAAAAAGTCCTAGATAGAGTATTATAAAATGACATTGATACATTATATAAATGTGGTTGATTTCGGTTATTCAATAAAACCACTATTCATACTTTCTGAAAATGTAATGAAATAACAACATCAGCTCAATTTATTATTGATACCTTATATAATTGTAGTATGAAAATCAACTGACATTACCAATTGTTGGATGGACAAACAAGGGACCATTAAACAGACCAAAGTGGTCAGACAGTCAAGGAAAAGTAAGATTTTAATGTTGTTGAAAAAAAAAATGATTGGTATTATCTAATGCAAGGAAACCTATGTCTTGTAATCTTATTTTAAAAAATGTTTCTCAGAATATTATTTACAGTAAATATGCTAGTTAAAGAAATGGAGGTATTTTTCAGTAAAATGAAACATTTTGGTGTTAACTGTTGAAGAAGTCGACTTGTGAAGATTCCCCATTTGATTACTATTATCAAAGAAGTCCCTCAAAAACCTGCATTTGACAGGGATTGATCCCTTTACTCAATGCAATTTATTATTGTTGTGTACTATAGAGAATATTTATATTTATTATATCTAGAAAACAAGATAAGTATTTAAATTGTTCTATTTATAGGTCAAATCTCCAAAAGATAAGTTTGAACCACCACCTGGATGGAGATGGGACAGTGAATGGTATATCAGTCCAGAATTAAGGTAATTTTAATGACCTTCATCAATTTACTGGTTCAAACGCCTATTTTTCAGACTTCAAGTAGTATGTGTATGCACACTAGTATTGACTCTGGATGATTTAAAACTGTACATATTAATTGATGGTTATCTACTGTTAAAAAAAATGTATGCTGATCTCTAGATTTCTTTTGATTTTTTGGTGTTTTTGGGTGGTTGTCTCAATGACATATACCTCATATCATCTTTTACTCAAAAAAAAAATTATTTTTTCTGTCTGTTCTAAAATGTTTTCCTTCAACTGCATATGGGATGCAAAAAAACAAAACAAAGAGCCCCACAAAGCAGAGCTTTTACATGCAACAACAAATACAAGGTGACCTTAACATTTGACCTTGATAATGAATGGTGCTTATGTTTTAGTACAAAGTTTGGTGAAAATTGTTTATAGATGGTAACCTCTATGTAACTCATCTCTATATTTTCACAATTGTTAAACATCTTAGACACTCCCATAAATTTTTGACATCACAAAAAAAAATGTTTGATTACATATGTTTGTTGTTTGTGGTTCATGTTACTCAGTCTTTTCTGAGTAGTGTTTTGTAAACTGTTGTTTGTCCTTTCATTGTTTTTTTGTCGTTTGTGTTACTTAGTCTTTAGTTTTTGGAGAAGTGTTTTTGAAACTGTTGTTTGTCCTTCCATTGTTTTTTTGTCTAAGTGTTAGTCAGTCTTTAGTTTTTTGGAGAAGTGTTTTTTAAACTGTTGTTTGTCCTTTCATTGTTTTTTTTGTCGTTTGTGTTACTCAGTCTTTAGTTTTTTGGAGAAGTGTTTTTTAAACTGTTGTTTTTCCTTTCATTGTTTTTTTGTCATTTATGTTACTCAGTCTTTAGTTTTTTGGAGAAGTGTTTTTTAAACTGTTGTTTGTCCATTCATTGTTTTTTTTATGATTTGTGTTACTCAGTCTAGTTTTTTGGAGAAGTGTTTTTTAAACTGTTGTTTGTCCTTTCATTGTTATTTTGTCGTTTGTGTTACTCAGTCTTTAGTTTTTTGAGAAGTGTTTTTTAAACTGTTGTTTGTCCTTTCATTTTTTTGTTGTCGTTTGTGTTACTCAGTCTTTAGTTTTTTGAAGAAGTGTTTTTTAAACTGTTGTTTGTCCTTTCATTGTTTTTTTGTCGTTTGTGTTACTCAGTCTTTAGTTTTTTGGAAAAGTGTTTTTTAAACTGTTGTTTGTCCTTTCATTGTTTTTTTGTCGTTTGTGTTACTCAGTCTTTAGTTTTTTGGAGAAGTGTTTTTTAAACTGTTGTTTGTCCATTCATTGTTTTTTTTGTCGTTTGTGTTACTCAGTCTTTAGTTTTTTGGAGAAGTGTTTTTTAAACTGTTGTTTGTCCTCTCATTGTTTTTTTGTCGTTTGTGGTATTCAGTCTTTAGTTTTTTGGAGAAGTGTTTTTTAAACTGTTGTTTGTCCATTCATTGTTTTTTTTATGATTTGTGTTACTCAGTCTTTAGTTTTTTGGAGAAGTGTTTTTTAAACTGTTGTTTGTCCTTTCATTGTTATTTTTCATTTGTGTTACTTAGTCTTTAGTTTTTTGAGAAGTGTTTTGTAAACTGTTGTTTGTCCTTTCATTGTTTTTTTTGTGGTTCGTGTTACTCAGTCTATAGTTTTCTAAGAAGTGTTTTGTAAAGTGTTGTTTGTCCTTTCATTGTTTTTCATTTTTTTGCCATGGTATTACTGTGCCAGTTTATCTTTGACTTATGAGTTTGAATGTCCCTTAGGTATCTTCCGCCACTTTTTATCGAATGTGGTTGTTGTATGATGTCAGTATGTAAAATGTCATAGAATCCAAAGTAGTGATCAGATGTAATGTGCCTATAAGATGGTCTTTACATACATTCAGATGGTCAATTAATTAACTACATCTCTTCTGCAACTTGAAACATTTCCCTCATTATAAATAAAATAACTTTGCATGTCTGAGTTTCACTGAAATGATATTTAACTATGTGATGTTTTATTGGATGAATTTGATTTGTAGTATGTTGTATGACAAAGATGCTGGACACAAAACATTCATGGAGGATGTATATGAAGTACAATCTCGATTGCCAGGAACTCGCTGGGTAGAGGCTTCTCGACCATGGACAGATGTTGTAAGTAGAATAGAGAATTATGTACTGCAAATTAGTATTTTTTTTTAAAGATTTAGTTACCACTGGTTTCCAGTTTTGACAGACGTTGATTGATTTTGGGGTGTTTAATATCAAGTTGACACTAACTGTGCAATATTCAAGACAAGAACAAGTAGAACTACAGATTTATTTTATAGTTTGAAAAAGAGAATGGACTGATAAAATGTTGTACTGTGTTTGATTTTTGCAGTTTATGAGTTTGCGTCTGTCAGAAAACTTCCCACCTTTCTCTCAATATTAATCTATTTTTTATTTACAATAAAGTTTTTGTGTCATTGGGTTGCTGTCTCATTGATGTTAACCTCTCAACTCCCCTATTTAGCTCACCTGGCCCAAAGGGCCAAGTGAGCCCTTCTTATCACTTGTCGTCCGTTGTCGTTAGCTTTTTACAAAAATCTTCTCTTCTGAAACCACTGGGCCAAATTTAACTAAACTTGGCCACAATCATTATTAGGGTATCTAGTTTATAAAATGTGTCTGATGACCCCGCCAACCAATCAAGATGGCCGTCATGGCTAAAAATAGAACATAGGGGTAAAATGTAGATTTTGGCCTATATCTCTGAAACCAAAGCATTTAGAGTAAATCTGACATATGCTAAAACTGATTATCAGGTCAAAATCTATCTGCTCTGAAATTTTCAGACAAATCTGACAACCCGATGTTAGGTTGCTGCCCCTGAATTGGTAATTTTAAGGAAATTTTGCAGTTTTCGGTTATTATCTTGAATATTATTATAGATAGAGATAAACTGTAAGCAGCAATAATGTTCAGCAAAGTAAGATCTACAAATAAGTCATCATGACCAAAATTGTCAGTCGACCCTTTTAGGAGTTATTGCCCTTTAAAGTCAATTTTTAACAATTTTTCGTTACAAACGTTTTAATCTTTTACAAAAATCTTCTTCTCTGAAACTACTGAGACAAATTTAACCATACTTGGCCATAATCATTATTAGGGTATCTAGTTTAAAAAATTTGTCCAATGACCCCGCCTTCCAACCATCATGGCCGACTTGGTTAAAAATAGAACATAGGGGTAAAATGCAGTTTTTGGTTTATATCTCTGAAACTAAAGCATTTAGAGCAAATCTGACAGGTGGCAAAAATGTTCATCAGATTAAGATATATCTGCCCTGAAACAGGCCATAATCTGGCCGGCGAAATGACGATTTAAGTCGCCAAAGAATTTTGAAAATCGCTAAATCTCGCCGGCCGACTGACTTCATAGCGAAGTCAAATCGCTCTCAAAATCGGTAAAAGGGAGACAACTTGTGATTGACAAGTCTCACAGGTAAAAAAAATGGCGGCTGACAAGGAAAATCGAGATTTTCGAAACGACCCAGGACTAATACTGTAAACGATCAAATTAAATAAATACAACGGCAACTTTGAACATCCTCGGATATAACTTTCAAAACTGTTCAAACGGAAAACTGACCGTCTGTTTAAGTTATCGTTTTACGATGATTTTCATCTGAGGATGTTGCGTAATCACTCAGCTGATTTGTTTTATTTTTATTACCTACACGAGTCGATCAATTTTACTATTCGGTAGGTAAAGGGTGGGAATTCACGGCAGATTTATTATGTTCATTGAATAAAAATTGAAATATAAAAGGTAGAAAGACAGCTGATGGATAATGTGATTGCAAACGTACGACACTCGACCAGATTGTGATCAGCAGTGGATTTTTTCTCATGACCACTTCGTTGATATGGATGATATTTTTAAAAAATGATAGAAATTAGCTCTTTATCGGATAATTTACTTGAGATTGAAATATATTTTCATTTATAGACTTACAATCTTTAACGATAATCTCAATTTACTACAACTAACATAAATGTCCTGGACATTCAATAATGTTTTACAAAACAATGACAAGTGGTGATATAAATTAAATTCCCAGTCATGTGAAATTCATCATATTTTTCTGGAGTTTTAAAAATAAATTGAGGCAGATGCACATGAATTTAATGCATCATAATCTTGAATATATTACTATGCTACTCCCTCATGTCCCAATCAACAAATTTTATTTAGAACACATTATGGTATCAATAAATAAATAACAACTATATATTGTCTAAACCTTTTAATTAAGAACTTTCTATATATACATTGTGTACAATAACATATGAAAAAACTGCAAGTACATCTTTTATTGAATAAAAAACAATTTCCTTAGTGATAAGCTTGAAAACACGATGCAACCGAAACGGTAATGGAATCTCACTTCTCCAAGAAGTTGACCACTTCTCCCTTCTCTCTTGGAAGGAGAAGTCACTTCTCCCTCTTCAAAATCCTAGATTAGGCCCTGCTGAAATTTTCAGACGAATCTGACAATCCGTTGTTGGGTTGCTGCCCCTGAGTTAGTAATTTTACAGAAATTTTGCAGTTTTTTGTTATTATCTTAGATATCATTATAATATTTAATATCTAATACTATTAATTATGATTTTAACCTTATTTTACATGATTTCCAAAGCATCAGTAAATACAGGTGAGCGACACAGGCTCTTGAGAGCCTCTAGTTTTAAAAAAGCAAGGATTTTTTTTATAGCATAGGTTATATAAACTCCTCTTAATAAGAACAGGAAGGTTCTGTGATGCTGTCACACAAATAAGACTTTTACATGATGTACTGTTTCTGATTTTGTACTTACACAAATTATTGTAATTGTTTTACAGAAAGGTGATCCTCTTGCCAGTAGAACAGAGATCCAGTTACCTGTAGGTTGGACCTGGGAAGATGAATGGGAGATAGATCTTAGTAGGGCTGTGGATGAAGAAGGTAAACAAATACATTAGTCTTTCTTTTCTACGATCCACACACTAACAGTCACCCTATGTAAAAGGACATTTAACAGGAATTTTTTTTATGTAAAATCATCTCTCAAAAACAATCACTTTCCAAATGTGACCAGCAATCCCCTAATTTTGAGGTGAGAAAATGAAATTAATACCTGAATAACAACTATCAGATTTAATCAGAAATTTAATCAAACCATTCCCTTTATTGACTTATTGCCTAATCAAAGCAAATTATGTACTCAAGTGAAAAAGGTGACAGTCAGATGGCTTTTTAAGATCACCAATCATTCAGTTATCTTTATTTCCAAGCATTTTTAAAAGAACATTTAACCACAGCATGGAGTAACCAATGATAAACCACTCTATCTCATTTAAATTTTAAACTTTTCTTAAAAAGCTGAACTGACCTCAACAGTTACTCTTTTATATCATTTATTTATATATCCTTTTGGAGAAATCATCAGGTAGCAATACACAGTTAGAAGTTTAGTTTCGCATTATGGCCATGGTGAATTTTTTAAATATGAAAGTTTTTGTACAATAAAATAGATTTTTAGATAATTGAAGAATAATATAGCCTTCTTAGTGGGTTTATATGAACATTTAGATTGTTTTTAGCATGTTTTATAGGCAATTTTTCTGTTTGACAGTCCGTATTTTCCTATCCGTACCGCCCATAGGTTCATAAATTATTGTAGTATTTATCAACAAAGATTTTGCGCTCGATCTTTTCAATTCAATTTTATGGAAAAACGAGCAGAAATGCATATGATTTTTTTTGGACCTCTTGATAGATATATGTCTATGGATTCAGGAAAGGTATCACTGTAATTGATTGAAATTTTCCTTTGGACCAAATTTTGGAGACTTTTGTGACATGTTCACCCCCCTTTTATGCAATATTTTGTATCAAAGAAATGCAGATTGTTGCCATGGTTACACCCAAAAGAGATTATATTTCACCATTATAACCATTAGAAATCAAATCTATGGAAGATTCTCTTTCTATAAATATACACATGCATAACACAAATATTAAGCCTTATTTGTTAGAAAGGAAGGGAAAGAGGATGTTTAAAAATTATGAGTGTCAATTTTAAGTTTTTTTCCTAACTGTGTATTGCTACCTTATGGCATTTGACAAATCACAGAATTGCTTATTTTTAGACAAATCATACCACAAATCTATTGATATTTAGATTATAGATACAATTATGAGGGAGAAACATCTTTTAGTATGACAATGTATTGTTACTTTTGTTGTTTATTGTCCTTAGCAACCAATATAGACATTTTGACACAAAGACTTGGTTCGGTCATAAATTGATACTTTATTGGCTACCCTTGGAAAAGAAACAATGCGCGTTATGTAGAAACCTCAGAAGGGAACGCTTTATATTTTTTCATGCGACTAAATCAAATTTATTATTTTAGCAAGTATAAAGTCACAATTTAGCTTGAATTAAGTCTAAATTTGTTCCGGCTGTTATAAATTAATTCAGTATTTGCTAAATTTTAACCAAGGCTTTGGTATGCTAATACACAACAAAATTGACATTCTAAAGCCTTAAAATAGCTTTAACTTGTAAAATTTGTCTACTGTTAAGGTTAATTTAAGTTTTTAAACAAGAAAAGACAAGCACAGAAGGTATAGTTTTAGAAATTTGATTAAAAAAGGAGAATTTACACTTCGACATGGCATGTTTCACCAAATCACTTTTTTGTTGCATTTCAGTGTCAACTGCTAACCTTCATAAAATATTTATTTCTGAACCAATTTTCAAAACTAGCAGGCCAATTTGCTCGTTTAAGCTAGCAGAACACAGAAATCCATTTAAAGTGGAATTGGAAAAAAAAATGTTTATCCTTAAGGTAGCAATACACAGTTAGAAGTTTAGTTTCGCATTATGGCCATGGTGAATTTTTTAAATATGAAAGTTTTTGTACAATAAAATAGATTTTTAGATAATTGAAGAATAATATAGCCTTCTTAGTGGGTTTATATGAACATTTAGATTGTTTTTAGCATGTTTTATAGGCAATTTTTCTGTTTGACAGTCCGTATTTTCCTATCCGTACCGCCCATAGGTTCATAAATTATTGTAGTATTTATCAACAAAGATTTTGCGCTCGATCTTTTCAATTCAATTTTATGGAAAAACGAGCAGAAATGCATATGATTTTTTTTGGACCTCTTGATAGATATATGTCTATGGATTCAGGAAAGGTATCACTGTAATTGATTGAAATTTTCCTTTGGACCAAATTTTGGAGACTTTTGTGACATGTTCACCCCCCTTTTATGCAATATTTTGTATCAAAGAAATGCAGATTGTTGCCATGGTTACACCCAAAAGAGATTATATTTCACCATTATAACCATTAGAAATCAAATCTATGGAAGATTCTCTTTCTATAAATATACACATGCATAACACAAATATTAAGCCTTATTTGTTAGAAAGGAAGGGAAAGAGGATGTTTAAAAATTATGAGTGTCAATTTTAAGTTTTTTTCCTAACTGTGTATTGCTACCTCAAGTATTTACTGTTCAAGTCTTCACATAAGCTGATGTACCTACTCCATCAATTCCATTAAAAAACGGTCCTTATTTCTTATTCGGGTTAAAATTTATAAACTATAAATGTTAATAAAGTATAAGCAGATCAACATATTTGGACAAACAAAGAGCAAACAATAAATTACACTGACTTCAAACATTTGCTTGTACAGATAATGTACAAAATCTGCTGGTATGCCCAGACCCATTAAGAAAGAGAACTCGCATTTGTAAGACCACTTCCATTTTGGTGATTGAGTGGTCCTATGAGAGGGGACTTATGATATATTATTTCTTTTCTATAAATTAAAAGGGTCAGTGTTTCTTATCATTTGAACCTGATTATGGTGATATCATTCTTTTTTATTCCACTGGTACACACTCCAATTCAGAAAAAAGACTCTTATTATAAGGCCACTCTCATACTGATGATAGGGTGGGTCTATTTGAGGGGACAATGGTTATTATTTCTTTCATATTATTGAAAAGTCCATGTTTTCAATCGTTTATACCTAGTAGTTTGGATGTCATTCTTTCTTTTAAATGGCTGTAGATTGACAAACATATTGAGTTTTTGGTTATGGTTATAATATAAAGTGTTAAATTCTACGTTTGGTATTTTCTAACAGGTTTCGAATACTGTGTAGAAGCTACCATTGGTGGGTATGGGCCAGTAGAGAAAACATACCATTTGTGTCGTAGGAGACGTTGGGTTCGTAACAGACGTCTGGTTGACTCAACAAAACAAAAGAAACAGGAAGTAAGTGAATTGCCATGTGATATATTTCCAATTGTTTTTAAATCTCATAAGTAAGGATATAGTCTTATTGTAAATGACCTGCTTTTATCTGTATTAAATTTTTCAGTTCAAATTAAATATTGTTTTTCAGTCTGCAGGTTATCTTTCTTGTTTTCATGACCAGTGCTACTGGGTTTAAATTATCTATTTATTGATTAAGTAATGTATTGCCCTCATGCATAGCTCTAGCTCCTTGGTTTGGTTTGTCTATACTTTTAGTCCTTTTTGTTTTATCAGCTTTTCAAGGTTTATATATAAGAATTAACACCCTTTTGACATTTACAATTGAATTCCATACTTTTAGAGGTTAGGTGTTTGATATATATTTCAAAATCAGTCATGTCCTCTCAACTTGGGTAATTTATTGATGATTTTGAATATTTGAATTGCTGTTTAGACAAAATTTTAACTTTGAAAATTTGAATTGGTGAAAAATGGCAAATTTTTAGAAATGAGCTATCCTTCTCTATCCGGTCTACACAGAACAGAGGTCTGAAAATCCTGAGAATTACCAAAACGTACAAGAATGTAACTCCTTAATTTGTTTGTAATATAGATACACTTTAGGAATAAATATATTCAGTTGCAAGTCCTGGTATAGCCTAAAATCTAGGAAAAGTACAAAGGTCTGGATTATTGGTTAAATTCTACCTTCTGAAGACTGCCATACACAGAACTGTTTTCCTCAAAGCTTAGTACTTTTGTGGTCTTGCTGGTCTAGAAATAGGATAAATATATTCAAAATTGATGTTGTTTTTACACAAGATAGCCCCAGTCAATTCCTGTCAAATTAATTTATAAATATAAAAATATAGAGATTTGGTATGTTTGACAATGAGACAACTATCCATTTAAGAACAAATGACATATATGGCCTTTAACAATGAACAAAACCCTTATTCTATACTGTAAAACATGTTTATTTACACTCAACCCTTCCCCTTGTCAGGGACAGTGGTGTAACATCACAATGTAAGGACAAACTTTAAAAAATGGTTGAAAAGGACTTGACAGATCAGATCAGTATGAAGCAAACAAAAAACAAATAACAAAACAATATGAAATATTTCATATGGCTGATATTAGATATTATTATTATTTTGGTGAAAAAAAATCCATACATTTATTAATTACAAATTACAGATTAGGTCTAAAGCTAAAGCTAAAGTGAGTGAATTGAAGTGATGAAAATTTTCCTCTTATTGCATCAGGCCTGATTGTTTAGTGATGTTGAATTACTAATGTTTGAAAAGGCGCTTCCAAGTGGTTGTTTTTTTCTTTTAAAAATAATTGCATGAATGTATGAACTTAACCGGTTGCTTCATAATAAATTAAGTTAATGTAGCATACTGGTGTTCACAAAGTGTTCAGCATACATTATACTAATACAGTGTTAAAATATAATTATATTCAGCCATCAGTTCATTTACTGACTATATAAAGCTTATTTGTATGAAGCTTTGTTGCATACATTTACTAGACATATAAAGCATCTTTTGGCGCAAGAAATTGTATCCAATAAATGTTCTTTGTTTTATATTTTGTTACACTGCTAATTAATTAAGTATTGTGTGTACTCATCCCTCAACTCCAGGGGTAGGGGCTATAAGGTATTCACCTTGTCCAGGTTTTATAATTTTATAAATCCAGGAAATGTTAGAAAGTGTTTTCTGCATGTCTTTTTAATAATTCATAACATTATATATTTAAACCATTTTTGTGTAGAAAACCAGTGACAAAAATAAGGTATATTTTTCAGTCAGTTTTACCAATTTTCTTTAAAGTCATTCTTCTGTCATTTTGTTCTAGGAAATAATCTATTATTAGTAAACATCAAAATTATTTTTTTTAACATAAATTGAAGTTTCTGGTGTATGCCAAATTAGCCAGAAAACCTCAATTTGTGGTAGTAAATTTTAAGATTGATGTTAGCATGAATAACAGTTGCGTTTATATTCTAATGCATTGGAAAAAATTTTCAATGGAATTTGTGCAGGGTTCTTTAGTAGTGGATGAATGGAGATGAAAACGAGATTTTAAGATTGATTAATGTCTAATTATGTATAAATTTGAACATTGCATTAGTAGAACTGTATTTTGAATGGTACTGTTTTAAACATAGAAATGATAAACATCCTGATAATGTCTATCTGTTAGCATGTTGTTGAATTTAGATTCTCATAAAGTTTAGATCAATCTAAAAATTGAAATTAAAAAGGAATTTTTTTATTTCCATGCATGACTCGTAACTCAAGATTATTCATTGAAGTTTTTTTTGTTTTAAACTTTTTGAACTTAACAGTAAGCATTTTTACATCTTGACCAGCATGAAAGCTTTGTCTAGTTCTTATGTCTCAAAATTGAATGATAGTTTTGATTCTATATTTATCTTTTAGAAGTTGATGTTTTACTTATTTATTTTAGAACCATTGAAAAATAAAAATTTTGTGGATCAGATTTCTAAAAAAATTGACATTATTTTTTTAGATATGAATTTAAATTATTTTTTTTTAAAAGTAGTTTTGACTTAACAGTTCATGAATTCATATGTCAAAATTTTTGTTTTTGAATTTTAGAATATCATAGGAAAACAAATATCCATTTAAAGCATTCTTAAAAATGTAATACCTTTATACTGGAATCAATTCATTTTGATAATTTAAAGTTTATTATACACTTTAAGGTATCTTCTAAATCATGAGCAGACTTGAGCATGAACTCTTACAAAAGATCTTGAAATGAATGTAAAAGATCATTTTGAAATCTATATTTTTGTACTAAATTGTTTTAGGCAAAGAAGATGGGTGAAATGAAAGAAGGATGGGAGTATGCTCCCCTGTTCAATTTGAAGTTTCATCTGGAAGAGAGAACAATGGATCTGGTCAGACGAAGAAGATGGCACAGAAAGATGGTGGCAGAAACACTAGGGGCCCCTTGTTTCTTTAGCCTTCAAGTAGAGGTATGCTACAGTTTGACTTTTTCTTTTGAGTTGCAGACACAGGTGAATTATTTAAAGAAAACTATAGTAGAATAATTATACAATTGAATTTAAAATTTTATTTCACAATTTTTTGCTTATGAAATCTGTGTAAAAAAGATTATCATTTAGAATAGTTATAAGATAGTCAAAATGATTAAAGGCATTCTTAAAAGATTATCATTTTTGATCAACACTTATGGTGGCATTAAATTACCATACCATATTGGGTTGATGATACCAAACCATTTGAAAGTATATTAAAAAATGGCATAACATACTCAATGGACAATCAAAACTTTGAAGTCAAAGAGAAACTAACAACACAATGGCCAAAAAAGAAATATGATGAAAAGACAAATAAGATTCTACTAAAAACTACATAGAAAACTAAAGACTGACCAACATAAACCCCATCATAACCTGGGGTGATCAAAAGGGGAATACAACTTTGAAATCTAGTGGATGATACATGAACAAGACAAAAGATACAGACAATAGAAAAAACAGACAAAAACACAGAACACTTGAAAACAAAAAAATCTTTGTGGGCATGTAGTGTTCCATGATAAATCCTTTGAGTATTTTGTATATACCAGTGTATATATTTGAACTGCTTGCTTTGCTGGTTTACTGGTAGACACATGGAGAATTGTCTATTCAAGCTAAGCAATCAATCTAATCAAAATTTAGCTTCCCTTGTGCACTACACAACCCAGGAAACTGAACATTTAAAATTGTCTATATTATTATTATAAGTATAACACTGGTTATATACATTGTATTCTTTGTACAGTTTAGTATGTATATGTTGATATAGCTCAATTATGATTGTATCTTTGACATCGCCCCTCTGAAGGACTTGGAATAAACAAATTGTACTGTATTGTTGTAGGATGAAGACGACAAGGAGAATATTGAATCCAACCTTACAGCACCTAGGATGTTTCTAACATTTGATAGTAAGTGTATCAAGAGATCACTTGTACATTGTACTACATATTTGATTATGCGACTCTTTGTGTAAATGTATTAACAAAGTGCTCATTTCTTAAGGTTTTAGTGCTAAAGAGGAGGGTAGAAAATCATGCAACAGCGGAATGGTATATCACTGTGATTACATCTCCATTGCTTTCAAATTGTAAAGGTTTAATGGTTTAAAATTAATGATGGTTAAAGCAAACTGTGAATAGTTTTTCCTAAGGTTTATAAAATAGTTTGAGTAGATTTTAAAAAAATTGATTGGCATTGAATTCTTGAAAAAAATCAGCACAATTTTACTGGTCCATTCTATTTTGGGGAAAACAGAATGATGTTAAATAGAGCTTGGTCATTTGATCACACTTAGCCAATGAAGTAGCAAAATTCAGCATTGGTGAGTTTAATCACATAAGTAAAGATATATCCAAACAAGAAAACATTATGCAAATACAAAACAAAAAGATGAATCTAAAAGACTTAGTGAGTTTCTGGAGACATCTAAAAAAAACTTGAAAGCAGTAATGTGTGACTTTATATGATATGGATTACCTTAAATATAAATTGCCTTAATTATAGAACCATACAAGTACCAGTTGAGATGTTATATATACCAGGCCCGAGACCTCCTGGCAGGAGATGATACAGGATTATCAGGTAACTAGGTTTTCATAATGAACAATGTATAAAATATAAATGCATGATATTAGTTCGTGTAAGTCTAACTCATGTTTTCGGATAGCAATCAGGTATAGTCAAGTCAAAAATAATTTGGTGGAAACCAAATAGATTGTTTGTGAGCATCAAAAGAAATAACAATTGCCAAAGTTGCACAATTTACTAACTGAAAATTTCCAATAAAAAATCATTCCAGTATCTTAATTTTGTTTTGTTTAAGCAGCTTATATTTTTCGTGTCTATGAAGTATAGGAATCTAGCTTACTAACATGCTGAAAGGCTGTTTCAGCATATGTTAAATATAAATGGATCCAATGAATTATTTATTTTTGTACAGGTATATTGCAAATCAAATTAAGCTTATCTTAGCATGACATATTCCAATAAATTTACCACAAGCTAATTTGGAATAGATTAAGCATATGGTAAATGGAATAAATTTGCATATCTTGTTGTATGAGGCTGGTCCACTTTTGTTAACAGTCCAATAGCAAGAAGCAAAACTTCCTTGTAAATGCTATTTATAGTTCATCTGTTTAATAATATACATCATGTTTATTCATATTAATTTCTATTTAAAACAGATCCCTATGCAAGAGTATCATTCCTGACTAACAGTATGGTAACTGAACAAGTGAAAAAGTCTCTTTGTCCGTGCTGGGATCAAACACTGATATTTGAAGAACTTGATATTTATGGAGATCCTAGAGTAATTGAGGCTCAGCCACCAAATATTACTATAGAGATATATGATCATGATAAATTTGTAAGTACATATGTATACATGTATATTCTAAAATTATATATTTTAATAAATCTTACATATTTCATATGGCTTTGACTTCAAAGCAAACGAGTTATCAGGAAAAGTATTTCAGAGTCAGGTTTGTTTTTCAGTGCATGACAACAGTGCAACTGTATTTGGTATGTGGTTTTGTTGCAAAGAGTATATGTTTGTCTGACATATCATTTGACCTTGATCTCATTTCTACCTGTCATTCAATTTTGTGGATAAAGTTAGTAGCTCAGAATTTATACATGATAGTTTGAAAGTATTCTTATACTAAACCCCTAACAGGAGGGATTGTGCTTGATTTTCATATGATGAAGACATAATCTTTCAATCAGTTTAATTGAGGTCTGGAGCTGGCATTTCAGTAACTGCTAGTAGTCCTTTGTTAATTTATTTTGTCATTGTCATTTTGCTTAGTTTCTTCTGTTACCTATTCTAACATCGGACTATTGACTTCTTTTAAACTGAGTTTTACTGTGCGTATTGCTGTGTGTTTATTTATTTTACATTGGCTAGAGGTATAGGGGAGGGTTGAGATCTCCGCTGCATTTTTGCGCCTGTCCCAAGTAAGGAACCTCTGGTCTTTGTTAAGACTTGTATGTTTTTTTAATTATGGTTCATTTATATGTTTCGGAGTTTAGTGTGACATCCATTTTCTCTATACTAGTATACATTTATGTTTAGGGGCCAGCTAAAGCCCTCCTCCAGGTGCAAGATTTTCTCCCTTTGTTGAAGACTCATTGTGGCCTTCAGCTGTTTTCTACTCCTTGGTCGAGTTGTTGTCTCTTTGAAACATTCCCCGTTTCCATTCTCAATTTTATTCATGTATATTGAATACATGTACTTGAACATGTGTACTGAACAGATTTTATTTGACCAGTGAGTTTACTCGTTCTTTAGTTCTAAGCATTTAACAAAATCCAATATTGCAGCTGGCAAGACATTTAAGTTAGTCACCTCCTGTCATTATATTTTATCACAATCACTGCGGCCTTTGATCATTTGCACATTTCAAGGAAATAAGTTTTGAATATTCATTTTAATATAAAGTCCTTATATTTTGAAACTCTATTTCAGGGGGCAAATGAATTTTTGGGAAGATGTGTGGCACAACCAATGGTCAAACTTGATCCTGCAGATGCTCGCATGCCAGTGTTACAGTGGTACGAAATAAAACGTAACAATGACCATGGAGGAGAACTTCTGGCAGCTTTTGAATTATTCTTGGTAAGAGAAAGTACAGTTTGTTGTAAAACTTCAGAAAAAAAAACATAATTTATTGATGAAATATATTATGAACATAATAGTATATAACTTGGTATTTACTAAAATGGGCATATAATAAAGCATTGATAGACAAATAGTTTCATAGTATATATTTTTTTATTTACTAAAATGGGCATGCAATAAATCATTCATAGACCAAATGATTTCTAATAATAACTATAATAATAAAAAATAGTTTTATTTTTTTTATATGATAATGAAGTTTGACCATTAAAAATAATTTCTTACAGAACAGAAAATATCTGCTCAATAATTTCTATCATTTGATTAAAATACTGTTAAATGCATATTCAATAGGCCCCAACCAAACAAAGTAGTACATCTGAATCAGAGTCGGTTAGTACCAAGTAGTTTGCATCATGTTTGATATTATAATTTAACTTCATGGTTGAAGTTTTGCATTGTAGCAGTTTTGTAGTTAACTATAATCTAAATTTACTTTAATTCTCACATGATACACCAGTAAAGACTTTTAAATTCTTTAATTCGGAAGAGTTTTCAACCTGTAAATTCCATATCTTGTATTGAAAATTGATCTGTTAATCTTAAAAGTTTTTTTTTTATCAAACTTAATAAAAAAAAAAAAAACAGTATATTTTCCCGTATTTTTGTATCAGAAATTTTTCTTATTTATGCTTGTTTAACATAAAATAATTATAACATAATAAATTCTGGTCATGTTTTTATAATAATCTGTTGTACAGTCAAACCTGCTATAAAGATCACCTCTTTTAATCAAAAACCTGTCTTGTCAGGCTAACCTCTTCTTGTCCCTTTGTAGTAATACCTATGTATTTTGTTTCTAAATTTGAAGGCCACCTATGTTATAAGGTTAATTTTCTCTGGTACTAGGGGTGATCTTTATATACAGGCTTGACTGTATTTTTGTTTTCTTCATTGCAAATTTTGGTATTTGCTGTAGACTAAGTTACTTTTATCAAAGTATATGAATCATTCTGATATTTTAACACAATTATTTTTATCTGAAATAAATCTTTTTTTTTTTTTTTTTAAAGGAGAAAAGCACATTCAACCACAAATATTTCTTTTTTCTAAAACTTCTGTATGAAAATTTCTATTTTTAAGCATGCAGATACTTATATGTGTCCTCATTTGTTTCTTGGATAAAGGGCAGGCCCTAAGCCAGGATGTCTATGTGGGGGATTATTTAGGGTCATGATGCTCTGACTTCAATAGTAAAACTTCATTTGGAATTTCGACTTTGATAGTCGACTATGATACTGATTAAACAATATTTTATTTGTTTGTTTGAATCAATATGCATTTTTTTTCTTCTTAATGACTTTCAAAGGAGGTGAGAATTTACTATTTTTGTTGTTGTAGGCTTTGTACAGGTGTTGTACACATTCTTTTTCCTTATTCTGTTTATTTTTGTCGAGCCTGCGACTTTTGTCGCAGAAAGCTCGACATAGGGATAGTGATCAGGCGGCGTTAGCTAACTTCTTAAAAGCTTTATATTTTAGAAGGTGGAAGGTCTGGATGCTTCATACTTTGTATATGGATGCCTCATGTTACGAAGTTTCCGTCAGTCACATGTCCAATGTCCTTGACCTCATTTTCATGGTTCAATGACTACTTGAAAAAAAAGTTAAGATTTTTTGTAATGTTAAATTCTCTCTTATTATAAGTAATAGGATAACTATATTTGGTATGTGCGTACCTTGCAAGGTCCTCATGCCCGTCAGACAGTTTTCACTTGACCTCGACCTCATTTCATGGATCAGTGAACAAGGTTAAGTTTTGGTGGTCAAGTCCATATCTCAGATACTATAAGCAATAGGTCTAGTATATTCGGTGTATGGAAGGACTGTAAGGTGTACATGTCCAACTGGCAGGTGTCATCTGACCTTGACCTCATTTTCATGGTTCAGTGGTTATAGTTAAGTTTTTGTGTTTTGGTCTGTTTTTCTTATACTGTATGCAATAGGTCTACTATATTTGGTGTATGGAATGATTGTAAGGTGTACATGTCTAGCTAGCAGCTGTCATCTGACCTTGACCTCATTTTCATGGTTCAGTGGTCAAAGTTAAGTTTTTGAGTTTTGGTCTTTTTTTCTAATACTATATGCAATAGTTCAACTATATTTGGTGTATGGAAATATTTTATGATCTATTTGTCAGTTAGCAGGTTTTATTTGACCTTGACCTCATTTTCAAGTTTCATCGCTCAGTGTTAAGTTTTTGTGTTTTGGTCTGTTTTTCTTAAACTAAAAGCAATAGGTCAACTATATTTGTTGTATGGAAGAATTGTTAGCTGTACATTCCTGCCTAGCATGGTTCATCTGACCTTGACCTCATTTTCATGGTTCATTGGTCAATGTTTAGTTTACTTGGTTAATAATAAGTTTATGTGACAGTTGTAATAAAGCTTTATATTTAGGACTATCAACATAATATCAATGATTAGTAAAGAAGGCGAGACATTTCAGCATGTGCACTCTTGTTAAAAATGAAACAAAATTTACCAAACCTGTTTTGCTATTTATAATTTTTTTAGAGGTATAGATGATAAATGTGTATAATGTATAATCAGAAAAAATTGTGAATTAATTAGAACAAAGCAGCAACAAAATATGAATCTTCATTTGTTGATGGTTTTTTTTGTCGAGCCTGCGACTTTTGTCGCAGAAAGCTCGACATAGGGATAGTGATCAGGCGGCGTTAGCTAACTTCTTAAAAGCTTTATATTTTAGAAGGTGGAAGGTCTGGATGCTTCATACTTTGTATATGGATGCCTCATGTTACGAAGTTTCCGTCAGTCACATGTCCAATGTCCTTGACCTCATTTTCATGGTTCAGTGACTACTTGAAAAAAAAGTTAAGATTTTTTGTAATGTTAATTTCTCTCTTATTATAAGTAATAGGATAACTATATTTGGTATGTGCGTACCTTGCAAGGTCCTCATGCCCGTCAGACAGTTTTCACTTGACCTCGACCTCATTTCATGGATCAGTGAACAAGGTTAAGTTTTGGTGGTCAAGTCCATATCTCAGATACTATAAGCAATAGGTCTAGTATATTCGGTGTATGGAAGGACTGTAAGGTGTACATGTCCAACTGGCAGGTGTCATCTGACCTTGACCTCATTTTCATGGTTCAGTGGTTATAGTTAGGTTTTTGTGTTTTGGTCTGTTTTTCTTTTACTGTATGCAATAGGTCTACTATATTTGGTGTATGGAATGATTGTAAGGTGTACATGTCTAGCTAGCAGCTGTCATCTGACCTTGACCTCATTTTCATGGTTCAGTGGTCAAAGTTAAGTTTTTGAGTTTTGGTCTTTTTTTCTAATACTATATGCAATAGTTCAACTATATTTGGTGTATGGAAATATTTTATGATCTATTTGTCAGTCACGCAGGTTTTATTTGACCTTGACCTCATTTTCAAGTTTCATCGCTCAGTGTTAAGTTTTTGTGTTTTGGTCTGTTTTTCTTAAACTAAAAGCAATAGGTCAACTATATTTGTTGTATGGAAGAATTGTTAGCTGTACATTCCTGCCTAGCATGGTTCATCTGACCTTGACCTCATTTTCATGGTTCATTGGTCAATGTTTAGTTTACTTGGTTAATAATAAGTTTATGTGACAGTTGTAATAAAGCTTTATATTTAGGACTATCAACATAATATCAATGATTAGTAAAGAAGGCGAGACATTTCAGCATGTGCACTCTTGTTAAAAATGAAACAAAATTTACCAAACCTGTTTTGCTATTTATAATTTTTTTAGAGGTATAGATGATAAATGTGTATAATGTATAATCAGAAAAAATTGTGAATTAATTAGAACAAAGCAGCAACAAAATATGAATCTTCATTTGTTGATGGTTTTTTTGTCGAGCCTGCGACTTTTGTCGCAGAAAGCTCGACATAGGGATAGTGATCAGGCGGCGTTAGCTAACTTCTTAAAAGCTTTATATTTTAGAAGGTGGAAGGTCTGGATGCTTCATACTTTGTATATGGATGCCTCATGTTACGAAGTTTCCGTCAGTCACATGTCCAATGTCCTTGACCTCATTTTCATGGTTCAATGACTACTTGAAAAAAAAGTTAAGATTTTTTGTAATGTTAATTTCTCTCTTATTATAAGTAATAGGATAACTATATTTGGTATGTGCGTACCTTGCAAGGTCCTCATGCCCGTCAGACAGTTTTCACTTGACCTCGACCTCATTTCATGGATCAGTGAACAAGGTTAAGTTTTGGTGGTCAAGTCCATATCTCAGATACTATAAGCAATAGGTCTAGTATATTCGGTGTATGGAAGGACTGTAAGGTGTACATGTCCAACTGGCAGGTGTCATCTGACCTTGACCTCATTTTCATGGTTCAGTGGTTATAGTTAAGTTTTTGTGTTTTGGTCTGTTTTTCTTATACTGTATGCAATAGGTCTACTATATTTGGTGTATGGAATGATTGTAAGGTGTACATGTCTAGCTAGCAGCTGTCATCTGACCTTGACCTCATTTTCATGGTTCAGTGGTCAAAGTTAAGTTTTTGAGTTTTGGTATTTTTTTCTAATACTATATGCAATAGTTCAACTATATTTGGTGTATGGAAATATTTTATGATCTATTTGTCAGTCACGCAGGTTTTATTTGACCTTGACCTCATTTTCAAGTTTCATCGCTCAGTGTTAAGTTTTTGTGTTTTGGTCTGTTTTTCTTAAACTAAAAGCAATAGGTCAACTATATTTGTTGTATGGAAGAATTGTTAGCTGTACATTCCTGCCTAGCATGGTTCATCTGACCTTGACCTCATTTTCATGGTTCATTGGTCAATGTTTAGTTTACTTGGTTAATAATAAGTTTATGTGACAGTTGTAATAAAGCTTTATATTTAGGACTATCAACATAATATCAATGATTAGTAAAGAAGGCGAGACATTTCAGCATGTGCACTCTTGTTAAAAATGAAACAAAATTTACCAAACCTGTTTTGCTATTTATAATTTTTTTAGAGGTATAGATGATAAATGTGTATAATGTATAATCAGAAAAAATTGTGAATTAATTAGAACAAAGCAGCAACAAAATATGAATCTTCATTTGTTGATGGTTTTTTTGTCGAGCCTGCGACTTTTGTCGCAGAAAGCTCGACATAGGGATAGTGATCAGGCGGCGTTAGCTAACTTCTTAAAAGCTTTATATTTTAGAAGGTGGAAGGTCTGGATGCTTCATACTTTGTATATGGATGCCTCATGTTACGAAGTTTCCGTCAGTCACATGTCCAATGTCCTTGACCTCATTTTCATGGTTCAGTGACTACTTGAAAAAAAAGTTAAGATTTTTTGTAATGTTAAATTCTCTCTTATTATAAGTAATAGGATAACTATATTTGGTATGTGCGTACCTTGCAAGGTCCTCATGCCCGTCAGACAGTTTTCACTTGACCTCGACCTCATTTCATGGATCAGTGAACAAGGTTAAGTTTTGGTGGTCAAGTCCATATCTCAGATACTATAAGCAATAGGTCTAGTATATTTGGTGTATGGAAGGACTGTAAGGTGTACATGTCCAACTAGCAGGTGTCATCTGACCTTGCCCTCATTTTCATGGTTCAGTGGTTATAGTTAAGTTTTTGTGTTTTGGTCTGTTTTTCTTATACTGTATGCAATAGGTCTACTATATTTGGTGTATGGAATGATTGTAAGGTGTACATGTCTAGCTAGCAGCTGTCATCTGACCTTGACCTCATTTTCATGGTTCAGTGGTCAAAGTTAAGTTTTTGAGTTTTGGTCTTTTTTTCTAATACTATATGCAATAGTTCAACTATATTTGGTGTATGGAAATATTTTATGATCTATTTGTCAGTCACGCAGGTTTTATTTGACCTTGACCTCATTTTCAAGTTTCATCGCTCAGTGTTAAGTTTTTGTGTTTTGGTCTGTTTTTCTTAAACTAAAAGCAATAGGTCAACTATATTTGTTGTATGGAAGAATTGTTAGCTGTACATTCCTGCCTAGCATGGTTCATCTGACCTTGACCTCATTTTCATGGTTCATTGGTCAATGTTTAGTTTACTTGGTTAATAATAAGTTTATGTGACAGTTGTAATAAAGCTTTATATTTAGGACTATCAACATAATATCAATGATTAGTAAAGAAGGCGAGACATTTCAGCATGTGCACTCTTGTTAAAAATGAAACAAAATTTACCAAACCTGTTTTGCTATTTATAATTTTTTTAGAGGTATAGATGATAAATGTGTATAATGTATAATCAGAAAAAATTGTGAATTAATTAGAACAAAGCAGCAACAAAATATGAATCTTCATTTGTTGATGGTTTTTTTTAAAGAAACTTACTGTTTTTCCTACTTTTATAGTCTTTGATAGATTGCTACAGATTTTGAAGGCGATTTAAATAACTGATTTCATAAATTGTAAACTCAGCTTTGATGAACACGTCATCCCCCTTGCAATGAAGTTTCATAAGGAATAAAGGAACATGTTTTTTCAGTAATTCAGACCAAGGATCCGGAAATTTTTTCACACAATTTCGGTCATTTTGAGATGACTTTAAAGTTGGTGCCCTTTTTTCAAATTGTCGAAATCACGCATAGCATCAACTGTTTCATCGCATTTACTTCATGAAATTTCTTACCATTTTTCTAAAAACATTCAAGAACAGTTTAGGGAAGGCAACAGTTTAAAATTGAAATGATTTTAATGACTCAAAATGGTAAATTTCTCAGACATCTCTAACGTTTCTTTCAATTTTGAAGACGAAATTAAAACCGGAAGTTTTGAGACAATACTTAAAGTACGAGTAATTCCGGATTCATTTCTGGGATTCGTTTTGTTTATCAAATTGACAGGAAATCACCGATTTTTTTATTTTATTACCTTTAAAAGTGTTTGAATATTACAGATAATAGCTGCATTCGTATAATTTACCATGAAATCATTTTGCATTTTACGATTAAGTGTCTCATCTACTGAAGACAATATGCACGCATGCATATTACACAGTAAATAAAGCACATGTAACTCGTGAAAAATTACTTTTTTCTACGTAAATTAAATTAAGTGTTAATATTGAAATCAGAATTGACAAATGTCTTTGCTGAAAAGTAATTAAATAATGAAGGCATTTGTCATGGAATTTTAATTTCTTTATGATTAAATTAGTTGTGAGCTTGTGGTCAATGTCAGGTGTGAATTTAAAACACAGGTAAAAAGTGATTAGCGATCATAAGCCAATATTTCCTGCAGGCATTAACATAGTTATTAGGAGGGCCCTCAGGATTATCATACTATACTGGAGTGGCAGTTTTATTACAGGAAAGGGATTACAAAACAAAAACAAGTGTAAAATGGCGATTAGTAAACCCGATCTCAATGAAATGACCGAAATTATTTCTGTAAAAAAATAAAATTTGTCCTAAATCCCAATCTGCCGTTTAGGACAAATAGCTTCCAGTTAAGGTCATGACTGGCAAATATGACCGTTTTCCGACCCTTGATTCAGACTTACCTCAACACAAACAAGATTATCATATATGCACATTCAATCTTTACCTGACTGAATGAAATGATTTCTGTGTAAGTGGAAGATCAAATATATGTAATAAGTTCAGACATCCTAAAACATAAGGGTCATCTGGTAGCTATACATAGTATTGTCTAAAAATATGGTTGATACTATAAAGCTTGCTTCTTACGATCAATTTTCATAAGAATGGGTTAAATGATAACCCATGAGAAAAGATTAACCAGAAATAGTAGCATGGTCAAAGGTAGATGGTGAAGGTCACCTGATATTGTTAAGGAAAAACCATGTAGACCTTGCAGAGCTTACCTCTTGTTAATTTTGGCCAAAAAAAGGCAAATAGTAATGGTTCCTATGATCAGTAGGTGAATCATATTCAATATCAAAGCTATGGGGTCAAAATTCCTAAAACCTTCATGGGAAAAACTGTCATTTAAATGATGTGAATTTGCCAAAATGATGCTTAAAAGAGAAATGTCTTTTTTCATTTTCAAAAATAGCTGAAGGATTCTTTGGTTGAAATGTTTAACTGTTTCCATGCTGTGCCTTGTATAAAAGAAAGAAGAAATTTTATTAGTCATTTTCAAAAAAAAGTTGTAAAATGATGATTTGGTTTATAGGTTGTTATAACATTATGTTGTTCTTTGTATTTCAATCCTTCTATCTTAAGCATAAAAATAAGTGAATAACTTTATTTGAGAAATGGTTGTAAATTTGTGCATACATACTATACAATATTTCATTTGTTTGTTTAAATCAATATGTATATTTTTCTTATTTTTGACTTTCAAAGGAGGTGAGAATTTACTATTTTTATTATTATAGGCTTTGTACAGGTGTTGTACATATTCCTCTTCTTATTCTGTTTATCTTGGGAAATGAATCTAATCTTTCCCACCTTTTTTATGCCCCACCTACGATAGTATAGGGGCATTATGTTTTCTGGTCTGTGCGTCTGTTTGTCCGTCCGTCCGTCCGTCCAACTGTCCCGCTTCAGGTTAAAGTTTTTGGTAAAGATAGTTTTTGATGAAGTTGAAGTCCAATCAACTTGAAACTTAGTACACACGTTCCCTATGATATGATCTTTCTTATTTTAATGCCAAATTAGAGTTTTTACCCCAATTTCACGGTCCACTAAACATAGAAAATGATAATGCGAGTGAGGCATCTGTATACTATTGACACATTCTTGTTCTATTTATATATTTTTAGAGGTATAGATGATATGATATATTAACAGTAAAATCATGTTTATATTTGAAAAAAATCAGCAAAATAAAAAAACTTATTTAGATAGTTAAGGCAATTTGCTTTATATGTTTGATGTTAAGGTAAATGTCTACAAACTTTATGCAAATTAAAAAAGTAATTTATTTAATGAACTAGAATGTACTATTTGTTTTCCTACTTGGATGATTTGTGTGTATTCTGTTTTTGCTGTGAAAACTTTGCAGTGAGGCTGAATGTATACTGGAGTATGAAAATTTGTATATGCTTATTTAAAGTTATTATTCATGTGGGAAAATCAATTTCCTCAGCAAGTGTCCTTTAATTTGCTATTTCAGAATCTATTTCTTCCTTTAATGATGTTTTCACAGAGCAACAAAAAGTTGTAATTGATTGAAAACATCATAAACCCATGATATATACTCAATGAGATGATGATATTTTCATGTTGGTCTACTCAGTGAAATTACCCTTAATCCTTTAGATTCTGGAATGGTTGACTGTAATCATGATTTGAAGGTCACCTTTATGTAAAGATGTGATTGCTTCAGACAACTGCTTGTGTGGATTCCTCTCTTTTGCACTACATATAGATGAGGGTAGGAATGGGGTACCCCACATGACAAATGACGGTAAAATATTTGTTAAAATAATGTTAACGATAAATATTTTTACTCCATTTGATGCTAAGGGTAGCTACAGAATAAGATTTGACGAATGCAATAAAAAAATAAGGCTCATTTGATGATAACAGTAGCAAAAAACGTACGTTTGACGCTTGACGATAAAGGGCATTCCTACCCTCTTAAATTGGCAGAAGTATGTAAAAAGAAAATGGTACTTCAATTTATGATTTGTGCTTTTAATTCTCTTTTTTTGCAGGGTTATCCACTTATCTTCAATGGATAATACTGATTATTTATTGATAATCAATTGTAACTGATAATATGTGATCTTATGAAAGAAAATTATTACATGTACTTTAACAAAAACTTATTACATGTACTTTTAACAAAAACTTATTACATGTACTTTAAACAAAAACTTATGACATGTACTTTTAACAAAAACTTTGACCTTTTGAATTTAATTGTAGTACAACTGGTAAGCAATACTGTTGATGCATTATTATCTGTGGGGTACCATATTCATAGGTTTCATAAGTTAATGTGAACAATGAAATCACTTATTAAATAAATAAAAATCTCCTATAGGCTTACGTGCAGTATATGTTGAATCCACAAAATAAAATATCCAGGGAAAAGTGGTTTTTCCTATGTCTATGAAAATTGGTACCCATGAAAATGAAATAATGCGCAGTATATTCAAACCATCATGGTTTGTTTTGAATATTAGCCAAGAAAATGAAAGAATTAACTCTTCATTGAAATAAAGTTAAACCCACCACAATCATTCATAAAACAGGATTTTTAAAAATTCTGAAATTTCAATTAGGATCTGTTAACTAGACACAAAAATGACTATCTATATTTGCTGGAAAATATTATTTATAGAAGGATAAAAAAATTGATGAAGGTTAAATCTTTGTAGTTAAATGGAGCAGACTTGCCATTCTTGCCACCAAAGAAAGGACAGCTATACCTTGTCCCTAATGGTATCAGACCAGTCATGCAGAGAACTGGTATTGAGGTTTGTTTAATACTATATTTTATTCCAGATTTTCATAACGCAAATAAATTAAGTGACTAAGAAAAAAATTCAAACTCAAACTTGAACTTTAAATATACCAAACATCAAACTATAGTGCCTCCCACCTTTGTTTGTCTTTTTCTTTTTTAGCCATGGCATTGTCAGTATATTTTCGACTTATGAGTTTGAATGTCCCTTTGGTATCTTTCGCCTCACTTTTAAAAGCTTGCAGCAAATTCAAACACATCAATATATATATTTTTATTGATTGAGGTAGTATTTTTCATCAAGATAATTAAGTTTACATACATTCTTTTCTATTTAAATATAAGTCAAATATACCCCACTTAAAACACTTTTGTAAAAGTAAAATGGTTCATATAAGTTACAGGTCTGTTTGAAATTTCCTTAATGGCAATCGTTTGTTTTCAGGGTATAATATTGGTTTCTACAATTACTTTCCATTTTAGGTTCTATGCTGGGGTGTCAGAAACATGAAGAAGTTCCAGCTTTCATCAGTGACTTCCCCTAGTATTGAGTTTGAATGTGGAGGACATGTTTTGGAATCAAAGATCATAAAAAATACCAAAAAGAATCCAAACTTTGAAGAACCAATTCTATTCTTTGATGTGGTAAGTTTATCATTAAAAAACATATGTGAGATCTGTGCATATAGATGAGCCAAAGCGATTTAGGAATGGAAAGCCATGATGTCTGAACATCTAATAAAGTGTAAATTACAGCTAATTTTGTGTCAAAATAAAGTCCTCTAATTTCTAATTCTCATGACTTACTTCAAATCCTGTATCTGCACCTGCTGAGAACCTGAAACATCAAATATTTGGAGAAATGTTTTATGATGCAGAAAAAGAAAGATCTAATGTATTCAGTATTACAAAGACGTGGATTAGTTTGTTGCAGGATCTTGGAGCGACATGATAGAAGAAACAGAAAGTATATTGATTATGTATGTTTAAAATTATGATGTAAATATATATAATTTTCCAGATGTTACCAAGAGAAGAACTGTACATGCCACCTATGAATGTAAGAATCAAAGATCATCGTGAATTTGGAAGAAAGCCAACTGTCGGTATACATGTAATTAAATCATTGGAGGCCTTCCGTTGTAATCCCATCATGCCTGGCGAGGAGGAACAGAGGGAAGTTCAAGGTAACCTTGGACATTCTAATAAAAAATACAAATTGCAAGGACAAGGCTTATGCAGGCTGCTATTCAAATTTATTTTCAGTTTAATACATTTATAGATAGGAAAGGGTTGCATTATTGAAATACACTTTTGCTTATCCCTATTTATAAATTCTGATTTTCTGTGGAATTAAGTCATGTATCCATAATTGCTTTGGGTCTTTTAGATTGAAATGAGATTCTCTCTAATATCTACTTTATTTTCATGAAGTAGAAGAAAAATTACGAAATCCCACTCGTATTTCTTTTTTATGCCCCCGCCATGGACGGGGCATTAAGTTTTACCCTTGTCCGTCTGTATGTCCGTCCGTACGTCTGTACGTCCCAAAGTTGGTTTCCGTTCTCTAACTTGAGTTTGCCTCTACCAAATGTTATGAAAGTTATACCCAATACTTATTACCTCAAAACACAGATCAAGTTTGAATTTTGGTGGTGTCACTTTAACCGTTCTATAGTTATGCCCCTTTATAAATGGAAAAATTGCTGAATTTTTGTTTCCGTTCTCTAACTTTAGTTTGCCTCTACCAAATGTTATGAAACTTATACACAATGCTTATTACCACATAATACAGATCAAGTTTGAATTTTGGTGATGTTACTTTAACAGTTCCAGAGTTATGCTTGTTTACAAATGGAAAAATTGCTGAATTTTTTGTTTCTGTTCTCCAACTTAAGTTTACCTGAACCAAATGTTATGAAACTTATACACAATGCTTATTACCAAAAAATACAGATCAAGTTTGAATTTTGGTGGCGTCACTTTTACTGTTCTAGAGTTATGCCCCTTTACATATGGAAAAATTGCTGAATTTTTCGTTTCCGTTCTCTAACTAAAGTTTGCCTCAACCAAATGTTATGAAACTTATACACTATACCTATTACCACAAAACTCAGATCAAGTACAAATTTGGGTAGCGTCACTTTTACCGTTCTTTAGTTATGTCCCTTTATAACTTTATATGATATGCAAGCGGTGGCATCATCTGTGTCCCATGGACACATTCCCCATTTATTGCTTTTTATTTTCGAACACTTTAAGTCATTGTAATATTTTCTGAATACCCTCATAATAAAAAAAACATGAATAATAATGAATTCACAGTAAATAGCTAGTGTTATACGACAGACATTTTTATTGCAATCTTAGGTTATTACTTTAATAGAGACATTCATATATAATTTTCATTAAATAAAATGAAAATAATTGTGTTAATGGAGTACAGTATACAAGATTATTGTAATGATTAGTTTAAACAACTTCATTCCTTTAAAAACAAACTGGATAAATCATTTCTCAGCTGAGATAAAAAAGATTTTAGAAAATGGTTTACACTGTCAAATATAACTCAAATTATTTAATATAAATTTAACATGACTTTCACATAGATTTCAAATTAAGTTTTCATGACTATTTGATAAAATTATTTTTATGGTGTTCTTTGCAGACCAGAATACTATGCAAAAAAGTTAAAAAAAAGTTTCATGAAAATATAAACTAAAAACTTGCATGAAAACTTTCCCCTTAGTTTCAGGTTATTACTCATTTTAGGTGAAATTCAGTTTAAAGATTTAATTTGAACATAACATGAAATCATGTGAAATTGCCACATTATATAGCTTCTGACAGTCTTGGATTATTTAGCATCTGATATCTTAACCTTTCTTGAAGATAACTACACAGCAGAATCTCATTTTGAAGTATAATCCAAGATCTTACAAGTTCATGTTTACTTGTATAATTTTGTTGTCATTGTTGTATCTAGTCTTTGTCATGTTTACACACATGTGTATCTTTACACTCTATGGGAAAGTTTACACAAATAGATGATCACTTGTGCTTGGCAAAAATCTATAGCCTATTTATCCAAATGAGAGTTTATTACCAATCTGATTAAACTACAGATCCAATGTCCACACTACACTTACAAGGATCTGACAACGCTTCAGTCTACTTTCTGTTTTAAAGACCTTTGAGGATCCTCAGGTTTTGTCTTTATCATACACACCCTCAAAAATTTGAAGGTAGAAATTTTATTGGCTGTTGTAATAATCACTGGAACAGAAAATAGAACAGTGTTGTCCGTTCCTTGTAAGTGTAGTGTGGTCACAGGATCTGAATTTTAATTAGATTGTTTTATTATATACTTTTTAACATTTTAATGTTTTAATGTCATTTTAACACTACATTGTATCTTTGCATGTGTTTCTCTGTAGAATTAAAGCTAGTGAGAAGAGGATTGTTTCTAATGAATTAGACGTGTTTTTATAAATTATTTACATGGTGTATTTGGGGCCTTCTTTTACTTTAGGGGTACCCTGTTTTATGTATTGAGGTGATTTTATGAGAGGTTGATAGTTTTTGAATGAAAGTAAATAAAGAAGCTCATGGGACTAGGGGCCCTATAATCAAAGAAGACTATTTAGTATTGGAGGCAGGTCTTTGATAGTCTCTGATAAATTTATTAATTTTTTTTCTAAATTGGGGACAATTTGGAATTTTACATAATGTATATACTCTGGGTTTTTTCGAGCCTGCGACTTTTGTCGCAGAAAGCTTGACATAGGGAAAGTGATCCGGCGGCGGCTTCATACTTTGTATATAGATGCCTTATGTTATGAAGTTTCCGTCTATGGTTCAGTAACTACTTGAAAAAAAAATGAAGATTTTTTTGTAATGTTAATTTCTCTCTTATTATGAGTAATAGGATAACTATATTTAATATGTGCGTACCTTGCAAGGTCCTCATGCCGGTCAGCCAGTTTTCATCTGAACTCCACCTCATTTCATGGATCAGTGAACAAGGTTAAGTTTTCGTGGTCAAGTCCATATATCAGATACTATAAGCAACAGGTCTTCTATATTTGGTGTATGGAATGATTGTAAGGTGTACATGTCCAACTGGCAGGTGTCATCTGACCTTGACCTCATTTTCATGGTTCAGTGGTTAAAGTTAAGTTTTTATGTTTTGGTCTTTTTTTCTAATACTTTATGCAATAGGTCAACTATATTTGGTGTATGGAAATATTTTACAATGTACATGTCAGTCTGGCATGTTTTATTTGACTGTGACCTCATTTTCACGGTTCATTGCTCAGTGTTTAGTTTTTGTGTTTTGGTCTGTTTTTCTTAAACTATAACCAATAGGTCAACTATATTTGTTGTATGGAATGATTGTAAGGTGTATATGTCTGTCTGGCAGGTATCATCTGACCTTGACCTCATTTTCATGGTTCATTGGTCAATGTTAAGTTTTTATGGTTAAGTTTGTTTCTTAGATACTATAAGCAATAGGTCATCTATATTTGGTGTTTTAAATGATTGTAAGGTGTACATGTATTTCCAGTTTGGTTTATCTGACCTTGACCTCATTTTCTTGGATCATGTCAAGTTTATGTGATACTTTTAGTAAAGTTTTATATTTAGGACTATCAACATAAAATCAATGGTCAGTAAAGAAGGCGAGACATTTCAGCGTGTGCACTCTTGTTTTTTAAGATCATATGTTGACCTCTTAATGAGTTTTCAGTTTATGTAGTCCTTGGGTTGCTGTCTCATGGGCATATACTCCATATATCCTTGTTTTCTTACTTATATCTAGCTGATATCCTGCTTTTTATTACCTCTGGTAAATTAACTGAATTTGGTATGCAACTGAATGCTCTACTTTACATGTATATGAAATTCACAAGGTATATAATACAATTGTACTAAATACCTACTCTAGATTTCTGACTAATACTTAAAAATTTGTTTGCATTAATCCCTTCAAAAATTAGTTATGCTTAGTAAAGCTCACGAAAATCTCAATAAATTCTGAAATTTGTCTTCTTTCCTTTTTACAGGGGAAACCCAATCCCATGCAGATTATGTTCAGCTATTAGACGAGGCAGTGAGCCGAGTGCAATCCTCCTCCTCACAAAGTAAAAATAAAATCGGCTAAAATCTTACTGCTAATGACTAAAACATATTAACTGCTAAATTACTGATTCTTTTTGTGCTGAACTACTTAACTCTGCATTACTCAATTACTAATGGCTTCTTTACTCAATTACTAATGAATGGCTTCTTTACTTAATAACATGTACTAATGAATGGCTTCTTTACTCAATTACTAATGAATTCATTACTAAATAAAATAGTTATTTATTTGTCACTACTATTCTACTAATATCTTACTTCTACACAGCTGGAATATGTACTTTTAGATTAGGACTTGTAACAGTCTTTAAATTTTATAGTTTATAGGGGCAAACATGACATCATTTGTGTTGATTTGCCTTATAGGAGGCATTCCAATATATTACATATAATGAATTACCAGATATTTATAAAATTACATATGATTTTTATTTTTAGTGTATTTTGTTTAATTATTTTAATTACTTATGTGATGGTTGTTTATCTTATATCAGAAATAGGAATTGAAAATTGCGCAAGAATTCATATACTTTTGTGTAATCTGAACTACAGTGCAGGACCAACAAAGAACAAAGAAATACTTGACTAAATAAATTATGTTATGAAATGCTTAATTTCTGACTTAATTAGTGGTAGTGCAAAAGTTTTAGTGTAGAGCGAATGGGTTTGCTTCTTTACTTCCCTTCAAAGTGTCATTAGATTAGCATGGTACACTGCATGTTTAAAATATTTACCAGTGTTATATTGAGAATGAACTATTAGAACAAAAAGGTGGTTCTAAAGATAACTTCAGTTCAATACATGTAATTTTGTATGTGAAAATTGTTGATCAACAGACAAAGATCAGGGATAAGAAAAATTCAACTTTTGGAAATGCTGCATGAAATATAATTCTGTAAAAGTTAAATGTTTTAACAATTGCTGAATTTACAGTATCAACTTAGTTTGTGTAATGCTGGTTTTTACACCCTCTTATATGCAGTATTTGTTGACTTTTACTGTGTAAGCAATCTTCAGATCTGCTAGGCAGTTATTTACTTTATGACAATACTTTGAATATTTATTATACTAACCAAGCATTGAATTTTCTTCAATGTCTAAAAAAAGTTGATGTACTTCTGGCTTCTTGTTTTTTAATCTCTTGAAACCTGTGACACTTTTTTTCTTTCTTTCCTTCATTTTATTTGGACAAGTTTATTCCTGCAATTTATTTTTGATTGGTCTGTAAGAAAAAAATTGAGATGTCTAGCAAAAAGTGAAAAATTGAAAAAAGAAGCAGTTTGACAAATACTGATTAGAGAGTTGTTCCTCGCAGAGAAGTATTTTTTCCATCACATTTTGTTTTACACCAAATGAATATTCCTCTTTAGCATGAGTTTTAGTGCTAGTTGGGAAAAGTCCAGGTGACACTTTCTCTATATTCTTGTCAACCTCGGAGTTGGATCATAAGAAGTTTATCCCTGATATGATGGGCAGGATTAATAGTGATATCAAAAGCCAAAGATTTTAATTTACCTGACTTCCATTATAGCAAATCGTGTTTCAAAACCTGACATTTTTTTGTAAATACATGTATCTCTTTATAAGAGAATTGATGTATTGCAAGAAAAATAAATTGAAAACATATTTCTGATCTATGCTGTAATATTGAACTATTTTATTATTATTTTTTTTTCAACATTACTTCATTAAAAAAATGCAAATTTAATACTTTTTATTAATTGATTTTATGTATATGTTGTATTCTGAATTGGTCATATATAGTACTTTTATCAACCTTTATTTTATTTATTTTACAGGAGCAATAGTACCAGTAAATGGCCCAAGTGGTGGGGAACACGTGGTAGAAATGCCAGACAGTGGGGAGAAAGGACAGGTAAGGGATCTGATTCATAATGAAAAAGGGGGGTTGGGACTTTGACCAGGGCTGTATAGGTATTTGAGTGAGGAGAATGATATAAGAGATGGAGAGTATGTGCTAGAGAAATCTGTACTATTGGAGACAGGACAGGTACATGATTTTTGGGATTAGTAGATTACCAAGATAGTAAGAATATGTTACTGTATAGTGGTAAGGACCTAGGTCCAGGGGTAAGGGAATTGTCAGATTGATTTGGAGCATGTGAAGGACATACCTGACATTTTAGTGATACTCAGATGAAGGGAATGGTCCTGGTTAAGAGAATATCCACAAAATGTCATAAAAAATACTAGTGGTTGAAAAAAAAAACCAGTACAGGTTTAAAATCATTAGCTGACATACACAGGTAGTTATGTGTCAAATATCAATGTATATTTAGTAGGTGTTTAATGGATAATACATTTTATTAAATCAATGTTTCATCCTAAACATCTAACTTTTCATATTCATTTGCATAAGATAGAAAATGTTGGCAGTCCAATTACCATATTATTAAATTCTTTCAACACTATTCTAGCCACATGATTTTAACTTCTATAGACTTACAGAGTATTGACAGATATGTCTTATTTTTATACCCCACTAAGATATATCAAAATTATCTCCCCTTGTAATAAAGATAAACTCTAAATGATTAAGATGATTGAGACCTGATGGCGTAAGTCATATTGTAAATTCAGAAATTTTTACGATGTTTTTATTTTTACGAAAATTGTGATGGGATAGGTTTGACAAAAATTAAAACTCACATTTAAATGTCGATAACACTTTTGGTATTCAGCATCTCATGAAATCGGAATAATTAATCTCTCATTTGTGTCCATTATTCAACAATCTCAATAATACACACATGCACAAATTTTTGAATTTACAGTACATGATACCTGTTGACCGGCTGGTTATGTCATCAAAATTTCAGTTTATCTATATCCCTCTTACTTTATTTGGAGGTTGTGTCATTAGTTAGTATTTATGAAAATCATGTGAATTATATTTCAATTATAATTTATATTGTTTCTATGAACTACTTTGATTCAATAGAGGTTATATTATAACTTGAAAAAAGTGATGATAAATTGCCTTATTTTATTTATGCTAACAAGGATAACCCATTGGCATTGGGTGATATTGTTGTACAATTTGAAATGGTAACCTTTATAATGTTGCTTTATATTGTATTATTTGGAATTTGGATTCTCCTCATTTTGCCTTTTTTATGAATATTTACCATTTTGATATAAAATCATTTTATACATATGTGTAATTCAATGCTGGAAACAATTTTATTCCAATTAACACAACTGGTAATAATACCCGAAAATTTGCTTCAACTTATTTTGGTGTTGGTTTTTGGTATTATTTTTTTTATAATTTTATTAGAAAAAAATATGCATAAATAAATTTCAGTATCATTAAAAGTGTGTGTACATAATTTTTATAACAATGTTTATCAATTTAAAAGAAGTAACAAATTAGACACACAGAACTTAATCATGTGGAATAATTAGCATTAAAGGGAAACTTTGCAAAAAAATTAAATTTGATATTATTATGTTTATTCGATATAAATATACATATTTGCATTAATATTAATGTTTTATTCTCCTAAATAAGTGATCAAATCGGATTTTTAAATCCGACTATCAATTTTAGACATGTCGCCATCTTGGAAGCATCTGGATACAAATAATCATGTGATATCTAAATACCACAAAGTACCAAAAACAAGCTTTGCATACTGGAGTTTCATTCCATATCAATATGATGTTGATGTGTTTCTGGTTAAACAACTTTCCATGTAATATATTTATTCATTCTGGGTTCTTTTCTTATTTGATAATCGGTGTGGCTAAATAAATTAATGACAGAGGTCATGTCAAAGTTACACATTCGGGTATTCTAGCGAATTCCTGGGGGGCATATGATTACATAACGGGTATCCATGCATGATCGCTTCTCTGCTGAGTGAATCACGTGTGCACAGGTAAAATTTATGAATTATGCCATACCAAATGCTGCCAGATGTAATATACATCCTATGTACAACTTTCCGACGCTGAAAGTAATTAATATACAAGATATGAATAATGAAATCATACAAATATCAAATTGAGCGTGTACAGTTTATTTAAAACAGTTAAACTTAGTTTTTATACTCCTTTTTGGGGCCATTTTTATTTATAGAATTATTCAATATAGATTAATTCAGTATTTTATTATCACAATAAAATATCCATCTTGCATAATTTATTTAATACTTTTTTTTTAAATAGCTTATGCAAAATATAAAAAATATACCATGGCGATCCAGGTATTTTGTCACCATCTACCTATCCCAAATGATTGAATTTATTCTTAAACTTTTGTCTCAAACTCACACTTCTCTCTTATCATCATTATGAGATGTTATTCACACCTGGAACGGTGAACCCTGGAGGCTAATATACCCTCGAGTGAAGATCAAAAGAATAGATTTACAGAATGCTAATCTTTTGATTACTTGTAATTTAACCACGCCTTAACGAGGTATTTTCAGAGTATACTATTGTATTTACACAGTCCTAGCTTGGAAATTTTTGCTTGACTGAATTAAAAGGTCAGAAAACACACATTCATTGTCATCTGTTTGACATATCTGTTGAAAAAAAGATTTTACAAAAAAATATCATTGTACGATTCACTTTTATTACTATAAGCATATTAGAAATCCATAAAATATATATCTGCCGTTACTGTAAGAATTTAAAAAGTTGCACGGCTGTTCGTTTTATTATTAACCGGATTTATGAAGTAAAAATCGGTTGTTATCAAATAGTCCGTTTCTATGTATGTTGGCATTTGTTTTTGTAGCAGTTCAGTGTTTATGTTGTTCCGTTGTTTTCCTCCTATAGTTGAAATGTTTCCCTCGGTGTTGGTTTGTGACCCGGATTTGTTTCAGTTAAATCGATTTATGACTATTGAACAGCGGTATACTAATGTTGCCTTTATTTATTGATTTGGGGATGTACAGTGGGCGGGCGGGCGGTCATACAGGCAGGCGGCTGCCAAACAGTGTCTGTGCATTTACTCATGAACCGTTCAACCAAAGCTTTTCAAATTTTAATATGTTGCTACTGATGACAAAATGGAGGTCAAGTATGATATTGATGATTTAACTTTCACCGTTCAGGAGTTATGGTTCTTGAAAGATTGAAAAATGGTGTTTCCAGTCATGTCCGTGCTGTAACTCATGAACCATTTAACCAAAGCTTTTCAAATTTTAATATGTTGTTACTGATGACAAAATAGAGGTCAAGTTCAATATTGATGACTTTCACTTTCACCGTTCAGAAGTTATGGTCCTTGTGATATTGAAAACTGCCAGGACACAAATAAATGTTAAAAAATCTGGTTTGCTGTCGCTCTGACAGCCTCTTGTTTTTATTATGAGTTGGTTATTAGATGTGTAAAACAGTCATAGTTGCGCTTTAAATTGCCTTATTAAATGATTAGCGAACAAGACTTTAATTGATATTATTTCCACTCCCGGCATGCCACAGTTTAAAAGTACGTCACAATAGACTGGTCAATTCCAATAAATGAAATTGATAATTTCCCATTTTCTACTTTATTAGTGTTCATATTTAGATAAAACTTGGTGAATGTGTTTTTTGTGTTATTATGAACATAATAAGATGATAAGTAAAAAATCGTGAAATTTCCCTTTAATGATATTAGTTTTGTAGCATTATGGGTTTGAATCGCCTACAAATAGCTTCTCCACAGTTATGTAATACAATGTTCCTCCTTACTCTTCGCTCTTCCCTTTTTCAAAAGGGGTATAAAATATAGAATGTATTAATAAAATTATGCATGTTTGATGTAAAGCTGACTTTTAACAATGTTATCTACTAACAATAGTTTGTAATATTTGTACTAACAGGGGATATTGGCTAAAGCTAGAGAGGTTGTGCAGTCTAAACTGCCTACTACGATTTACAGAGATAGAAAGGTGACAGCATGTACAAAGTGGGAAATTGGTTTAAAATTATTTGATTTTTTTTCTTATCAGAATGGCAGGTGCTGAGGAAAACATGTCCTTTTTATTTTTTATGTTTAAGTTGTTAATTTTTCTTTCCCATCAATTGCCTATTACATAAGAAAGCAGTGAGATAGCTAAACACACAAAATCTTCAAAAATATCGTACCTTAAGGATAATTATATATCTATTTTTTAAAGGTCATTTTGGAAAAGACCTTGAATTTTTACTGAAATTCAAATTGTACCCATAGTTTGACATAGGTTTTCTATGGTTATGCAACTTTATGAAATATTTCTGAAAACTTGATTAAACTATAAAAACTATATTTTTATTAGATTTAAAAAAATTTTAATATGCAAAATGAGAAGAAATGGATATAAAAAAATTCAATCTAAATAAGGCCATGTATTTTTTAGTTTCCAATTATTTCATTTTGGCTCCAGATGTCCTTAAATCTATTTCTATAAAGAAAGTATTTAGATTTCAGAATTAATTGTAAAAATGAAGGAAAAAATTTTCAAGTTTATGATTTAAACTATTAAATTTTCTAGTCTAGGTTTCATAACCTTTCTATTTTATGACTCTGTGTTGAAGAAATACAGAGAAAGTAGCCATATCTCTTTGTAGCATGTAATTGCATGGCATTTCAGTAGACAGGTCATTAACCTATTCAAAATGACTTAATTTTTGTTGAAAATTTCCTGCATGGTTTGAAAATGGATATCAATTTTTATTTTGTTTTGTTTGAAGCAACCCTTGCTCGATGATGTATCCTATACTTTGGAAGAATTGCCACCATCTCAGGCAGTCTGGATAGAGGTTCATGTTTGTTTGGAATATTAATATTTCAGCACTAGTAGTTGTTTTCACATGTCTTATTAATTATTACTTGACATGATTTATTAACCTGCTTTTGTTAGTACTACATGTAGTTTTGGATAGTTATGTTTGTGGTGTGGTTATGCTTCATTCTGGATAGCTAATGATTATTGCAAGTTTCCCCCCTGAACTGAATATTTAACCTGTGAAAATTCAATAGACTGGTCAGTCAATAATTTGCAACATACATGTGGTACAATCTTTTTGCAATAAAACAATAAATTCTCTTATCCATTAAATTTATGGGGGGGGGGGGAAAGAAAGATTTTTTTGATAAATTAAATTTAAAGAGCACCTAATAACATGCACTAACTACTGTAAACCAACTAATTTTCGCATGTGATTTATTTCGTGACTATGTAAAACTTATCTTTCCTTATTTAACTACATCAAGTAAATTTGAAAATAGCAAAATTAAATCGCTGTGGAGTGAACTAGAAAGTGCTAAACACGAAATTAAGTATCCGCAAAATAAGTTGGTTTGCAGTAATCCTTTTGTTTTAAATCTTTAAAAGGTTATTCAATGAGGTAACTGTACCACATGTATATAGAGGTGCTTTGTGATTTTAGTAGCAGTTTAGCTATTGGTACTTATCATTGATTATGGTGAAAAATATATTCTATCCTGGTTATTATAACCCAAGATAACTCTTGCTATGATGATTTAACATTACCAAAAGTCATTTGTGCTATTTTTTGTCATTTATTCATACATAGAAGTCATCAATTCTTATTTTTTAATAATCATTTCATCATTTGTAAAAAATATGTGATAATTATCTTCATAATATAATGTTGTCAATATTGTCGTCATATTCGAAGACATTTATTGTTTAAAATCTGGGATCTTGTTTTATTATTTAATATTGATGTCAACATCACACTTGGTCAACTGGATTCCGACCTGCTGCAATGTTTTAAAATTGTGTGTTCTGGCAGCTTACCTGAATGTTTGGTTAACTCTGCTGACAATGTTACATTTACAGAACAGTTTAATGTTTAGTTTTATAATTAGAAATATTTGTCATTTCAGGCTGAGGCTGCAGAAGCAGAAGCTGACCTTGATTGGTGGTCTAAATACTATGCCTCTGGTGACCCTAAAAACAAGGACAAATGTGCTAAATACCTTAAGAAAGGCATGGATAAAATCAAGGTAACATTGTCAGACAACCAATGACTGTATTAGTAGGAAAACTTTACTAGTTATTGTCATGTGATTTCTTAGGCATATGTAGTTTCACAAACAAGATGTGACATTTATCGATATCAACGAGTTCTACTTATGTTAACAGTATTAATTTTAAGCTCTATTAATTATTGTGAAACCTCCTCAGTGATGTCAATTGGTCACCTATTGAATGGCAAATTTTTACTCTAAGTAATCCTCCCAGTGTCCAATTTGCCAAAGACAAGACAATGGCTGAACGTATAATAAAACAATGACATTTTACAAGAACAGAGATCATAACCATTACCATGTAGGGGTTGTAATATTATGGCCTGTACTCAAAATATGTTGTTTGGCTTCAATGGCTCTCCAAAATTTGATTGGTTATCTGTTTGATATTGACATAATTCATATATGTTCCCTCAACCTAAGGTAGCAATACACAGTTAGGAAAAAATTTAAAAATTTACTCTCATAAATTTTACCATCCCTTTTTCCTTGCTTTCTTACAAATTAAGCTTACTGTTTGTGTCATACATGTGCATACGTTTGTAATCAGTATCTTCCATAGAATTTGATATCCAGTAGTTAAAATTTTGTCGAAAACATCGTGTAGAAACAAAGTGTTTGTAAATATTACATTAATTTCTGGACCTACGGCCGGTCTAGCTATGAAAATACGGACAGTCAAACAGAAAATAGCCCATAAAACATGTAAAAAATACTCTTGATGTTCTTATAAACCACCTTTGAAGGCTAAATTAGTACTCAACTGTCTAAAAATGAATTTTATTGCACAATAACTTTCATATTTGAAAAATCCACAGGGACCAAAATGCGAAACCACACTCCTAACTGTGTATTACTACCTAAGGTTATTCATTAGTTTCTTCCTGGGGTTAAAGGAGCAGTTTCAGCCCAAATCCAAACTTTGAAAATTAAAATTGGATAAAAATAGTAATTCTGGAGATGTAGGCTACTCTTCTCTGTCTGGCCCAAGCAGTACAGAGGTTTGGAACTTTGAAAAAACAACATAAACCAGTTTAAAAAAATCTACCATGCAATGTGTTTTCAGATTCATTGTTCCTCAACTTTATGTTTACCAAATACATAAGGTTGGGGTATCATTAGTAAGCAATAGCTCACAATTCTACTTGTTTACTTTAAAGTATTATGTTAACTGCAAACATTGCTAGATAAACTATCCAGTTTTTTATTACTGTTTAAATTATTTTTGTTCCAGATTTATGACACAGAGTTGGAGAAAGCTGAAGGGCATGGAGATTTTGCAGATTTCTGTCATTCTTTTGACTTTAGTCGAGGGAAAGATGAGGAAGATGAAGAATGCAATATTGTAGGAGAATTGAAGGTATAAATCATTTGTTATTATAATTATAATTAGGCTAGATAAATTACAAAGTAAATTGTTAGTCTTATTCTCATGAAATCATATAGTTTTGAATGTTTGGAATTTTTTTTACTGATTAAAAAGAAACAAACAGTGCATACATCATTCTATGTTTTTTAGTTTTTTTTAGCTCACCTGGCCCCCGTCATCATCTTCCGTCGTCATCTGCATCCATTAGCTTTTACAAAAATCTTCTCTTCTGAAACTACTGGGCCAATTAAAAACAAATTTGGCCTGAATATCATTGGGGTATCTAGTTTAAAAAATGTGTCCGCTGACCCAGCTTGCCGTCCAACATGATTGACATGGCTAAAATTAGAACATAGGGGTAAAATGCAATGTTTGGCTATTATCTTGAAACTGTTAAAGATAGAGAAAATCTGACAGGGTTAAGATGTTCAGAATGATAAGATCTACCAAATGTCTATTGACATCAATACTGTCAGACAACTTCTTATAGGAGTAATTGCTCTTAAAACGATGAATTTTACAAATTTTTTGCATTTGTGCCCATTATCTCGAAAATAATAATAGATGGAAAGAAACTTTAAATAACAAAAATGATCAGCAAGACAAGATCTACAAATAGGTCAACATGATGGAAACTGTTAGTTGATACCTTATTGAAGTTATTGCCCTTTAATGACGATTTTTCAAAATTTGTATCTTTTTTGCTAATTATCTTGAAAACTATAATAGATAAATAGAAACCTTAAAAAGCAGAAATGATCAGCAAGACAAAATCTACAAATAAGCTTCATGTTGAAATCTTCAGTTGACTCTTTATTGGAGTTTATGCCCTTGCATGATAATTTTTAACATTTTTTTTCCGTTTTTTTGCCTATTATCTTGAAAACTATAATAAATATGTAGGACTCAAATCTATGGCGGGTTCCAAATCTATGGCAGATTCCTAATCTATGGCAAATGTGACGTCATGTCATCCCAAATCTATGGCAGATTTTTTATAATCCGAATCTATGGCAAGTTTTGTAATTTCCTAATCTATGGGGGTTTTTGTTGTTTCCAAATCTACGGCAAATTTTGTGCAAATGGAAAACAATGCAGTACATATGACCAATGACTTGTCTTAAACAAGTGGAAATGTACGGGAGCATGTCTATAAACATTCCATAATGGTCAACCAAATCGTGATGGCAACCAACAAATTTCGTAAATGATGAATTCATATACCTTAATACAGACTTCAAGATTGAAATAAACGTTTTCTTATCTGTGCATGGTACCTGTTTAACCCATTCATTAAACCAACTAGTAAGTCTCTTAACAAACAAGAAGGCAGTTTTTTTATATTAAAGAAATAAATACAAATGAACAGTTTGAATTTTCACATAAATTTGTTTTCATCGTTAATACATCTTTTTTTATTTAATGACGATTTAAATCAAATTGGAATCCGGTAATTTCATCTTTCACTTTATAAACTTTGCCAGCCGTAGACAGTAAAATATTTACTATAACTCTCTTTTCTAAAATATCCGGTACTGAAAACAGCGGTACCCTTATTCAACGCGGGTTTCAGCAGGTACAGCACATTTTGTCCTTCATCCAGATAATAGGCCAAATCTTCCTTTAAACCATCTGCAAATTGTCGTCGAGGGAAATACCTTCATCTGAAATGGTGCTCAAATCTATAGGTTCCACCATCGTTAGCGTCGGCGACGATTTAATATGGCAATATTCAATTGTGACATTTATGTTACTTTTTTCCCCAGATAATTACGCAATTTAAAGATCTGCCATAGATTTGGAGAAAACAAAAATCTGCCATAGATTTGATTTGTTTGACGTTTGTAACGTCACATTTGCCATAGATTAGGAATCTGCCATAGATTTGGAACCCGCCATAGATTTGAGTCCTACAAATATATAGAAACTTTAAAAAAGAAAAATGATCAGCAGGATAAGATCAGCAAATATGTCAACATAGCTGAAATTGTCAGTAAACTCTTAATAGTGTTATTCCCCTTTCATGATTTTTACAAAAAAGTGGCAATCGTTGAAGATGCAGGTGAGCGACACAGGCTCTTTACACCCGCTAGTTTGGTGTTTGTAAGTGAAAAAAGTATAAAACATTAAAACATGTCTTTTATATAGAGATCACTTTAGAGAATCCTTATACTTCATATCACATAAACCTGTGTTTTGAGACATAAACTTAAAAAAAAAACTCTTTTATTGGTGGTCTTTCAAAACAGTCTCTACTATATAAACAGAAGCAAAAGGAAGGGGAAATAAATTATTAATATTTGTGATTTTCTTTACTTTTTCTCTTACTGGTATCAGATTAACTTTGTTATTGTTTTAAGGGAGGATTTAGGGTGTATCCACTTCCCCCAGACCCTAATGAACCAATACCAAAGAAGATGTTTAGTACTCTACCACAGCCAGACCCTGAGGAGTGTACCATCAGAATCTATGTTATCAACGGCAGTGATTTACAACCAGCTGACAGTAATGGAAAGGTATGTAAAGTTTTCTCCCTTTTGATATTATGCTTCATTTCGCGTATGATTCTACCATGGAACAAGCATTATAGGAGGAATAAACTGAAATTCCAAACTAAATATTGCACTGTGTCAGATATGATTTCCAATATTTAAGCCCACTTTGGTGGATTTTGTGATAATGTGCATGCTTTAAAAGACTAGAGTGCAAAAAGTCATGGATGGATTTGATCTCCTGCTGGATACTTGTCCCTTCTATGCTGAATCATGCAGTAATTAAGTGTAGGAGCAAATATAGTTTGGCCAAGCACTCTATTAAGAAGATTAACATGCTTGATAAATAAGTAACATGCCATTTAAAACAGCCAGAGGTTGTCTGGAATGCATAGCAACTCATCCATGGATTTAAAGGCTGTTGATTCAGAAATTACTATTTCTTAAACAATGCGATTAGAACTTTTCCTTTGAATTGGTGAAATCAAAAGCAGAAAGTATATATCTAATAAAAATATTTCAGTATTTTTTATATATATCATAAAAGTAGATTTTTCTCTTCCATTTTAGGCTGATCCATATATAGAAATTGAGCTTGGTAAAAAGAAGATAAACGACAGAGATGATTATGTACCAAATACCACAGATCCTGTCTTTGGGAGGTATGATTGATAACACAATTATTTATGAAATGAATCAGGAGTTTTTTCTGTTGTGAAGTAGTCTTAAGGTGGCTTGTTTACCAAAAGGGTTTGCTGAACTTCTGTGGTTGCATATAATGTATAGTTTTTGTCTCTCCTTGACGGAGTCAAAAAGCGAGACATAGGTATGCTGTTTCCAGCGGCGACGGCGGCGGCTTCAACAATGTATTAATTTGTGATTAGGTCTAGTTCATGGTGAACCACTAGTGGTAGGTCAATGATATTTGGTATGCAGTTGTATTAGCATTGGCACATCTCATTACCATGGAGATTATTTGGCCCCGCCCCCTCAGTCAAGGTCTTTTGACTTTGAAACTTTTCATAGTTTGCATGTATTAGTTTGTGATTAGGTCAATTTATGGGGAACCACTTATGGTAGGTCAATGATATTTGGTATGCAGTTGTATAAGCATTGGCATATCTCATTTCCATGGAGATTATTTGGCTCTGCCCCCTTAGTCATGGTCTATAGACTTTGAAAATTTTGCTAAGTTAACATGTATTAGTTTGTGATTAAGTCAGTTCAAGGGGAACCATTAGTGGTAGGCCAATGTTAATTGGTGTTCAGTTGTATAAGCATTAGCACATCTCATTTCCCTGGAGAATATTTGGCCCCGCCCCCTCAGTCACAGTCTATTAACTTTGAAACTTTTGCTTAGTTAACATGTATTAGTTTGTGATTAGATCAGTTTAAGATGAACTGCTAATGTTAAGTCAATGATATTTGGTATGCAAATTTATTGGCATTTGCAAGTATTGTTTCCATGGAGATTATATAGCCCCACCCCTGATCATGGTTCATTGACCTTGAAACTTTTACATAGTTTACAAGTTAATGTTTGTGTTTAGGTTTGTTTAAAGGGAACCACTTATAATAAGTCAATGGTATTTGGTATGCAGTTGTATTAGCATTGGCACATCTCATTCCATGGAGATTGTTTAGCCATGTACCTTCAGTCATGGTTCATCAACTTTGAATATTTGCATAACTTACATGTTAAAGTATTGCCATTTTAATTTCAACATTTGCATTATCAAAATTACAAAAAGGCGAGACATATCTCTGTGATAACAGTTTTTATTGTTGATACTTATTGTTTCTCAGCAGAATTATTATAAAATAGCATAGACCACATGATAAAAACTTATAAATATAGCATTGATGATTGAACCCTTTGTTAACATTAACCTGTAAAGGCTATTTTAATGCCCCACTTAGAGGCATTATGTTTTTCGGTCTGTGAGTCCGTTTGTACGTTCATCCGTTCGTCGGTCTGTCCCGCTTTAGGTTTAAGTTTTTGGTCAAGGTAGTTTTTGATGAAGTTGAAGTCTAATCAACTTGAAACTTAGTACACATGTTCTTTCTAATTTTACAGCCAAATTAGAATTTTGACCCCAATTTCACAGTCCAATGGACCTAGAAAATGATAGTGCAAGTGGGGCATCCGTGTACTATGGACACATTCTTGTTATAAATCTTATATAATTTTTTAGCAGACTCGACCTGAATAGTCTTTAGGTCATTCATAGTAAAACTTGCCCTAAGGGATTTAAACTCCTGGGAGCTTTTGGTATTTGAAAAAATTCAAGACTTAACTGGTACATGACGAGCTTCTTTTAAGTTGATATTGCACCAAAATCTATTTTTTGGTCCAATATTGAAGGTTGAATAGTGTTTAATGTTCATGTATAACTTGAAAATTTTTCAAAGTTTCTGTAAAAAGTACTTGAGTTTCGATTTTGATTGAACTTATGGCATAACGTTTAATTAACACACACTAGATAGGGTTAATGTTAATTTTTTTTTCAAAATGTTTATTTATTTCAGAATGTTTGAGTTAAATGCTGTATTACCAGTGATGAAGGATCTGACTATTCGATTAAAGGATTATGACATCATTAGTAGCGATGATTTGATTGGTGAGACAGTTATTGACCTTGAAAACAGATATCTGTCCAAGCAGAGGGCAACATGTGGTATACCTCAGACTTACTCGATGTAAGTGTACTATTAATGTGATCAAATTTTTTATCAGCTGTTCTCCCGAACGCTTAAAATATAAGAAAGATGTTTGAATGAGGTCCAAATTTACTCCCTTTGTTTACCAATAATATATTCTTCTATTTTTTGACATTTTAATTTTTATGGATTCGTAAGGTAGTAGGGTTAATACTAAAAAGACTAGGATGAAAGTACAAAGGTAACAACAGGACTGCTATAAATTTCAATTCTTTTTTTTTTGGCCAATTTCCAAGAGAGCTTTAGATAACATTGCTACAGTATTGGGTCAGTGAAAGAATGAAAATTTTATATTTACCATTGAAATGTTCTTAGCTATGACCATCAGAAGCATATGGTTCAGATACATAAATGTCATGCAGTGCAGTATATATTGGACTTAAAAAACTTCAAGAGTCTTTATATTGATAGTTACTGAATTAAAACTTTTGTCTTGAAAAACTTTTTCTGGTAATTGAAGTATTCATTTGGGATTCAATGTGTATGATTATCAGAGAAATCAATTTAAAAACATGTAAAAAATACTGTAAAAAAGAGGTCCCATTTTATTGGAAATTTTTTAATTTTATATGAAAGTTATTTTAAATAAAAGTAAATAGATAATCTATATTTTACCATTGTCCTGTGTTCTCTTGCAGAGCTGGTATAAATCAGTGGCGTGACAGTCAGAAGCCAAAGGAGATTCTGGAGATGTACTGTAAAAAGAACAATATAATAGGACCATTGTTTTATGGAAACAACAGTGTTAAAGTAGGCAGCAAGGTTTACAATATCGCTGATTTTGGTAAGTAAGATATAAATAAACACATCTTAGAGAACTTTCTGGTTATGTCTGTCACAGCAAATAAACAAGGATTTATTACTTCAGGAGAGACTTGTAATGATCCAAAAATGATCATCTCCATATCTTGTGACCTTACCACTTATAATTTTGTTGATCATTTATGAACTTTGATAATTTGTTACCCTTTACTTTGTATTTGATTGTAAGTTTGAGGACTGATCACATCCACTAAAAAGAACTTTTGGTAACCCTATACCAACCTTTTTAAAAGTGTGCCATTTTGAAAGCAAATTACTACATGCATAGTGTTTAAGCCCAGAATTACAGTTACAATTGTAGGTAACATATATATATATTATATACAGTCGACTCTCGTTATCTCGAAGTCAGTCGGACCAGAGAAATATTTTGAGATACCCGTAGTTCCACTCAAACGAAAACCGGAAGTTTGACAGACCAAGGGACACAACTCTTGCTTACCTTGGTAGAGCTAAAATAAATCCAGATGAATATGGGAATGGGATCGATATACTGGTCTCATATCGATGGATTTGTATGTTATGGTCTTTCATTATTATAATAACATTGTTTTCACTTATTTAATTATTTCTTTGAACAGTTACAATTTTTTCCTGTGGCTTTTATCCGAGAGAGTAATTTCCAATCGATCTTAGCGTTATTTAAGTCATTTAAATTTGACAAAATTGTTTATTCTCGGATACAAGAGATTTTAGAAATTTAGATTTATTTTTATTTTCTTTTATCTCAATCTTTCTTTTAAAGAAAAAATACTAAAAGATAAAAGACGCTGATTGAGTAGTTTTTATGTGATCACCAACGGAAGTCTTAATCCCCACTTTATACACATCCAAGCTCATCAGTGTAAATCACGATTAATTTAATTAATTTTTTTTGTAAACATTTTAAATAATTTTTCATAAACTTAAACAATGTATCACTAATTATTTATCATGGTGATAAAAGATAATCTTAGGTAAACACTCGTGGAAATAGAATGTCATAAATCAATACCTTGGTCAGTGACCGGAAATTTAATTACACGTGTATTGTCAGATTAACTCTTCAATCCACTTAAATCCCGGAGGTCATGTTTTGACATATGTGTATTAGTTCGAGATAAATAATGAATTTTGAATGCTTTTGTTAACCTTGGGACCGTAAATTTAGTTCGACTCAACCGAAATTTCGACTCATCAGGAGTCGAAATACATATATTTATATGGAACAAAGTTCGGGACCACGAGAAAACTTCGACTCATCCGAAATTTCGAGTCAACCGAGTTTGAGACAACGAGAGTTAACTGTATATAATCCCGTAAGTGATGTAGTAGGTGTGAGCTTATATGTCTAGTATGGTAATGTATGGTGTAAGATCATGTATTTAATTTTATATGAATAAAAGTTTTGTGTAAATAGCAATTGAACAGAACACAACAAACTTTATTAATCAAAATAAGCATACTGTGGATTCATTTTTATTCGTGGTATACCAATTTTCGTGGGTTTCGTGGGTCACAGCGAACCACGAATTTAAGAATTCAACGAAGAATAGTCCCGAGAAATGTGTATGGAGTCGGATGTTTATTTCCGGTTATGTTATGCTGTTCTAGTATAGTGTTGACTAGCGATAAACATTGTAACATAACATGTGTTTTTATTGAAAGAAGATACAAGTATTTTGATTAAATCAATAATAAATATATCGAATATCGGTAATAATTTACTTTTTGAAATTGATTAAAACTGTTCATTGAAAATAACTGCAAGTTGTTAATTACCGTGTCATAGTTTGGTTTACTGGTGATAAAAAATCAATAGGATTAAGTACGGGGATATTGCCCGTAGGTAATTTTGTTTATGACAGGAACATTTATTTTCACACCTTTTACTTATATGACTGTTAATTATATCGTGATTAGGGAAATGAGCTTTCAATCATAGAGTTTTGAATGCCTTATAAAATTCCGACAAGAATTTATAAATTGTAAAACAAACAAATAATTAGTTGTCTCTGTCCATTATTGTAATAGAAGTTTTCAATGAACACTTTAACCTAGAATGACCAAGCGAGGATTTTGACAATTCAAAACTTTTTCAATGAATTCCTTCTTTTTTGTTTGTTTTATTATTGATGAAACCAAGGAGGTTATATGATCTCCAAAATCAAAAAGAAATCCACGAATTACATATCTGATTTTTTTTTTTTGTAATCAGCGATCCACGAATTTACGTATACCACGAAAACGTCTTTTTTTCTCTACCCACGAAAATAAATGAATCCACAGTAGTTAAATTGGGTGAAAACTTCTATTTCTTTCAAGAGATAGCTACCTTGTGAATAAGGACCTTATACAAATTTATATTTATGACTCTGACTTATACGATTTGTTATACACTGCATCCTTCATGTATAATATATAAGCATATTATTTCTCAAGATGAGATATCTTACAGAACAAAGCATTTTTTACAGGGATAATTAGGTCACTCTAACCTAAATTTTGAATTTTGTGTTCAACCAATAACTATTTATTGTAGAAAGCCAAAACAGATCAAAGAGAGATTATCCAAATGATGGACCAATGGATGAAAGACTAGCTCTTCACGTACTGAATACATTCCCAATTGTCAAGGAACACATTGAATCTAGACCACTGTTTAATCCAGTCCAGCCTAACATTGAACAAGTAAGGAACACAATGGATCCACTTTTAAGCCAGTCCAATTTCATGTTCTCAGATAATACATATATTGTAACTACAAAACTGTTCAATTGTAACATGAATTTATTGATGGTTTAGGAGCTCACTGAAATAAAATTTCTCTAAGAACCTACAACACTGTTCAATATCATAGATTTATTAGTGGGTCAGGAACACACTGAAATAAAATTTCTCTAAGAACCTACAACACTGTTCAATTATATCATAGATTTATTGATGGTTTAGGAACACACTGAAATAAAACTTCTCTAAGAACCTACAACACTGTTCAATTATATCATAGATTTATTGATGGTTTAGGAACACACTGAAATAAAACTTCTCTTAGAAGGTGAGGAAGATGTAACTGCTAACTAGACCAATATGTTGGTAACCAAATAAATGTTGAACAGGTAAAGAACACATTGAATATAGTAGTGCTCAATATAGTGAAATCTAATAGTATACAGATAAAGAACACAATAACTGCAGAGCATGGCTGAATCCAATACAACATGGTTAAAAACTATGTAAGGAGAGAATTACTCATATAAATACATTGTAATATTGTACATGAAATTAATGACTTGAAAATATACTGTTGTTGATTCTGATTATGCACATATATATTCAGATTCTTAGTCGACAACAGTATATCAAGTTTATTTGTGAAGAAAAAAAACCATATTAATTCTAAATATATGACAAAACTTATGTGTCAATTAATTTTCAGGGACGAATACAGATGTTTGTTGACATATTTCCTACCTCACTTGGACCACCTGGTCCACCATTCAAGATAGAGCCTCGTAGAGCAAAAGAGTAAGAAATTCATTTCATTTGAACCTCTTGCACAATATATTGGCCTTTTACAATGATGGATAAATACAATCTGCCTTTTTATTATCAGAATTTTGGCAGACCTTATTTCGAAAGGATGGTCAAACATTGATAAATGGGACAGAAAAAGAATAATGTAGTACATTTCGAAGATATATGCAATGATTTAGTGACTGCAACAAACAGATAGACATAACTATCTTGCATGATAGTGATATTCTTACTTAGGCCAGGAGAGACGAGCTTTTGGGTTTCCTATCGTTTGAGATGAAGTCAACTTACAGTACATTTTATTAGTTAAAGGGAAACAAAACTCTCAAATAGAAGAACTACAAAAACAAAAAGATAACTATTGATGCTTTTAGATATTGAAATACTGATGTCCCACCAACCCACATTAAGTTCTTAAGTTCTTACAAGATTTTGATTGAATTAAGTTCTTACAAGATTTTGATTGAATTTATGTCAGGTTTCCATTAACAATTATTTGAATGAGTTTAAAAATCCATACCTGATATATTTGTTTGTTGGAGTAATGTTCCTTAGAAACAACGCCGTGGATAAAAAAGAAAAAGGCAGAAAAAAAAACAGTACACCAAACATAACATAGAAAACCAAAGACTGAACATTTTTTTTATAGGAGTTATATCCCTTGTAAATATAAGTGATATGGAAAATTTGAGTATATAGGTGGGGTCATTGGCTACACTGTGGCAATCTTGTTGATTCTCATATTTTTAAAAAGGCAAAGTCTTATTGATTAATTTACTTCTTTAGATATGTCCTAAGATGTATTATATGGAACACAGTAGATGTAAAACTTGATGAGACATCCCTGGTGGGAGAATCTATGAGTGATATTTACGTCAAAGGCTGGGTTTCTGGAATCGATGAGAAACAGAAAACAGATGTTCATTACAGGTTAGTATGAAATTTATACTAGCAGATAAAACTGCAAACCAGCTTGTAAAGAAGTATTTTGTGATATAAAATTGAGAATAGAAACGGAATGTGTCAAAGTGACAACAACCCGACCATTCAGCAGAAAACACTCCAAGGCCACAATGGGTCTTCAAAAACAGAAAGAAAATCCTGCACTTGGGGCAGGCTTTAGCTGGACCCTAAACAATAATGTATACCAGTTCAGGGAAAATGGATGGCACATATTTTAATACATTTTCTTTACTTACTATGGATTTACTAAGGTATCAATAAACCATGAATTTAAATGTTAAATAAAAAAAAAACATTTTCTATAAGCTTGTCACGAAAACCAGTATCAATGAAAATACAATTTTTCCTTAATCCACAAAAATTGGTACCCATCAAAATAAATGAATCCACAGTATGCAAGTTTATAATTTTGTACTTCAAAAACATTTTTACAAAAGAAAACATATATATTTTTAGATAGTTTGCCAAAGGCAGCACTTACAACATCATTCGTAGTAATGCATATCTAATGCATTAAAACAGTTATTATATGATTTTAAGATCATACAAAAGAAACATAAAAAAATATGATGTGTTAGACAAAACTGGAACCTTCGGTTTTCACAAAAATAGTTTTGCTACAACATTCAGTAAAATAAAAATTGTCATCAATTTAAAGATACTTTTGTTTGTATTACAGATCGTTAGATGGGGAGGGAAACTTCAACTGGAGATTTGTCTTCCCATTTGAGTTTATCCCTGAAGAACAGACAATGGTTATCAAGAAAAAGGTACATTACTTTTACAAAACAAAGTACATACCTATTTGTAACGTATATCAAATTGGTTTTTGTTGTCAAAATTTAGTTCTTGTGGTTAATGTTAAAACTGGTCAAGGGAAGATTACTTTATTTTAAAATATCTGTTTAGAGCCTGCATTTTAGTTTTTCATCTGTTTTTGGAAAATAAATCTTCATTATATATTTTTTTCAGGAACATTTCTGGAGTTTAGATGAGACAGTACAACATCTTCAACCCATTATAATGATGCAAATCTGGGACAATGATATCTTTAATCCAGATGACTTCTTAGGTAAGCCACATAAAAATTGATGCATTATTAATCATACACCAGTCATAGACCAGATGTGTTATGATATACAGTTGTCTGTTTGTCAGTCCACACATCATATACTTTGATGAAATTGCATGAAACATGTTTGAAATATTGCAATTTATGGAAGAAAGCTACCTTTTAATTAAAAGATGTGCTTAATGGGTCATCCTAGTTCAAGGACTTTATAACAAACAGTTTTAATGCAATTTTCACTTGCTGTTGTTCGGATTGGTAAAAGTATACAGCTTCCTTTTGAATTTGAAAAGTTCAGGTTTGTCAATTCAGAGTTATGTAACTTGAGCCTTCAGGTTTATGTTAGTTTTTCCCATGTCTCCCACTAACTCAATTATTCAAAGATTGACTTACCTAAAGCTTCACATGTCTCCCACTAACTCAATTATTCAAAGATTGACTTACCTAAAGCTTCACATGTCTCCCACTAAATCAATTATTCAAAGATTGACTTACATAAAGCTTCACATGTCTCCCACTAAATCAATTATTCAAAGATTGACTTACCTAAAGCTTCACATAATTGTTAGGAATTTTTAAAACAAAAAAAATATTTTTCATTCCAGGGTTATGCGACTTTTAAGTGTCAGATTTAAGGCAATATTTGTACATGTCTCACACTTACTTGAGTATGCTTGGATCGATTTACTTTTAAATATGTATTGGTTTTTGGATTGGTTAAAGTAAACTCTTATTTTGAGCATTTTCCATTTCAACCATCAAATTTAAGGCAATTTTGATATGAATAAGAATATCCTCCTTCTGCAGGGTCATTTCACTGAGTTCTGAGTAAAAACCTTCAGCAAAATTCCATTTTGTTCTTGAACAATTTCAATATGCATGTGACAATGTGACAAGACGTATCTTATGCACTTGACACAGCTGTTTATTATATGGTCTTAGGGTTTGTTTTTATTTGCATCAAATTGATAATACAATAAAAAATATTTGCGTTGCGTGTAGTTAGGGAAATTATCTAACAATTTACAACAATTTCTGTTGAAAACTTAAACAAAAGAGACATGGAGGACTTAATTACAAGTTGAAGAGGAAATAATAACTAGCACATTTATTTGGCTATAAGTATGATATGAAAACAATATGTCACTATGAACAAATGATTGCTTTGGTGTGAACATCATAATCTAAATGGTGATTTCATCACATCACTCTTTTTATTGTTTTTTTTTCTGGGGTCCAGACAGATTATTTCATTAAATTATCCTATTTTTTAGGACCAATAACTTGGTGACATATATTTTCATTGAAATCTTTGGTAATATATCATTTATTGCACAATATATCTAAATTTGAAAAAAATAACAATGTGTTTTCATCTTGATATGTGTTGGCATCTTTTACAGTTGCTAAATAAATTTTGATTAAATTACAGGAACATTATCTCTTAACTTGAATGCAATGCCTAAACCAGCAAAGTCCAGTTCCAAGTGTCTGTTAGACAGACTTCCAGACTTTAACCCACAAGTGGAACTAGTTTCATTGTTTGACCAAAAACGTCTCAAAGGTTACTGGCCTGTTTATGGCGAACAGGTGGGAGAAAACGGTGAAAAGACAGGTCAAAGGGAACTTACAGTAAGTGTAAAACTACTATAAAAGACAAGCTAGCAGACGTTTATAGTATTTAGAAAGTTACTATAAAAGACAAGTTGGAGGGTACTAACAATTCAAAGAAAATTACTGAGAAGACAGTAAGGGAACAGTAAGAATCACTATGACAGTCATTTTTATATTAATTTTCATTGCATATAAAATAAATGTGAAATGACAGGTGTGAGGTAATTTACAGCAAGTAGAAAATTACTTTGAAAAGACAAGATGGAGAGTATTTACAATAAGTATGAAATTACAATAGAAAACTGGTCAATAGGGAATTTACATAAAGAAGAAAATTCTAGGTCTAGTGAATTTGCAGGTTGTAAAAATAACTGAAAGGACAGGTCTTATAAAATAAAAAGATACAGGGAGAGCTGTCGAGTAGTCAGGACAGACAAAAAACATGAGAAAATACAATAAAAAATCTACTTAACATACAGATTTCAAAGGATTTTAAAAACAACAGATTCAACACTAAAAACCTAGGGCTATCTCATGTGTTATAGCATTGTTAATAATTCCCTGTTCTATTTAGTACAAGGATCTGTCATGCAAAAGATTTTTCAGGAAGTAGGAAGCTACTATTTTTTGTTTCGGCTTCAAAAATCAATAGTAAAGATTAGTATTAACCGCATACTTTTATACATAATTTATTATTTGATATTTTCATTTAACTAAGATAATGCTCAGGTTCACTTAAAATTTGAAATAGATATTGATAAATCTTAAGCTATTATACTTGTAATTTGCTGAAAATAAATAAAATTGTAAGAAGTAGATGCACAGCATTTATGACTTTTTTTTAATTTCAGGGAAAAATAGAAATGGAATTAGAGTTAGTAACAAAAGCAGAAGCAGAGGAGAGACCATCAGGTCAAGGTCAGGAGGAACCAAACATGAATCCTCATCTGGATCCACCAAAGTAAGTTGTCGTTTAACAATAAACATACAATCAAGTGTGGTAATTTTGTTTGTCCAGTTCATTTGTGTACTTTGTTGACTTAAATGTACATACTTAATGACTTTGTTGACTTAAATGTACACACTTCTACTTTGTTGACCTAAATATAAACACTTAAAAACTGTGTTGACTTAAATGTACACACTTAAAGACTTTGTTGACTTAAATAATGTAAACATTTAAAAACTTTGTTAACTTAAATGTACACACTTAAAGACTTTGTTGACCTAAATTTACACACTTAAAAACTTTGTTGACTTAAATGTACACACTTAAAGACTGATATATTCACTGAAAGATGGAAGAAATTATCAGTCAGCATCATTGTTGTAGTTACAAATATCAATTGTAAAAAACAAATTATTCAGTTAATAAAGGAAATGAAAGCATTCAATAGCTAAACAGCTGAAACTTGAAAAAATATGAATTTTATCAAACTTTATTTCAAGCAGCAACTATGATTTTTGCATGGATAAAAAATGTCAGATGCAAGTTATTACTTTTATCATTAATTTATTTTACAGACGTCCAGAAACTTCCTTCTTTTGGTTAGCGTCACCATGGAAATCTTTTAAGCATATTATTTGGCGTAATTACAAATGGTGGATCATCGGTTTCATTGTCCTAGTCTTGATTCTTCTCCTGTTATTCCTGTTCATCTACTCACTACCTGTAAGTATTACCAAAAAAATATTATCATGTATGGTAACTTGCATATATACTGGCATATTTGTGAAACTTTAAATATTCATTCAAAAGGTTTTCAAAATATAGGAATAACTTGCTTAACTAATTGTACATTTCTCCAAAGTATTTATTTGAAGAAACATGAAAAGGTACAAAGCTTTAGGTGTTTGAAAGAAATATACATGTCATACATGGATTTTACATATTCTGTCTCTGTTCCGAGGTTTATCGCTGTCAAGTCAACATCCGGTATAAGGATAACATGTGCCAGTTAACTTTCCCGTTAGAAAGTTATTGCATTAATATTGAGTATATAGATATAAGAAGATGTGGTATGAGTGCCAATGAGACAACTCTCCATCCAAGTCACAATTTGTAAAAGTAAACCATTATAGGTCAAAGTACGGCCTTCAACACGGAGCCTTGGCTCACACCGAACAGCAAGCTATAAAGGGCCCCAAAAATGACTAGTGTAAAACCATTCAAATAGGAAAACCAACGGTCTAATCTATATTAAAAACGAGAAACGAGAAACACTTATGAACCACATCAACAAACCATCAGGTTCCTGACTTAGGACAGGTGCAAACAAATGCAGCGGGTTTAAACGTTTTAATAGGCGCCAATCTTCACCCTACCTGAAACAATAGTGTAACATCACAACATAGAAAGACACACTATAAAATATCAATTGAAATGGCTTAACTCAATCAAAAGACATATTAACAAAAACAAGTGAACATACACTGAACGAATAAATTTGATATATGACAATGTAAATACAAAATTAATAAAACAAGGGGGTTAGATGTAAAACAATATCAGAAAGACAACCATAACCTTAGACAAAATGCCGCCATATAAAATAACATACACAGGTAAATAAAAATAATTTTGTTGTAAGGTATACATGGAGTACAGAAATAATTTTTATAAAATAAATAATTTTGTTGTTCCTAGTAGTACACACTTAAGTCCTTTGATGATCCAAACTTCAAACGTATCACTGATATTTAACCGATCCATATAAATATACAAGTTACTGACAGTGAACGGAACAAACATAAACATATGAAATATCTGTTTTCAAATTCCTTACCTTTGATGGCCTTTCAATGTTACCTTGACTGGCTCAATTGCCTTAAGTTACAAAAATAAAAGAGGTTAAACACAGTTAGAAAAAAAAAGGTCCATCTAGCTCAAACTTATTGTAGAAGCCCTGATGCTAAATTCAACAAATCATATATATTTGATTAGAAACTAAATTGTGTACATTTTTCTTTTTCAGGGGGACATTTCTGGGAAGATTATTGGCAATTGATGATAATGTCTGAATCACCTTGGTTTGAACTTTTGAAATGTTATAAGTGGTACAAGTGCTGTGATGGGTAAAACACAACAGTGAATTTGAAAAGCAGCTATTGTGTTATTCAATTAGTTGTAACGACAATGTGGTTTTACTTAAAAAAAAATTGCTGTTGATCATTCATGTGAGATGTTATACTTATGGTACCATTAGACCAGAGACATATAATACAAGAGATTTTATGATATTTTGTCCTGTTGAGAATCTCTTGTATTATATGTCTCTTAATAGACTGATTGAATTGTTCTAGATCCTTTATGATTGTAAATTTATGTATTCCTTTAAATGAACATACATTTGGAATATATTTTTAATTATAAAAGATTGACTGCTTAATAGTTAAGTACAGGCCATGGATCTAGATTTTTTAAAAAGGGGTTCAGTCTTATATTGTATTATTGAAGTTCTTAAATTTTCATGCATCAGAGGCAGATATAAGGGGGGGTGGCAGGGTGCCCGGGCCTCCCATTAGGGAACTATATTTATGGTTAAAGCAAACCTATACCTGTTTCACTCCAAACGTTGCCTAGTTTGGGGGCCTGAGCCCCCTATTTTCAAAATCCTAGATCCACATCTGTATATAACTACCTACTTACTTTGTGTTAGCATTGAGCTTATGTATTGATTGTTTTTATCATTTTTATCTTTTATTTTTTTCCATCTGGGTCAAAAAATAAAGACCTTATCTATTGAAATTTAGTATTTCAATTTTGTTCCTATCAACTTGTCCTCATGTAACAAGTCTATGTGTAAACTGTACATATTTCGTTTAAATGAATCTGGAAGATCAATGTGCACTGTCGGAATGTAGGTACGATTGAACATAATGTTATAACATAATGTTTGTTGCTTATTAAATAAGATAATTTATTTTTATATGTTTCTTTTCTTTTTTAATAGAAAACAAAATAATTCTGAATCAAAAGTTACATCAAATACTACTTGCAGAAATCAAATCTGTTATTAAAATATTTCTCAAAAGTCAGATCAAATTTGTTTACACATACATGTATATCTTATTACCTTATTTAAATACATAAGGTTCAGTTAATATGATATAATAATTGTTTTTAATTTACTCTATAAAAAATCTATTTAGATTTTATTGAACATTTATTTAGAAAACTAGTCAAAAAATATTAAACTTGTATTTTCTGTACATTGAATAAAATGAAATCACAAGTATCCCTATCTGTTGTATTGCAATTGGCATTCTTGATATTAAAAGCTTTTAATATTCTTGTGAAACATGGCATTGGTTTTTACTATTTTATGAATTTTTGAATGATTGTTTTAGAGGAAATATGTGGCATGACAACGAATAATGTTATGTGTTTGTTAAATATATTTGATATACACAATCTAACTTTTTGAATATATTTTCATATTTTGTGATATTTTATGGGGTCTTTCTTTGAAGATATTGTTATGGGACAGTTTCACTATGCATATATGTTATTTTATTAATTTTTTTATTTTTTTCACAAAGTAGTACAAATGTAATATAAATGTTCCATTTGAAGTATGGCAATTTTAAAGTCTAAAACATTACTGTTGTAATTGTACAAGAAATTTAAATGGTTCCCCTTCAAATTTGATTGGCCACAGCTATGTCTTCACCTGCTTTTGGTGAGTATTACTACTATCCTCTTTTACCCTTTTAGTGGTAGAATGCACCTTTTCTTCTGAAATTGTTTACAATTTGAAGTTAGAAATTACATATAAATCAAGAGTAAAATATGAACATGCCCTTTTTGGTCCAGGTCCTTGTACCACCATTTTTTGAGTGAAATTGTTACTGTTAATACATGGAATTAAGCAGGGTTAAACAAGATAGAAAAAAAGTTGTTAATAAATGGTGCTTTTGGAGATTGTTTTTGTCATGTGGCTGTGCTGTTATACTTCAGAGCTGGATACACATGTTTCTCTCAGAATTATAATTTACTTCCTGCTTTCAGTTTATCTAACACATACAATACTCCATAGCTTGATAATCTGTGATATCTCATTGTTTGAAAAATTAAAATAACCATACTTAAACCTCAAAATTTGTAATTATGCTCATTTTTTTGACTACTTCATTGTTTTATTATGGTTGACAATAAACTCATGGGAGTGGACCATAGCACATCGTGTTGGATTTTAAAAAACATTAAGGCAATTACTTAACTTTTTTAAAAGATATTTCAACAAATAAGAGGAAATAAGTAAAAATTGCATTTTATTATTAAAAATAAATTTTATTTCAGCAAGTTCAAATAACTTTCTAGAATTTTCTGTGGCAGAACTTTATATGATGTCACAAAAGTTTATTTTTGTTCTTTACATCTTCAAATTCCAAATACATGCCAATAAAGTTTTCTTGGCCTTATATATCTTCTGCTACCACATTTAATTTAACCATTTATTGTTCAGATATTATTAGGCACAATGCTTGTATTTGTTATATAAATCATAAAGTGCAATTGTATCTTTAGGACTGTTTTTTTAGATCTTTAGTTATATACTTTGATATATACTTTGTAGATTAATTTATATATATAATCAAATAACAATAAAGTTGTTCTGTTATTGTTGTATTTATTTATAAGTAATTATAACTTGTTGTTATCTCCCTTCCCTGTTACACAGAATACCTCACCCATAGTCAGTTTTGTTCTAAATAAATATCAAATTGGTCTGAAAAAAAAGTCGGAAGTGTAGTTGCTGAGAAAAAGAAATTGACCAAAGTTTTACATAGTATGAACATTACATATAAACTACAAGCAAAAAGTGAAATAGCAGTTGACCTGAAAATGTATAGCGTACATGGATGATGCTTGGTACTTAACATTTAAGGTTTGTATATGTATTTGTTTAACAGGAAGTGGAACTAAAACCTACCTGCTGCTGAGAAATACTGTAATGGAAATGTATCTTAGTCCGAGTGATGGTTTCTTCTTCCCGATTATGAGTCGGACTCTGCAATTGACTCAGGCACATCTCAAACAGATAGTTTCACAGAGATGAATTAGAATTCTCTCTCTACTAGCATAAATCAGACTATTGGTTTTCTCTTTTGAATGGTTCTCATTTTGTCGATGCCAGGGCCTATTAAATCTTACTATACAGTGTGGGCTTTGCTCATTGTTGAAGGCCATATGGCCGCCATTAGGTAGTTAGCAACAATAATATTGAGTATCATTAATATCCTCAGACACAACTGTTAAGATATATTTGTTACCTTGAACTTGATACAGACATTCAAACCTTCTTTGTGACACAACCTCTAGTGGTTTGAAACTAAATCCAATTATTGTTAATATCCTTCAAAGCATTGAGTAAAGCACCACTTTGTATTTGAATATGATAGAAAGTACAGTTGAACTTAGTTTTGACCTTACCTTAAATAAAATGTATTTTTTTAATTAAAAAAGAAAGTAAGAAATGTGTTAGAATATGCCCAGATGTTCATGTCAGAATTTGGATGCAAAACATGGCTATTTAAAACTAAACTTAAAGATAAAGGGACGTCCAAGTTAAATGCAAGGATGTGCAGAATTATATATATTGTATGTAATGCACATTTCACAAATTCCATTTGTCATTCTATCCCTTTCTAATAAAATAAAACATGGTGTATAATTTGATAAATTTATTATGAAATCTTTTATAGTTTAGTATCAAATATAAATACATATTCTGTAACCTCAGTATTCATAAATAAGGGGGAAATGTATTCAACATTTCTGGATTAGATATCTATAACTGGTTCTGTATGGACTTGCAGAATATCTGATAAAATACCACTTCCATATTTTTTTCTGTTTACAGTAAATGCAATCATATTCCATTAAAGACAATCATTTCTTCGTAAGTGCAAATGCAATCATGATAATCACCATTTGACGGTAAATGCAATCAGAATAATCACCTTCTAACAGTAAATGCAATCACGATAATCACCTAACAGTAAATGCAATCACTTTTATCATCTTCTAACATAATCACTATATAACAGTAAAATACAAACATGTTAGCCACCATTTGACAGTATAAATGCAATCAGAATAATCACCTTCTGCCAGCAAATGCAATCATAATCACCATTTAACAGTAAATGCAATCATATTTATCACCCATATTGAAATATAGTTTCCTTTATATTTATAATGCTATAAAAATATTTAAATCAGTCTAAAAATCCATTTGTTTTGAAAACATTTCTTATTATGTCAATGTCTGATTGTCCTATTGGTTGTAAAGGTGACCTTGTGGGACCTCCATAGTAACCAAACCATTCCATAGCAACCTTTAACCCTGGAACTCCAAATCTTTTGGTAACCTGAAATATTCATTAAATATTTTATAATGATAGTGCATAAAACAAGAGGCTCTCAAGAGCCCGAATCGCTCACCTGTAATTTTTTGCTTAAATCTTTCATCAATGATTATTTTTGCTTTTCAATATATATTAATGAGTGGCTTAAAAATGCCATTTAAATGTTCTTTTTATCTGTCATATTTTCTTCAAAAGCAAAAAAATGTATTTTACCCCTATGTTCCATTTTAGCCATAGTGGCTATGTTTCTTGAAGTACAAGGAAATAAAATAAACTAGAGGCTCTCAAGAGCCTGTGTCGCTCACCTGTATTTACTGATGCTTTGGAAATCATGTAAAATAAGGTTAAAATCATAATTAATAGTATTAGATATTAGATATTATAATGATATCTAAGATAATAACAAAAAACTGCAAAATTTTTATAAAAAATTACTAACTCAGGGGCAGCAACCCAACAACGAGTTGTCGGATTCATCTGAAAATTTCAGGGCAGATAAATCTAAATCTGATGAACATTTTTGCCACCTGTCAGATTTGCTCTAAATGCTTTAGTTTCAGAGATATAAACCAAAAACTGCATTTTACCCCTATATTCTATTTTTAACCAAGTCAGCCATGATGGTTCAAAGGCGGGGTCATTGGACAAATTTTTTAAACTAGATACCCTAATAATGATAATGGTCAAGTATGGTTAAATTTGTCTCAGTAGTTTCAGAGAAGAAGATTTTTGTAAAAGATTACAAAAATTTACAAAAAATTGTTAAAAATTGACTATTAAGGGCAATAACTCCTAAAGGGGTCGACTGACAATTTTGGTCATGACAACTTATTTGTAGATCTTACTTTGCTGAACATTATTGCTGTTTACAGTTTATCTCTATCTATAATAATATTCAAGATAATAACCAATAAAATGCTCTGCAGGGCGCAGCTTGATACGACCGCAGAGGTCGAACCCTGAACAGTTGGGGCAAGTATGGACACAACATTCAAGCTTGATACAGCTTTGCATTTGGATTGTGATTAAATATTTGACACAGCATAGGTTTCTGACACAGAATGAATGTGGTCTAAGAACTTAAAAATTTTAAATTGGACATTCACCTATTATGGTCCAATATCCAAAATCTAAATACATGGTTAGATTCAGCATATCAAAGAACCCCAAGAATTCAATTTTTGATGAAATCAAACAAAGTTTAATTTTGGACCCTTTTGACCTCAATGTGGACAAAGTTGATAACCGGGCCATAAATTAAAAATCTAAATATATGGTTAGATTCACCATATCAAAGAACCCCATATATTCAATTTTTGTTGAAATCAAACAAAGTTTAATTTTGGACCCCGATTTGGACCAACTTGAAAACTAGGCCCATAATCAAAAATCTAAATACATGTTTAGATTCAGCATATCAAAGAACCCTAAGAATTCAATTTTTGTTAAAATCAAACTAAGTTTAATTTTGGACCCTTTGGACCTTAATGTAGACCAATTTGAAAACGGAACCAAAAATTAAGAATTAAATACATGGTTAGATTCGGCATATCAAAGAACCCCAATAATTCAATTTTTGATGAAATCAAACAAAGTTTAATTTTGGACCCTTTGGACCTCAATGTGGACCAATTTAAAAACGGGGCCCAAAATCCAAAAACTAAATACACGGTTAGATTCAGCATATTAAAGAAACCCAAGAATTCAAGAATAAAACCCCATTGAAATTGGTCAAGAAATAAGCAATTTATACGAAGTATCTTCTTTTGCACAATACTGTGCAATTAAATATTTCTTGCTATTGCGCAATACTGTACAATTGACAATTTCTTGCTATTGCGCAATATTGTGCTATTGGATATTTCTTGCTATTGCGCAATACTGTGCAATTGAAGATTTCTTGCTATTGCGCAATACTGTGCAATTGAAGATTTCTTGCTATTGTGCAATACTGCGCAATTGAAAATTTCTTGCTATTGCACAATACTTATTATATAATAATTTACACATCCTGTTTGGTGTGTATCTCCTACCATATCATTATTATTTGCTTTTAAATATAAATCAGAAATAACAAACTTAAAATGGAAAATTTTAAAAGAAAAAAAAAAGAAAAAAAAAAAATCACCCCCCCCCCCCCCCAAATTTTTTGAACCCCCTTATGATTCATCACCCCCAAACTCAATCCCAGCCTTCCCTTTGTGGAATGGTACCTTGCAGTACAATTTCAGAGAGATCCATACACTTGAACACAAGTTATTGTCTGGAAACTAGAAAAATGTGCTTTTTTGGCCCCTTTTTGGCCCCAAATTCCTAAACATTTAGGGCAATTACCCCCAAACTCAAACCCAGCTTTCCCTTTGTGATATGGAACCTTGTAGTACAATTTCAGAAAGATCCATACACTTACACACAAGTTATTGTCCTGAAACTAGAAAAATGCTTGTTTTTTGTCCCTTTTTGGCCCCTTATTCCTAAAATATTGAGGCAATTACCCCCATCATCAATCCCAGCCTTCCCTTTGTAGTATGGTACCTTGCAGTACAATTTCAGAGAGATCCATACACTTGAACACAAGTTATTGTCTGGAAACTAGAAAAATGCTTATTTTTGGCCCCCAATTCCTAAACGTTTTCGGCAATTACCCCCAAACTCAATTCCAGCTTTCCCTTTGTGATATGGAACCTTGTAGTACAATTTCAGAAAGATCCATACACTTACACACAAGTTATTGTCATGAAACTAGAAAAATGCTTGTTTTTTGCCCCTTTTTTGGCCCCTAATTCCTAAAATTTTGAGGCAATTACCCCCAAAATCAATCCCAGCATTCCTTTTGTGATATGGAACCTTGTGGTGCAATGTCAGAGAGATCCATACACTAACACACAAGTTATGTCTGGAAGTTACAAAAATGCTTATTTTTGGCCCCTTTTTGGCCCTTTATTCCTAAATGTTTAGGGCAATTACCCCCAAACTCAATTTCAGCTTTCCCTTTGTGATATGGAACCTTGTAGTACAATTTCGGAAAGATCCATACACTTACACATAAGTAATTGTCATGAAACTAGAAAAATGCTTGTTTTTTGCCCCTTTTTTGGCCCCTAATTCCTAAAATTTTGAGGCAATTACCCCCAAAATCAATACCAGCATTCCTTTTGTGATATGGAACCTTGTGGTGCAATGTCAGAGAGATCCATACACTAACACACAAGTTATGTCTGGAAGTTACAAAAATGCTTATTTTTGGCCCCTAATTCCTTTACTGTTGGTACCAAAACCCCCAAAATCAATCCCAACCTTCCTTTTGTGGTATTGAACCTTGTGGTAAAATTTCATAGAGATCCATTCACTTAAACTAAAGTTAGAGTGCGAAAACCAATGTGTCTTCGGACGACGCCGGACGACGACGACGACGCCAACGTCATACCAATATACGACCACAAAAATTTTTTTGCGGTCGTATAAAAACTGCAAAATTTCCTTAAAATTACCAATTCAGGGGCAGCAACCCAACAACAGGTTGTCAGATTTGTCTGAAAATTTCAGGGCAGATAGATCTTGACCTGATTATCAGTTTTACCGTAAGTCAGATTTACTCTAAATGCTTTGGTTTCAGAGATATAAGCCAAAATCTACATTTTACCCCTATGTTCTATTTTTAGCCATGGCGGCCATCTTGGTTGGTTGGCGGGGTCATCGGACACATTTTTAAAACTAGATACCCTAATGATGATTGTGGCCAAGTTTGGTTAAATTTGGCTCAGTGGTTTCAGAGGAGAAGATTTTTGTAAAAAGCTAACGACGACGGACGACGACGACGACCACCACGCTGACGACGTACGACGGACGAAGGACGCCAAGTGATAAGAAAAGCTCACTTGGCCCTTCGGGCCAGGTGAGCTAAAAATTGATACTAGATACTCTGATATTCAGCAGTTTCAAAGGAGAAGATTTTTTAAAGTAAGCAAACTAGATGAACAAATTGTGAAAAATTGTCTTTAAAGGGCAATAACTCCTTAAAGGGTCAGTTGACAATTTTGGTCATGTAAACTTATTTGTAGATCTTACTTTGCTGATTATTTTTGCTGTTTCCAGTTAATCTTTATCTATAATAATATCAAGATAATAACCGCTAACTGCAAAATTTCCTTAAAATCATCAATTAAGGGGCAATAACCTAAAAATCAGATACCCTATTTTGCTAATAATTTCAGGGCAGGTAGACCTTGACCTAATGAATACTTAAACTTCTCGTCTGATTTGCTTTAAATGCTTTAGTTTTTGAGATATAAGCCAAAAACTGCATTTTACCCCTATGTTCTATTTTTAGCCATGGGGGCCATGTTTTTTGACGAAACAGAAAATAAAACACAAACGTTATTCTAGATACCCCCTAAGGATCATTCAGCTTAAGTTTGGTTGGAATTGGTTGAGTAGTTTCAGAGGAGAAGATGTTTGAAATAGTTAACACCGGACAGACGACGACTACAACAACAACGGACGCCAAGTGATGGTGGAATAATTTGTAAATTTAACAATGGAAAAAAAACTCCCAAGATTAGCTCAGCTATGCAATACACTGGTATGGTTTATAAGGGTTGATAAAAAAAAAACAACATTCATAGACATTGAGAAAATTAATTTTGTCTTTTTTTAGTTTCGTTGCTATCGCATTGACATATATTACCCACATCTCCTTTGATTCAGAAGATAAGGACATTTTTCAAATTTAACTGGTAAAAGTATTAGTTGAAGTTGTAATAAAGTACATTGACCTTTGAATGTCTATTTTTCATGACTTGTATTGTTGAAAAAAGCATCACTGACCCCTTTTCTTCCTGTTATACAGTAGAATTACCAATCAATCAAACTATCTCGTGAAAAGAGATATAGACCTTACAGTGCTTTCAACTGTTTTTAAGATGCAATTTTGTGCTTTAATTTGCGTTTTTATTCCAGCTAGATATTTTCTCTAACTTTAAGATTATAAAGGCATAAATTATGTTTGTTATCTTAAATAAGTCTCAAGTATTCATCTGAAGAATAATCATGAAAAAGTACAATTCAAACTTACTGAAAACTTCCCTATGTTTGATGAAAATATACATGGATATCATGTATTACCTCTTTGTTGTGAGTTCAATTGCTGAGGTACGAAGGTCAAGTATAGGAATAACACATTTTCTTATTTCCTTATTGGTGGGTTTGTCACAAACTCATTGACATTCCACAATTAACAGAATGCACTGCCAGGTTACAGAAACTTATCTAAGTAATACTTTTAAAAATATTTTCAAGTGAAGTCACAAAAAAAATGCTTAGCATTAGACTGCAAGTTGTTGCCTTGATTGGCATGAATGCCTACAGTTAATAATATAAATGAGGTTAATATCTGGCTTGCTTTATTTTGATTGGATCTCCTAGTTGGCTCTAATAGGATACTGCCCACTTACAGCCATGTTAGGTGCTATGAGTCTGTGCTGTAGTTGTTTAGCCTCCTCCATTTTACCATCTTTATACAACTGTTCTACGTCACAACAAGCTTTTCCTAGGACATTAGCTAAACCTAACACTCCACCTACACAACCTGTTAACAGTTAAAAAATAACAAAAATTATTGAAGCTGCATTAAACATGATCAATATGAAATATTTCTAAGGATTTTTCATCTCAAAACTATCAAAATGGTTTAGTGGAACTTTCTTGAACTGGCATTCCCCTTTTTTAGTTTTATATACCTTTTTTTGGTATCTATGCCATATTGGGTTGTAAAAACAAAAATTACTTGACAATAGATTGTAAAATTATTCATGCTGGTAATCAGTATTTGTTGATACTTTTTGTCTCAAGTTAGGCTTATTAGTAATAAAAGTTCATGTGACATATAACATTGAAGGACATGCAATACACAAGAATTTCACGAATAGCCCTTTTACCTTTTTTTCAAATGAGTAACTGAAAAGAAGTCCTACATTTAATTCATGAAATAAATTTTTTAAAATAGTGTAGGTCTTGATAACAGAAAGCATAATTTTTTAAGTCAAGTCTAAAGGTTAAATCCTAATTCTTTTACCCTCCCCCTCAACAGAAAGATTAATGAAAGAGATAATTTCAGTTCTTTCAGTTCTGTTTTTAAATGTAAATTAATGTGTACACCAGTATGAAATACTTCACGAATGTCCCAGGCATAAAGATAAAGAAATGCTCATGCAATGAAACAGCAATCCCAAAACCAAAAAAAATGATAACACAAGGCTTTCAACAATAAAAAATATGTGTACAAGTGTATATAATGAAGAAAACAAACATTAAAATATGCCTCAAACATATTCATCTTTAATTTCCTGAAATCACTGTGTTGTTTGGTTGCTGTTAAACATGAACTCCACCTCTCCATTCAAAATATGTGTATAGAAGTGACAAGCAGAGATAAAGTCGATGCTGCTAAAATTATTCCATTAATAACCTACCGACTGCATAAGCTGGAAACAAGAAACTGGCTGATCCTGCTAATATCTGGAAATCATTCTTCTGTGTAGCAAACACTAATGACCCTAATTTACCTATCTGAAACACCATGTTAAAGATTTACTTGTAATAATAGTGATACCAAATCTAAACCAAAATAATTACATTATAGATGTAAGGTTCCATCATTTTGATTAGTAGGCAGCAAGCATGTGGTATTAAAAAGTTCAGCATACATGACTTTCCATGCTTTGTGTGACAATAGAACTGTCATGGAATATAAGTTCCTTTATGATAGAAGTTCCTAAAGGAAAATATACCCTGTAATATTTCCACTGGAAAAAATGTTACAGTACTAATGTTCCTGAGAGAATAAAGAGTTCCAACAGGAACAGATATTTTCACATTGTTTATAACTAGGGATGTCAATTCCGTGAAGATAAACTAATCGAGTACTCGTTGGACTTATCGAGCGATACTAGAGTACTCGCTCGGAAAAACATCTACAAAATAGAAACACAAAATTATACCCATTTTACGTATTGTGGGTCGTTGTCTTATGGACGTAAAACCCTCAACATTATTATCTAGGACTAGATGATAGTCCCAGGAAGTTTATTCCATAATTAATAGCTCATTTACAACATGTACTAATTATGTAAACTGGTAATAATCTAATCAATTAATTAATAAACATTTATAGGAAAATGATTACTCAAACAAAAGTATTTGGGAATCGTACAGAAACACATTTAATGATCAACAAAAGGGTGATGATTAGAACTTACTGATGCCTTTAACCATTTTCTGCGGGTCGACACAGGGATCAAAGAATTTGTCCTTATTTAGAAATATTATCTTATCAAATTTTTCTGGGATGAGTCGATTTCTCAACTTTGTTATGTATAACTAACAGTCCTGCTGATGAAAATATTTGCTCTGACGGTTCAAAGTTGGAATGACTAAGACACGATTAGCTAAAAGTGTAAGCCTTGAAAAGGTGCGCTTGGTTATAGCCTACCTCTTTTCGGAGAAATGTTAAAAGACAATTAAGCGCAAATATTCGCAACATATTGTAATTTTGATTAAAATTTAATTTCCCGGGAGGTGCTCTTAATAAAAATATTTTTTTCTTTAAGAAGGCAACAACATTCTAACAGGAAACCGATAAGTCGAGTATTATTTTGGTATTCCATACTCGGTATTACCGAGCGATACTCGAGTACTCGAGTACTCGTTGACATCCCTATCTATAACAAAGTTTCCAGAGAAACTTCTGTTAGGAGAAACATATATATATTGACAATGCATAGGAATATTTAAGACAACTATATGTTGACAAAGCATAGAAATATTAAAGACAAATGTATGTTGACAATGCATAGGAATATTTAAGACTTAAAAGCTTGATTCAACACATTATTTCCTAGTTTTATCATTTTATGTAATTGAATTCTTCTCTTTGCAGTTCAAAAAGAAGCATTCAATTCTTAGGTTTTTTTAAATTCAAAACAGAATTTAAAAAATATAACTCTGTGATTACAGTGTAAATAAACTGCAGCGCAGCTGGATACGACCGCAGAGGTCCAACCCTGAACAGTTGGGGCAAAAATGGACACAATATTCAAGCTTGATACAGGTCTAAATTTGGATTGTAATTAAATATTTGACACATTATAGGTTTCTGACACAGAATAAATGTGTCAAAGAACTTGAAATTGGTTGTATGATTTGAACTTATATTCAATTGAAGATTTCTTGCTGTTGTGCAATACACTGTGCTGTTGCGCAATATTTAGTAAATCTGTTTTCAGACTATATACAAAGAATTATCAAAATAAATTGTGACCCCCAATATTTTTCTTTGGAAAACTGACAATTTCTTAAATCTTGATGAAAAAAATTGACCTCCCCCAAATTTTTTTTACCCCCCCCTCCCAAAAAAATATTTGAAGAGAATTTTCTTTTGAGGAAAAAATATTGCCCCAAATTTTTTTTTACACCCCCCCCCCCCCCCCTTTCCAAAAAAAAAAATTTTGAAGAAATTTTCTTTTTGTAAAATGTGGTACAAATTAAGACACATCCATACACCTAAACACAAGTTATTGTCTAAAAACTAGAAAAATGCTTGTTTTAGACCCTTTTTGGCCCCTAATTCCTGAATGGTTTGGGCAATTACCCCCAAAATGAATCCCAACCTTCTACTTGTGGTATTGAACCTTGCGGTACAATTTCAGAGCAATCAAAATACTTATAACAAGTTATTGTCCTGAAACTAGCTAAATGCTAGTTTTGGCCCCTTTTTGGCCCCTAATTCCTAAACGGTTGGGACCATCATCCCCAAAAACAATCCCAACTTTCCTTTTGTGGTATTGAACCTTTTGCTTAAATTTCATAGAGATCCATACACTTAAACTTAAGTTATTGTCCAGAAACCAAATGTCTTCGGACGACGCAGACGACGACTTGATACCAATATATGACCGCAAAAAATAAATATTTAATAATAATTTCATTTTTTCTCATTCAGTCAAATGTGTTTATTTAAATGTCATCAACACTGATTTAACTAAACATGTGATTTTCTGAATTTGCAATATTACAGGTTTATAAGATGTTTCTTCTGACTCAATTGACAGCTTACCAATACAGTAATAATTTATTAACCTCTCACCATCAATAATACAGTATTAACATTGCACATTGTAAAAGTAAACTTTTTAAAATATTAATGCCATTCTAAAAAGATTTATGAGAGATGAATTAAAAAAGAACTAGTATATTTATACATTCTCAAAAAGCTATTATAGAAAAGAAATTAAATCATAAAACATATTTACATCTATCATCGCTATAAAAAACATCTTCTATTATTATACCTTACATATATTTCAAACAATTCTATTGGGTAAAACGTTATCACGTGACATGGAATAATTCAGTTAATTTTCATTCAATTGCAAGGAAGAACGAATAACCCTAAAAATTTACACCAGTGTTGAATAACCCTATTATTCTCCGGCGAATAACCTTTTTAGTTTGTTGATTTGTACTCATGAAAATGACGTCACAGACGTAAATAAACAAAATGGCAACATTCAAGTTACAGGAAGCCCATTGATCGAGAGAAGAGGAAATAAGGCTTTTGACGTGCATCTTGTGCCGATGATATCTCTAATAACGGTCCTTTTCAGGGCCATCAATATTTTACAAAAAGAATCTACCTTTGTTGTACATACGAGAATTCTAAGACACAAATTACATGTATTTTTGAACGTCAACTTGTGTTTGTTACTGACTCAAGTATGGGTAAGTGCTTTTACAATGATTCAAAACGCCCTTCCACTGTTAGTTCGGTATAATAAAACAATTGTGGCCCCTTAGAAGCGATGAATATCCAAAATTGTCAACCCTTAAAAGTTATTTCACTTCGGGCTGCGCCCTCAGTGAAATAACCTTCTCGTGTTGACAATTTTGGATATTCACCTTTTCAACGGGCCATAATTGTATATTGTCTAAAATAAGTTTGCAGCTTACCAATTAAATTTCCAGATGTGGTGAAAGTAGTCATTTTATTCTGTGCAGATTAGGTTATTATTTGATAATTTACGGCTTACTCAAATTACACAAATAGCCATGTAATAGTATGTAATAGAGTTTGTCAGGTTTATTTTTATGAGATTCAATTGATCATGCTGGACATTTAGATTTCTCCAATAATAAAAACATAATGCAATTAAAATGTAAAGAAAGCTGAGTTTTCAGTTTATATATTAAGTAATTTTATTAAAATAAGCTTGAAACTCCGTCAGCAAGGAAGACTTCAGACTGTTTCAGCTGTACTTTAGATTTTGTTATGTGAGCATATCATAAAACAGATATCTTACATCTCCTCCACTGTCTTTTAATCCAATAATGTTTTTATGCTCTGATAATTTAATGATAACTTCTGGGGCCAAGTCTATCGCTGTGTTTCCTGGCACACTGTACAATATAACTGGTATTGGACTGGTATCTGCTACCTAAATCAAGAATATCAAGTTTGCTAGGCTGTAGCGAAATGTCCCCTGGGCTGTATAAAGTAGGAATTAAAATTGTGTGTCACACTATGTCATTGCAGCACATTAGTCAAAATATGGTAAAAATCCCACCACTCTAATAAAAAATGGTCAAATCAAAATCATAATATAATATGGTCCATAATACACAAGATAGCAAACAATTCTACCAAGTATCTGTCAAATGGTGTAAAAGGAGTTGCATTCATGAAGTGTTATTGTTAGAATCCATAAAAAATGGTGAAAGCCCAATAACTCCTGTAAATATTATCAAATCAAAATGACAATCTAGCATGGTAATGACAGATAATCAGACCAAGTATGAAAGCTTCATGTCCAATGCTCTCTGAGTATAGATGTGTTTGGGATGGACAGAGACCATTGCCATATCCAATAGGGACAATATAATTTAGAAATAAATTCTGGTGGCATATGTAAATTCTGCTAGGTGTTCCTTAGTTCAATGTCTAGGGTTTCTTTTTTGCTTTAAATTATCTTCCCTGTTTCAGAAATCTAACCAATTTTAGTTACAATGGTTAATGTGCTGGAACTGGGATATTTTGTGCTAGAGGGGTTTTTGTGCAGTGGCATTTGTCCCGCTCCCAAGAACGAGTGCCATTTCCCAGGAATACTTACAATAAACTAAAATTAGACCGAGATCTGCTGCCTGAAACTAAATGGATAACAGATTTTAAATGAAATTTTGGGACTTTATCAGTGTTCACTAGTAAAATCTCAATTCATTGATATCAAATGTTGTTTTTAAAGCTATAATAAGATGTGTAAGGTGCTTTTCTTTTAAATACTATTGATCACAACATGAACATTGTATCTAATGAGATAATACTAAGGCCAAAATATAAAATACTCGTGTTGAATGTTTCCCTACCAACCCTATTCTATCATGCATGAAAATGCATACATTTATTTTTAAAAGGGCACTTTTGCTGTGAATTGTGACAAAAACTGAAAATTGCAAGTCTTCCTATATACTTATGGTGAAAAATTGAGCCAAATAAATTTCAATTTCTACCTACCCTATTGTTCTTAAGAAGAAAACACTCAACACACATACTATTTATGTTTTGCTTAGCTAATTATATTCTTCTAAATAATGAAGAATCTTATTATACTGACAAACATGAAAAACAAGGTCATTTGTAAAAATCTTACTATTTGCCATTCCAGGTCTTTTCAAGTAACATATTTTGTAAGAGTTATCTCCCATTTCAGCTGGTATTTATGCTGTAGTTTGTTTAGAAATTTACAAAATATGCTCAAAACCCTATGATACTTAAGAGTTATTCTAAATTAGTTTCACAGAATTACAAATTTAATCCTCAAATACAACGGTCCTCAAATCTAATCAGGACTTTCTTTGAATATGAATTGCACACATACACTAAAAACAAAAACAAAATAGGGGCTGCATGTATTTATGTACATGTATGTGATACATAGATGAGGGTTGTAATGGGGGTACCTTCATGAGGAATAACGGTAAAAATCTTGCCAAACAACGTTAACAGTAATTTTTGATGCATGACGATAAAATGTACACTTTCTTTAAGACGATAAAAAAATCGACTGATTTTGACGAATCACGTTAAATTTTTTCAAAAAATAACGGTAAAGATAATTATTTGTGACCTCTGCAAACCAAGATAAGGATATTTTGACCAATTTGACGCTAACGGTAGCCGAAAATGGCCGTTTGAAGCCTGACAGTAAAGGGCATTCCTACCCTCATAGATGCATGCACCAGCTGAACTGAATTAGCTTAACAGAATTACAGATTTAATCCTCAAATACAAGTTTCCTCAAATCTAATCAGGACTTTTTTTTAATATGAATACACACAAATACTGAAATACAAAAACAAAGCAGGGACTGTATGTATTTAATTATGTGATACATAGAGCACATGTACCAGCTTCCAAGAAACATGGTTCTTGCAAATATATTTTTAAAGAAATAAAGTTGACAATACAACATTAAGAATAAAAGGTGGACTTAAAACCATGATCACTGGAGTGAGTTGAGTGCTGCTATATCTATGGAAGATTGCCATGTATAATGTTTCTTAATAAAATCATACTTTTATCATCTGAATAAAAGACTGTCCTACTGCAGGGACAAAACTTAAAGGGAGCCCAGTCGCCCATGGCTCCTAGATTTTGAGCTGGGCCCCTAAACTTTCAGGTAAATTTCAGTTGAACATATAGAAACTAATTATGAAATATCTGGTCTGGGCTCCCAGCTTGATATTCCCAAGTTTAGTCCCTGTACTGTGGATTCATTTATTTTCGTGGGTACCAATTTTCGTGGATTAAGGAAAACTTGCATGTTCGTGGATATTTAATTTTGTGGTTTTTGCCGAAATCTGCATACAAGCCTATAGAAAATTTGTTTTTCGTTGAACATTTAATTTCGTGGTTCACCTGTACCCACGAAATCCACTAAAATTGGTATCCAACGAATAATAATGAATCCACAGTACTTGTTTTAAATTTAAGAAGAATCCTACTTTTGTGTAATGGTTAATAAGAGCTGTATTATTCATGCCTCCTTTATAATAACATGGTGTAACAACTAAGGCTGCCTGAGCTCCAACATCTGCCATCTTCTGTGTCATAGATATCGTATCTCTTGTTGCTAAAATTAAAGATAATCATAGTGTAAACACAACTTTACACACAAGTTGGTAAATTGTATTTATGGTCAGAATAGTGAAAGTACAAAGTGTCTCTTTATGATGAAAGACTCGAGCAAGGACACAAATTATGCATTATAAATTTCTCAAAGATACATATTTAGATAAGTTGAATAAAACACTGAACTTACTAAGTTTAAACCATTTTAAATTAATTTTCTGTGAGAAAAAAACTACATCTCTACAACACAATACAGAATTAAAGATGTCATGCCTTTTCAGTGTGATGAGAAGAGATCTGTTTTCACAGTAAAAAGATACATTTATAGTCCTGCATAGATGTGCAAACCTTCTGTTTTCAGTTCAAGAGAACATGAAACATAGATTAATTTCAGTTTACTGGTATTCATATTTCTCTTTAATGTTTAGAAATTAAACAGCATAATGATAACTCAATGAACAAAATCAGATATAATATAATACACATCTTCTACTTTTTAAAACTGTACAGATTTAAATGGTCAATTCTATCAAGTTAAAACTTAACATACTGCAGACTTACTTTTATCTACAGTAACTTAGTAAAGGTTTTCAGCACTTACATTCACATCCTGAACCTGCAATGATCAGTTTTTTGTCTCCTACCCACTGAACAACTTTCTTCATCAATTCTACTCTTTCCTCTGGGGTCAGGTATGCATATTCTCCATTTGACCCCTGCACCACATATCCTGCAAAAAAAAACAAAAAGACACATACTGGAATGTCTATCCTTAAATAATCTATTCATTCCTTATTAAACATGATCCATTATGTTTTCCTAGTAAACTTATAATTATAATCCCTTGTAAATGCATTTAACACATGTAGAAAATGAAAATATATAATAACAAACAACTTCAACTTTGTAAGGCAAACAAAAATGGTAGTTCTGTTTCATGACTCCTGTAATGATACATATCCTAAATTTCCATGCCTACCCCAACACATTTAAGGACATGTTTGGTTAAGCACTGTTCAAGTCCAGAACAGTCCCTACGGTCCATGAAAAATAAACAAATTTACCTACCTATATGTACCTACCCTATTTTTTTCTGCATAAAAGTATACGTATTTTTTTAGCTATATTGATAATTAAAGGAAGACTAATTTTATTTTCCAACAAATGAAGTGTTGGAGGAAAATAGATTAAGTTCAATATTCAATCCCTGATAGTTCAATATGAGACTGCTTTAACACATGTATAGTAGTCTCAGGTTAAATCATTTTCTAAAGTATGTCAAACTTATACAGATAAAATCAGTGTTTCATTCAAGCTTTCAAATGGAATTGCTGTTTGTTTAAAATCTGGTCATCAGGGGCGTTGCTAGGTATCCAATAAACTGTAGGCACAAATTGCAGCAGGGGGTCAAGGGGCTGCTTAAGGGCCCCAGTAGGTCCAGGTGTGAGCCCTGGTAGGGGGTTCAAGGGTGTGAAGCCACCCAACGGAAAACGGTTTTCAGCATTTTAGTGCAAAATTTTGTGTACAAAAAAAAACATAAAATTTACTGGTTATTTTATCATGATAATATACATGAAAAAAATGTTGAAAGAATAAACATAATTCTATAATTACATCTGACTGATGAATTAACCAGCAGTACAATCGGAATTCATATTTCCTTTTATCCTGTACTGTAAAATCCCTACCTGCTTAGGAATTTGAATAATTATGGTCATTACATGGTGATCTGAGAGTACTTGAAGTTACTGAAAGCTAGTTGATTGATTGATTGATTGCTAAACGTCCAGCGGCAAATAATTCATGCATGTTCAGGACTAAAACAAATATGGGTCTTTCAGGATGAAGGTCTGGAAATTTGGAAATGCCATGCATTGGAAAATGAGGGTTTACTGGATAGGAACAGAAATTTGCCTTTCAGTAGACGACCTATGATCCCCTCAAAGAGTTGTTGCAATTTTCTTAACGTGCAGAGAGGGTGGCATTCTCTCTACACTAGGCATCAGATTGAACTTGGGCCAACAACAACTAATAAAAAAAAAATCATTTATCTAAGTTGAGGTTCATTCAAGTATTTGTTGATAGAAGTGAAATGATCTGCACCAATTAAAGTTCTAGTTTATAGCTTCTATATAAGGTGGAATATAATGACATACAGTTCCAATACTCCACTGATTCACTAAGAATGATCGACTAGTGTACAAATGTTATTCGATAATCAAAGAGTTTTGACGACTCAACATGCATCTACAGATATCCTGTTTATTATTTTTTCTAATAAAAAAAATATTTGTGAAAAAAAATTATGTGTAGGCATGTGCCTAAAGTGCCTAACGGCAGCTACGCCCCTGGTCATTAAACACTTTGTAGCCAGTGTTATTATGACAGTCTAAATCAAACCCAGCAATGTTTGTTGTGGTTGTGCAGGTCTAGTGTACACATAATTTTCCAGCTATAAAAACTTGTGGAGGTTAAAAGCGATTAAATGAGTTTAGCAGATACATATATATATGTCTATGAATTTAGCCAGGGTTTGATGTGGATACTTGTATTTATTGGGATCAGTGAGACCTTGCATTAGCTGCCATAGTAGAGTACTCCTTTTAATCAGCATGTAGTTTATTGTGTGGCCTTGAAAATATTGCATTGAATAGTGATAAGTAATCTTCAAGAAATGGGTCAGTTGGTAAACCTGTGACCCCTATGTCATAGGCTATGATAAAAAAAAAACAGGGACAGCGGATTATTAGGGCCCGACGAGGGTCGATCCCTGATTGACACAAAGCATACCTTTGAAAGGAATCGTGTTCCATTGCTGCAAGTTCCTCTCTAGTTTGTCGTATGCAATCGATTCATCTGAATTGAAAGGAGTTGCAATTGGAGGATATACACCACTAATGTCAAGTGTTGACACGCACCTAAAAGCAAAATTAAGTCGTGTTCCTCTTTTAAATGATGATTTGTGTGTCAAGTGTATCGCCCTCCTTAAAATGTGCGACATTTTAATTCAATTTCACCTGATAAATGTAACTCTAAACCATATCACCTGTTCGGTCAACTGTCAAAACAGAAACACGTGGTTACCTCCAAAATAGGAGAATTTTGATTTATAAATAGATTCGAGAGCCCAATTATATTCTATCGAGTTCACCGAACAATATTGACCTTGGCATTAATCAGCTATAATTATTTCTGTTCCTTTTTATTATTTGTTCAGTACAGCAATCAAAATAAAAGAAGAAAACACGCTTATAAATGTGTTATCTTGATTATTATCATTACATAATCATTTTACTTCGTTCTTGTTTTTAGTTCTATTACAAATATCCAGTGTAGTCTTAAATGCTACCATTTGATTTTTATGGTGGGGCTAGGATGAAATTTGAAAAAAATAGGCAGGACAGGAGTTTTGAGTAAAAAAAAAGGCAGAATGACAATTTATGTCAAAAAGCCAGGATAAATTAAAAAAAAAGGCGGGACCGAATAGAGTGAACAATAAAAAGGCAGGACAGAGTTTACAACTAAAAAGAAATGCAGGACAAAATTTTTCATCCTAGCCCCCCCCCCCCCCCCCCCTATATCAAATGGCAACTCCCTTAACAAAATTAAATCATATTATAAATAAAGCAACAGTAAAAATAAATACAACAAAAATTCCGAACGCCGAAAAATTCAAAACGGAAAGTCCCTTAACAATTGACAAAATCAAAAGCTCAACCACATCAAACGAATGGAAAACAACTGTCATATTCCTGACTTGGTACAGGCATTTTCTTATGTAGAAAATGGTGGATTTAACCTGGTTTTCCTCAAACCATTCTTTGGTCCAACTCTTAATGCATGTTGACAGAATTTTAGATGAATGTTCTTTAGTTTCAAATTTCCAAATTTTTCATGATAAATTTTTTCAGGGTTTTCTGAACTAGGAATTCTCTCCATATTTCAGAGCCATATAGTAGAACTGTTTTTATTGTGTGGTTAGATATGAGTATCAAATGAAATTTTTGTCGAGTTTAAATCAAATAAAAACTTTTTAAAATTCATTTAATGCTTATGATACAAGAGATTCCTAAATATTATATATGTCTCTGTATAAATATAAAAGTTACTCGATTGGTTTGGCAACATGGATTTACGCTATTATAGCCTTGGGGAATGTTTGGGACATAATATATTACATTTCCTCTTCCCTTGTAACTGGTTTTGAAATATTATTCCTGGCATTCTCCCGTCCACACAAACAGATCGATCCACTCATTCGATCAACATAAGTGAATAAAAGTTGTTCCAGTAGACATGGTTTTTTTTATTTTGTTTTCGTTTAAAACGCTATTTTCTATGTTAATATGAATCGACTTTTATAGGTGTATATACTAAAATTTAAAATTTAGATTTTTAAAAGTCGAAATGACAATTTTTCTTTATTTCAATTTTAAGAAATAGACGTGAAAAGTATTGCCAAGTGCTCAAGAGCCATTGGTTTTATTTATCTCTGACAAAATTTGGTAAAGTTTTCAGTTAAATCAGCATTTACGAACAGAGTGAACAAGGATAACAAATACAATTGACCCCAGAGTACCGGGGATTGTTGTTCGCTTCATATCCAACGGCAAATTTTTCATGCATATCCAGGACGGGCCAATTTACCTAGGCATTGTTTCCCGGAACAATAATTATTTGTTTGTAAAACTCATTCTCTTATTTTTTTTTCATGTCAAGTGGCAAATACTTAATGCACATGACAGGATGTACACGTGCCGCCCATTTACCTTATAGTCATATTCGCGTTGGCGAAAGCATGTAGCAGCTTCATATACATATTATTTCCGTGAGAAACTGGACAATCTTTGCAGTCCAATGATCCTGTGACGAACTTATCTATTCATTTTTTTCTTGTTTATTTTTTTAAAGATTTTTCAATTTTTGTCAACTGAAAAGTTTAAATAATTTTAAATAATTAAGTCGGTAGTGTTTATACAATGGCCGTAGCATTACAAATTATCATGTGTGTCATGCATTTATACGCCACGTCCTTCTTATCTATTAAACATAACTAAATCAAAACAAGTCTTCATTTGATATGTATGAAACTTGACTACTTTGTCCTTGGGGCTATTTTAATCGTGAAATAACTTAAGATTTCCACTGAAACTCGATAGCCTGGTTGATTTCTTATATAAGTACGAAAGTTTTCATTTGATTAAACATTTCATCCGATTTAATTAACTAGCATATAGCTCAGTTACAGATATAAGGAGGTATATCGTATATAGTGTTACTGTCACTGAGAAATAGCTACGAGTACCCAAATTTAAGAAGTCGACATCTCAACAACGCATGTGGCTTTACGCCATACAATGTAAAAGTGTCATATTTAAAAGCAATTGTTGACCAAATGAAGCGAAGCAGGCAACAAGATGACTGGTAATTGACTTAAGTAGAAAAAAAAAACACACCTCATGCACAAAAGATGCAAAAAAGTATTGTCATTTTGACAACCATTGTACTTTAAAATAAGTGATATTAAGGCACATAATAAAAAAAAAATCAAAATACTTGTGTTAGAAGTTAGCTTTCTATACTCTTTTATGCATCAAAATTCTTACCATCATGTTTTAAATTGTTACCTTTTAAACAATGCAAAGTATAAATGTTAGCAAAGGAAAAGATAAAGATAGGAAAAAAAAAGCGTTTTATCCATGTCATTTGAACTCTGGTGGATACTGAGTTGTCTTATTGGCAATCATACCACATCTCTTTACTAGCTCACCTGGCCCAAGGGGCATGAGCTTTGTCATCACTTGGCGACGTATTCGACCTTTACAAAAATCTTATCCTCTGAAATTCATGACTGGGCTACAGTCATCATTGGGGCATTTTGTTTTAAAAAAAATGTGTCCGAGTACCCCACCTGCCATCAAACATGGCTTAAAACAGAACATAGGCCGACGGTAAAATCCACGTTTTGTTTATTATCTCAGTGAAAACTGTATATCTATAGTAGTCTCAGTCTGGGACTATCATACCAACAGTAGTCTCAGTGTAGTTAGAGAAAATATGACAGGGGAGAAATGTTTAGAATGATTAAATCTACCAACTGTCTGTTAACATCAAAACTGTCAGACAACTTCTTATAGGAGTTATATGCCCTTATACGGTGAATATAACGCTTTTTAATGTTTGCCCTTTTATCTTGAAAATTGAAAATAACAATCGATAAATAGAAACTTCAAACAAAAAAATTCGTAAGGGTTCCGCGGAACCCAGTGTGTCGCCTACGTTTGCTGTTAATCGCAGGCTCAACAAAAATGAGGAAAAAAAAATCAATAAAAATATTCCTATAGATACTATCTTTTGATTGTAAGAAGCTTCTGTCAAAGTTTGGTATAAATCCAGGATAGATTATGAATCTAATAAATGTTTTAAAAACTTTAACTGCAGACTGTATTTAACGTTAACTGGAAGAAAAACCAAGTCCATTTATAAGTAAAATACGGATAAACAGGTACAAAATTTTAACAAAATTTCCTTCTAGATACTAGCTTTTGATCATAAACAAGCTTCTGTCCAAGTTTGGTACAAATATCCAGGATAGTTTAAGAAAGTTATAAAATTTTTAAAAACTTTAACCACAGAGTGAATGTAATGTTTCCCGGCAGAAAAAATAAGTCTATTTACAAGTAAAATACGGAAAAAACAGGAATTTTATTTTTACAAAATTTACTTCTGGATACTATCTTATGATCACAAACAAGCTTCTGTCCAAGTTTGGTAGAAATCCAGGATAGTTTAAGAAAGTTATTAAAATTTCAAAAACTTTAACCACAGAGTGAATATTTGTGGACGCCACCGCCGACGACGACGACGACGCCGACGGAATGTAGGATCGCTATGTCACGCTTTTTCGACTAAAGTCGAAGGCTCGACAAAAATGATCAAAAAGAAAGAACTACAAGTATGTCAAACTTGGTCAAAATCGTCAGACGACTCCTTTTTGATGTTATTGCCCTTTAATGTTGATTTTTACCATTTTTGTTTTGCTTTTTTGCCTATAATCTTTAAGGATTTGTATAGTAAATCTTTCTACACGAATCCTTGCAATTTTGAAAACTATAATAGACAAGATCTACAAATAAGTCAATATAATTATTTTAGAAATCTTAAGATGACTCCTTGTAGGAGTTACTGCCCTTAACTTACGATTTTTACTATTTTTTGCGCAATTGCATTTTAATTTGTGGAGAGAGAAACTTTACATAGCAAAAATGATCCACAAGGCAATATTTACATATAAGTTGATAATAATATTGCTGAAATCTTTTATCAACTCTTTGGGAGTTAGTGCCCTTAGAGGACAGTTTTTACCGTCATTTTTTTGGTCGTTTTTGCCTAGTATATTGAAAACTCTAACAGATAGATAGAAACTTTAAAAAGCAAAAATGATCAGTAAGACAAGATCTGCAAATAAGTAAGAATAGACGAAACTGTCAGTTGTGGTCTTGTTATTCCCCTTCACGATGATTTTTACTCTTTTTTAGCTCACCTGGCCCGAAGGACCAAGTGAGTTTTTCTCATCACTTGGCGTCCGTCATGGAATAAAATAAAACATGGAATGAATGTTCCTTATGAGGTACTGACCAAGTGTTGTTACTTTGAAGCTGATCCATCATCAAAGATGGCCGCCAGAGAGGGACTTAGTTTAACATAGGACCATATGGGAAATACATACAAATGTCTTCTTTTAGAGAACCACTAAATGGGATGAAATAAAACATGGCATGAATGTTCCTTATGAGGTGCTGACCAAGTTTTGTAACCTTGTAGGCGATCCATCGTCCAATATGGTCGCCAGCGGGGGACTTCATTTAACATAGGACCCTATGGACAATACATACAAATGTCTTCTTTTAGAGAACCACTGAATGGAATGAAACAACCAAACATGGCATGAATGTTCCTAATGAGGTGCTGGCTAAGTGTTGTTACTTTGTAGCCAATCAATCACCCAAGATGGCTGCCAGAGAGGGACTTAGTTTAACAAAGAACCCCATGGGAAATACATAAAAATGTCTTCTTTGAGAGAACCAC